GCAAAAGCCATTCTAAGGCTCCAGAAGAAGGACCGGAAAGCTCTTGGTAGGGTTTGAAGTTGATGGAATTGAATGATTAAATATTTGGTCATTTTGGGCTATGGAACAAGAGATAATATTGTTGATGTAATTTGTTCCGGAGTTCAGCCTGGAAAAAATGCTTTTGGTAGAAACACAAATATGGGGACTACTACAGAAAAAGCAGGCACAAGAAAAACAGTGTTTTTCAATCTGAGGTTTACTAATTTTGTATTATGAAATTAAGCATTTTGTTTTGTTCAGTTGATAAGAAAGGAAAATGCAACTTAATCCAAAAAAAAAAAAAAAAAGGAAAAAGGTAGTTATTTGCATGTTACCTGTGGTGGATATCTTACTAGCTGTTGTTTTATTTACAGAATGCCTGTGGTCAAATCTAGACGCATTATCTTTCAAGAATCTGGTCTGTATATATCAGAAGCTTTCGCAGAACACAATGTCTCGATTTTTCATATATAATGGACTGTTGCAAATATATGTCTTTGGACACAAGACTCCCATTGAACTGCATGAGGCTTTGCAAATACTTCATATTCTTTACCAGGTGAGAAAGTGTTTGGATCTAGATTAGACAGGATGTATCAGTATGATTTAGAATATTTCAATCATTTTTCTTTGTTGAATTTTCTGTGTTTCCTTCTTATGAGGAAACATGGTACTTTGACATTCCTTCAGGAATCTTTTTAGCATGTCTTTGAAGGAGTTGAGTTGTCCCACTACCTACCTATTACTGTCACGCTACCTACCCCAAATCATGCTCTTGAGCAGTGCCTGGCTGACTGTAGAAATGAATCATGGTTGAAGTTGGAAGGGACCTCTGAAGATCGTCTAGTCCAAAGCCCTTGCCAAACATGATCACCTAGAGCATAAATGAAGAACTGAAGCATGTTATAGCCTCAAGGTGGGAGGGAATGCTTTCAGTGAGGACTGCATGCCTTGATGCATGTTGAGCTATGGGTGTAGCTGTGGTGGTTTTACCATGCTATGCAGTTGAACACCACAACAGCTCTCTGACTTTCCCTCCTGAAAGAAAAAAGGGAGAAATATGATGGAAAGGGCTCTAGGGTTGAGATAAGGACAGGCAGATCACCCACCAATTATCATCATGGGCAATGCGGAGGGGCCCTTTTGGAGGCAGCTGAAACTGGCTCTTATCTGACATAGGGCAGCTTCTGGGCTCCTCACAGAGGCCACCCCTGCATCCCCCTGCTACCAAGCCCTTGCCATGTAAAAGCAGCACAGTGGTGCCTGGTAGTGAGATCCCTCACCCCAGTAACTGCTCACAGCATTTAAATGATGGCCCACCTATTTGGCACAGCATGGCTGTCACAGCAATACGTAGGATGCTTTAAGAGCCTGTTACTTTAGAAGTTTTCTGAAACAGAATAATTATAACGTGTTTAGCTGCATGTGAATAAGGGGAAGAGAGGGGACAATAGCTGTATTCTTCTCAAAAAAACATCCTTTCTCTTGCTGAGATTTTCAAAGTTTAGGAAAGGGGAAAGTTCAAGCATGCACTCAGTGTGAATCAGAGAACTGATAAACTTGGTTCAGAATTTAGTATCCTTTTGGCTGAGAATGCAGGCTTGGACCTCTAAGATTATCCTCTTAAATCTATTCACCGGATAAAACTCAGAAGTGCAGGAGGGTACTTCTCAGTAAGCGGTGACATTGTTTGCAGCTTTACATGGTCACCTTCCCTCCCAAAATCACATCTTTGTCAGGCAACAAATATGCAAGTGAGTGAGCAACTTCAGATTCTCTTGCAACATGACAGACAAAGTGACAAAAATACCTTTCATGTTGCAATCTTGGTAACGAGTCTTTGTTGTAAATGAAAATCATGTTCCTGCAAGTTTTTACATGGTTTTCTGTGACTTGCCACTGTTGAGTGCTTCTATAGTGTTGTAGCGTTTCTATACTTCCATTTCTGTGCCGGGTCTCAGAGCTATTTCTGCTGAGAGTCCTGTTTCTTCTTAGTCCTGTCCTGCTTACAGATGCATAGCTCAGCAGTTCTGCCTTTCATATTGTGTATATCAATGCAGGTGAACACCAGGGCTGGCTTCAGACTAGAAGAAGACAACTTCTACGTGCCCGAAGCGAAAAGGATTGTCACATATTTATTCAACAGGAGACATGAAGTAAGTATAAAATCTTAGAGCAGCACAAAACACTTATTCTGCTGTTTTGTAAATCAATATATATGGAAGTCAACTCTAAACTCTACCCAAGTGACAGTGCACTTTCCCACTCCTCTGGCTGTCCTAAATCATGCAAGCCATTTACAGTCTCAATATTTCAGCAGCTACAATAGTACCTTTCCTTTGTTGACTCCCTGGTTCAGAGGGTTCAGAGTCAGGGCTGTTCCCAACAGCTTAGATCTGTTTGCTTCAAACTGGCGATGAGTATGAAATAGGAGTGTGAAGGATGGTTGCTATGCTGCTTGTATACTTCTAGATTTTATCGTATTTAATTAACAGAATTTTTGTGAGGTCTCTTTAAACTTTTATGGAGAAACCCTATTGAGCACTTCCATTTACTTATATCTAAAAGCAGTGTTAATAATATTAAAATCTGTGAAATGGTTCACTTCTTCACTTTTAATAACAATATGTCTAACTTGGGTGTCCAGGACATTTTTACTATTTTTACAAGGTCCAGGGGGACCTTGATAGGCTTGAGGGGTGTGTGTGTGTGAACTTCATGAGGTTCAACAATGCCAAGTGCAAGGTCCTGTATCTGGGCCAGGGTAACCCCAAGCACAAATACAGGCTGGGAGAATGGACTGAGAGCAGCCCTGAGGAGAAGGACCTGGGGATGCTGGTTGATGAGAAGCTTGATGCAAGCTGGCAATGTGAGCTTGCAGCCCAGAAAGGAAGCCCAGGAATAAACTTACCGTTTTATTCCTGGGATACTGTAATGCATGTCTGCCTACACAGACAGTTCTGCAAAAATTCAGATGCCTCCTTAGTCAGTTTCCCATTCATGCTAGTGGTTAGAAGCCACTTTTATGAAGCGTGCCTCTCTGTTGGTATAGTGTTCATGTACAAAGTACGTACATGTTGGTACATGTACAGGTATGTTGGTATAGTGTTCATATTCTGTTGGTATAGCGGTCATGTACACACCAAAGGCCTTTTTCAGAAATAGATGATGGCAGTTCAATCTCTACACGTACCCCCAAACTCTGATCTTGCGAGTAAAAAAAATCATCATGTCTTCTCTTCTTTGTGATTTCAGGTGATGTTTCGTAGGGACATATTTCAGAGTACTCTAGGGATGCTGACCAAATATCCATGCATCTTTGACATGGACGACAAGATCCGGGTTCATTATTTAGATTGTGACAGTCTGTACGCATGTGGCGAGTTAGTAAGTGTGACCAATTTATGTATTTATTTTTTACAATTTAGAAGAGAGAAACACACTTCTAATGAATGGTTATGTAATTCTTCAACAGCCAGGCTTTATTTGCAAGATACCCTTTCTTTTATGTGTCAGACGAGAACACCTTCTGCATGACATACGGTCTCGTTTAATTACAGCACGAGAGGATGAATTCAAGATGAAGTTACAAGTAAGATATCAAAATATGTTGTTTTGTTAGCTCTAAATGTATTACTGCACTGTTCTGAAGTATTATAAGGAAGTTCCACTGGGGATGTAAAGTAAATCAGGAAGGTGGTATTTTACATTCCTGTTCCAGATAGCCATTAGGCTTTCTGGGCATAATTTAAATCCAAGTGGCAGTGCTATTTCCTGTGAAGCTGCTTTGGGATAATATAATAGGATTGCTCAGGAAACTGGTAATTGGCAAAGTTCATCACTATTACTGCTACAATGATTTTGAAGACTCTAGGCTAGTTTTCTTCAATACTAGCCCTGCCCTGCAAAAGCAGTTAGCTGGCTGACGTGGGATCCAAGCACCTGCCCCGAGCTGAGGACCATGTGCCTGTGTTCTGTCACCAACACAAGGGCTGTCAGTCTGGTACTGCACCTAGGCATTATCTGATTCTGTTTCTTCCCAGGTGAGACTTCTTGCTGGCCAGAGCTGTCAAAGCTTTTCCTTCCTATACATTTAGGAAAAGATTCACAAATAGCTTCTAGAGCTCCTCTTCCTTCCCCCTCCTTAGTACAACAGCTAAAATAGGAACTTCTTACACTGAAAATAAGGCTTGTGCTCTGTACTATCCTCTAGATGAGCCTCTCTCCACTGATCATAGAAGGAGCCCCAGCAAGTTCCCAGATGTTTGCTAGTCAGCCTTCAAATACACCTCTTCTGCACGCTGCCTTTCATACTATAGATCACACCATTATTTGCGCAGCAGCTACTTGGTCAATTTGATTGATTAGTGTCTCACCAGCAGACACTACTGTCTATAGACACTACTACTAAGATCTGCAACACTTACAACTTTGTGCTGCATTTCTGAAATGTTCAGCAGGTAAAGGACATTCTGTCACTCCACTCTCTAGTCTTACTGTAAACGGGAACAGGGAAGGTTGAAGTATTTAGCAGAAGTATCTTCTGTTTGCTCTCTACTGAAGATGCTGAGGAAGAGATTGTATTAAGGGGAAAGATACCCTACATACGTATGTAGTATTTGTAGCTGCTGACTTGGCTACCAAATCCTGGGCTCAGTAAGCTGTTTTGCCTCCAGCCTGGCAGGAGACATTTCTTTAATTAAGCTGACCCAGCATGGCTATCAAACGTGTGCACTCAGACACACTTAACAAATGCAATAAGGACATACATCTCTGACACAGACACTGAAATATGTTGTAGGTGATTCTGCATAACAAAACCCCTAGATGCACAAATATACCTTTTTTGGGCAGCAAGCAATGCTTTTGTTTGCCCATTTTTTTCTTACAAAATAAAAATACATAAACAAAAGCAAGCAATTGCTGGATGTACAGTCATGGCTGTCATCCCAAGTAAATTTTTTCATTTAACTCAGAGCTTGTTATTAAACATCAGCCTAGTTTATTTTATGTTCTTCTGACAGTGGAACAAATACATTTCAATACACACATCACTTCAAGACATATGAACAAAATTACAGCTTCATGACTCAAAGAGAGACTCATACCGCCACATTGTCATTGCTTATTATCTAAGATGTTATTTCAATCTGCGTGCAGTCTTTTCTAACAAAGATGACTGCCACCTATAAGATTTTCAGTAGTACCATTAGAAACAGAGAACGTTCTTGAAGAGATATGCTAGAAAGAGTTAATGCTTCTTGTTAGTCTTCCTCTCTATCTTCCTTAGCAGTAATTAAGTAATGGGCTTGCTGCAGCAGACTTTATACAGTTCCAGATACCACTAGGAAAAGTGACAGTCACTAGTGCCAGCTGGGAGCTCTCTCAAATCAACTGTAGCGCCCTGTGAAATTAAACTGTGTTGCTCTAGAGAAGCACAGGGGGGTTAGCAAACACACCGCACTAGTTGTGCCTGAAAAGCTTAATCCCCATCCAGGTCCACAGGTGGAAGAACACATAAACTGGTATTGTAATGGGAAGGAGGAGGCTGTAGAAACACAAGCTGTTGGTGCTGGTGCAGCCCTGCGGGAAGGTCTCGTCCACCGCGGCGGCGTAGAACAGGACCTGCTAGGGACAGGAGCGGGACGAGGACGGTCAGCGTGGGCAGGGAGGGCAGCACGCCGCCTCCTGCCATCGCTTCACTGCTGGGGCCCGGTGGGCCCTGAGGCCTCCTTCACGGCCTCAGCCTGCTTCTGCGTTCTCCTGGCCGTCTCCGGGATCATGTTGGGGATGCCATCGATGACGGGGTAGGCGATGCCCAGCTCCTCGTTGACGAGCTCGTTAGCTGACTCGTCGTACCTGGGCAGCCAAGAACGAGAAAAACAACAACAATAATTCCAAGCGAGAGGCGAATAACTTAGCTTTGCCCTTCAGCACCCACTTGTCCTCTTCCCCGCTTACCTCAGCGGCCGCTTGGACAGCGGGCACACCAAGAAGCGCAGCAGGGAGGGCTCCAGCCCCGGCCCCTGCCCTCCGCCCTGCCCGCCCGCCCCGCGGCTCCCCGCCGCCCGCCTCAGCGCCGCCACGGCCCCGCGCCCAGCCCGCAACATGGCGGCCGCGCCGCGGTGCTGAGGCGGGAGGCGCCGGGCTGCGCGGCGGGCAGGGCGCGATGGGTTCCGGGCGGCGCTCGGCTCCTCTCCTCACAGGGCTCTCCCCGCGGCCCGCAGGTGGTGTTCGTGGGCGAGGAGGGGCAGGATTTCGATGGGCTGTCCCGGGAGCTCTTCACCGTCGCCGCCAGGGCTTTCAGCGACCCCCAGAGCGGTGCCTTCTGCCACTACCGCTCCCGGCTGCTCTGGTTCCCCGCTCAGGTAAGGCGGCGCAGCGGCCCTGCTGCGAGGGAAATGGGCTTCAGGAAAGACAAAGTTAGGATTTCTTCTGCTTTTGTTTTTAACTAGGTGCCAAGCCACGATGACACTTTTGTCCTGATCGGGATCCTGTGTGGGATGGCTTTGTATAACCAGTGCCACGTGTCCTTCCCCTTCCCCACCGCGCTCTTCAAGAAGATGTTGGACATCGCGCCCACCCTGGAGGATCTGAAGGAGCTGATGCCAGCAGTCGGCAGGTACAAGCTAAGAGTGTCCTAAGCTGGGAGATGCCTAAGGGATTTCCTAATTTGTGGTGAAACTACAGTTCAGGCAGCTCTCCTGGTTTGGTGATGTGCACAGAAATCATGAAAGCAGTGTTAGGTACACCTGCGGCAATGATATTTGCCATTGCTGGGCTGCTACAAAACACAGTGTTTCCAAGGAGGCTCCTTAGGCCAGGAGTACAGCTATCAAACAGCTGCTGGCATCACCAAAACAAAAAAAGACAAGTCCTGGATGTTGGAAGGAGTAGGGATGCCACTACACATGAGCTTAAGTCCACATTAGCAATACGTGGTTCATAAATACTTCAAGCTGTACTTCAGACTTGAAATAACAACCTTATTTATTTAATTATTTATTACTAATTTCTACGATGATTTTAAAGTAAGCAGTGATGAGCGCAGTATTAACCTATGCTGCAGTCACGTCAAATCTGAGAACCAAGGTGCAGGGTTCCCACATACTGAGAAAGGAGATAACAGGCTGATACTGCAGGAAGAGGTGCTGCTGCCACCAGCATCAAGCTCCTAGGTACCTGAAGCCTGGCTTACACACAAGTGCTATCAACAGTTGATAGGAACCATTTCCCTAGTGCCGGTGACTGTGTCAATGTGCAGAAAAGCCCTCAGTGTACTGCGGGTTTCCAGCAATGCTTGGAGAGACACTGTTCTATAAAGCAGTTCTCCCAGATCATCCCACCGATGCACACGTAATTCCTTACTAGATGGTCTTTGGAAGGATAAAGCTGTGGTCTGAGCCCACTTGCCACTGGAATTACTCTCTGTAAAATCCCTGCAGAGCAAGGAGATGGTCTTGCTTGGAATCCTTTGCAATCAAGGCATTTGCCCTTAAGTCATGGCAATTGTAGAACCCAAGTGTATAAATCAATTTAGGGCCACATTATGAAGGTTCTGTGTGAGTACAAGGACTCTGTATGCATGTGCATTTAAATACTGCTTGTCAAAGGATGCTTTTCAGCAGAATCTGAGCGTGTGACGAATCATCTTAATGTCTCTTCTCTATTTTTCTTTTCTTTTTTTTTTTTTCTTGAAAGGAATCTTCAGAGTATTTTGAATGAAGAATCTGAGGATAAGCTTGAGAGCCAGGACATGACCTTCGTGGTAAGATGCCACTGTGTCATTTAGATGTGCCGAGCATGCAACTGAGGCAAGACAGTATCCCACTGCAAATGATACAAAAACTTGTCTGTAAACACAAAGTAGCGAGACTGCTGGGTCAAGCCCTGCAGAAAGAAAGAGTAACAGATATAGCTCACATACGCCTATTACATATATCAGAAATAAGGCATCCAATATTTTCCTTTTCTGTGCAGATACTGGGAGAAGGAGGTTCCGTGGTTGAGCTTAAAGAAAATGGTACCAACATCCCTGTCACTAAGCAAAACAGGTCAGTTTTATTTTTCTTATCCTGTTATCTCTTATGAGTATACAAAATGTCGTATCTATACTCATCCCCACATATTCCTTGAAAATACTGAGCATCAACATTGTGCTGTTCATCTCAGTCCAATAACTTGTTTGCTTTCAGTTCTTGCTCTTTATGCTGTATGTGTGCCAGACATCAGCAGTTTAGGGATCCCTGGTCATCCTGATGTTGGCATATGCAGGGATACCTGGTCTTTTCAGGGAAGTTCCTAACAAATATGTAAAATGTCCCTGAACAACATTTTCAGGGAAATACAGGCAACTTGTTTGGGAGATCAGGTACAGGTACACCTCTGTAAGATTTTTTTAATGAGCAAAATATTCCCTGCTTAGTTATTTGTACGAAACATATCTTGTACGTGATGGAAGAGGAGCAATCTGTCAATGAGGATTTGTGTTAATATTAACCTCAGCACAGAGGATACAGAGCAAGTCTATGGCCTGAGTTATGCAGTTGACTGCTTTCAGTAAAGAGTTTTGAAAATAAAGCAGGTCAAACAGAGTAAAGAAAAAGGAAACAAAAAGTTCTATGTATTTCTCTTTTTCAAAAGTCACATCTTGTGTTACTTGTTTGAATCAAAATATTTTTGCAGGAAGGAATTTGTTGACTTATACGTGAATTACATATTCAATGAATCAGTGCGGAAGCCATTTGAGGACTTTATGCAAGGTTTTTTAAAAGGCTGTCCAGCTAGAAGCTGGAAGATGTTTCTTCTCCCTGTTGAGCTCCAAGTTCTTCTCCTGGGACACACAACATATGACTGGCGTCTGCTGCAAAAGGTATTGGATACAAGCAGAGGGGCTTTCTGCTGGTTTGCACAAGGTGTTTGCTGAGCAAAACCTCCTTCAGTCCTGTTCTCGTATTGAATGTGTAGGTCAGGAACACAAACATAGTAGCTCAAGGGACTCTTTTAATCATTTGTAACATTGGTTTGAGTCCGTTTCTAATCCACGCTAGGTACAAGAAAATAGGGGGATAAAAATTAAATTGTAGCTCAAGGATTGTCATATGGATCTTCAAAAGACAAATGAACAAGCAGATTCCAGTCAAGAGGATTTGAACATCTATGAACAGGATTATAAAATTTATCAGATAAACTGTTGTTGCTTTAAATAAAAATGGAAATAGCAAAGCCAGTTTTATTTTTATCTCTTTAACAGAATGTGATATACAGAAACTATCAAGAGTCACATCAAACCATCAAGAATTTTTGGACTGTGTTTTTCAGGCTCCCAGAAGAAAAAAAGAAAAAGTTTCTTGGTAATATTCAGACATTCTAAACTTTCCTATAGCCCTTTTCTCTCTCTCTCTCACAAGACACATCTAGACGTTTGTGTGTGAAAAATACTGTAGATCCAAACTGCTTTTCAGCATGCTTTTCCCCCCATTTTCTAGTGAATGCCACAAAGGATTAATGCTAAGAATAATACAGACACAGGTCTGACCCTTCTCACCTCCCTTGAAGCTTGCTTAAAGGCATCTGACACCCTTGAATCTTGCAATTACCTTACCCCTTACTTTTGTGGATATCAGTTGTTGGTCAGAGGCCCCAACTTGCATGCTGACACAAGCAGTTTAGCTTTCTCAAAGGAAGCTACCTCATCCTTTTAAGAGGTAGAAGATCAAACCTAGCCTGGGTTTTCTCGTCCACAAAGCCTATATAAGTTAAAGTAGAAGATGGTTTATAATTATTACAAATCAGCAAGAGAATTTATTATAATTGGGTACAAATTGAGCAACACAAAACAATTAGCTTATGGAAATAGTTATATGTTTACACTGATTTTCCTTCATATGTTTTTCATCCACAGATGACGTTTTCTTGTTTGTTTGTTTTTAATTTGCTAACTTGCCTTTGTTCCATCCCCCTTTGTTTAGCTTTTTTGTCAGGATCTGATCGAATCCCTGCCTATGGACTGGAATATTTACGATTTACCATTGAAGATCCTAGACGGGAAAATCCAGATAATCTTCTTCCTTACGTTAGTACCTGCGGCTACATTCTCTACCTCCCCAGGTACAGCAGTAAAGAAATACTAAAGAAACAGTTCCTCTGTGCCATAGAGTATGATGAAGGTTTTGCCTTGCAGTGACTTTTGGTCAGGAGCATGTTAAAGCACAAACAAGAAAGCAAGTCTTTGTTTCACGTCTAATATTTTTCCTCTTGGTAACTGATTTACTGCTTTCTAACCTGATTTTTTTTTTTTACTGTACTTCATAAACACTTGACTGTTTGTTTTGACTAAGGTTGTATATTGATTATATACGTGATGGTTAGATTATAAAGTTAGTAAAGAAAAGAACACTATTTAACATGCTTGCAAGAAGCAAGTTGGTAAATGAGTATATTTACATGTATGTTCATCCTAATTGTGCTGTAGTGGTCTTCTTTAGTTGGTTGAGCTTTCAACAACAGGGTTTCTGTGGTTTGGACGTTACCAAACACACAGCGTATGCTAAAGTCATTGTCACAAGAGGAGGCCAAGGTAACATCTTAATTTGTGTTAGTCAAGGATGCCCTTGGAGAGCAACCAGCCCTAAGGAGACCTGATCCATTAAGTTGTGAATTGAAGGAGCAATCTGTACGTAGCTGAATATGGCCTTTTACTTATCTGAGAGAAGTTCTTAGGAGGAGGATTTGATCATTCCTAGACTTGGTCAGCATTGTAAAGCATTAATTTGTAAATTAATTGTTGTTTGTAATTACTGTAATTAATTTGTAAAGCATTAATTAGTTTGTTGTGTTGCTTTACATCTTCTAAGGAGATGGCTGGCAATAAAAAAACAGAATTTTAGGCCTGCAGAGCGTTGTGAATATGAGGCTTGCAGGACTGTTTGAAGCTCATTGCCAAAACTGTTTAACACTGGCAGGATATTGGCAATGTCAGGCGGGAAGTAAAGGCAGAATGTGTATTTTCTCTATATATTTTGCTTTATATAAAAAAAAAATAATAATTGAGGGATAGCAGTCATGATTTTTCTGCCGTCCTTTTTCCTTTGGTGTAAGTGTGTCAGTAGATGTACATATGTAAAGAAGGTTTTACTGTGCTAAATTAAATGATGATTGGTTAAATTTTCATACCTGTGGTTCTGTTTTTCCTCTGTTATGTGGCTGCCTATGCATGACAATGTATATCTGTTTTCTGTCCTCATTCATATACACAAGGCCTGCACCAGAGGAGTCCAAGGCTATATAGGTGTGTTTCATCTTTCTAGGCTATATAGGTGTGTTTCATGTCTTTCATTCATCAAAAGCCTCTGTTACATCTTGGAAATCTGGAGTGATCTTTTGTGCTCTGCAAGTGCACAAAAGATGTATTGTTTGGATTTCCAAATAACCCATCAGAGATTAAATGATGATAGGCTTATTTAGAGCCTGAAGGAATTTCCTTATCATGTATGATGCAACAACACATGGGAGATGAAATCCCAGAATAACTTCCAAGGCTATTTTGATTTATCTTTAAATAAACCCTGCTTTTATAAAAAAAAAATAATAAAAAATTTTAGAAAGACCTTTCAAAGAAGCCGAGTAGAGCACTGTCATATTCTGAAATGACTTCGAGCTCCAAGCTGTGTCTACATTTTTTCAAACAGTGCTTATTATAAAATATGCAAAGAAATACGATGTGAGTGAGCCTGATACCCAGCTATGAGTTTAGGAGGCTTTACACAGGTATCAAACGTATATTGAACCTGCAGCAGGATTTTTTTAGACTGCTCTTCTGATCCTGAACATCACCTGTAGAGATGTGCCAGAGCTCTGTAGAGCAGCTGATGCAGTCAGCGTGGATCTGGGATGACTTGGACACCTGGGCAGCTTGTAAGCTATGAGAAGCAAAGTGGGTAGCCTTGGTGAAGAGTGTTAAAGATGCCTTCGTGCTGGATTTGCTGCAGAGCAGACACCATGCAGAAATGCCACTTCCACGGGGGCTAGCAATACCTCACCTTGGCTCGTGGCAGCCAGCATAGGCAGCTATCCCTGGCTAATCCTCAGAGCTCCTCTGAAAAAAGTCTCTTTCCTGACACAGAAAGGGCTGAAGAGAAAAAATACAGAAGGGTTCATTGCTTCCGGAGCAACACAGAGACTAATGGCCACACAGAGGGATTTTTCCCCTCACCAGCCCATAGAGAGATGTAGATCCCCCCCTTGCCTCTCTGACTCCACCTGAAAAACAACAGGTGAGTTAAGTTCATGGCGCAATCAAACCTGAGCCAGCATGAAGAAATGAACCTTGGGAGTAGCCTCCAGAGGGAGCTGTGCTCAGTAAAGTGGGTGAAACCAATTTACTTTGGTGTTTTTACTATTTTACACGTTTATGAAAGACCAGCCTTGAAAGTTCTCTGTGAACTCTAAATGTAGACAACTAGCAACAGGTTTGAGCAACAGATTCCTGCCCCCCTTGGACAAATTACGGGCTTAATTTCCTCTTTTATATTATTATTATTATAATAATTTAATAATTATAATAATTTATTTGATGTCTTCCCCTCCTTGATTGCTCAGAGACAAACAGAGGAAAATGAGTGTAAAGGGACTTTTTACAGATATCTCCAAATGACAAAAGAAATAAAAACAAATGAAACAAACATTTTTTTCCTCTACGCTTACTTATTCTAGAAGCTACTTGTAACACAGTAAGTAGAAGCCATTATGTCATAGGTACAATTGTACAATAGCAAGTAACTTTTTTCATGATCAACATGCATGACCCATGCTAATACAGAAGGTGAATTTGTATCTGAAAAGTGACAGAGTGCATGCTAAGTATACAAACACTGGCATTTTGTGTCTCATTCATCCTTGCAAAGATCTTTACATGGTTTGCTCAAATACGGACTGTCATTCTGAAAAATGAGAAAGAAGACCTACAGAGAATGGAAGCAACGACAGATAGCCTGGGAGGGATGCAGAGACACTGTCTGAGCAGCCAGGGCTCACGTTAGGAAAGCCAAGGCCCTTTGAGAATTAAATTTGGCCAGGCACATCAGGGGCAACACGAAAGGTTTCTATAGGTATATTGGTGATAAAAGGAAGACTAGAGAAATTGTGGGCCCTCTTCGGAAGAAAGTGGGAGACCTAGTCACTGGGGATATGAAGAAGGCTGAGGTACTTAACGACTATTTTGCCTCAGTCATCACTGACAAGAGTTTGAGCCACATGGCCCAGGCCCCAGGAGGCAAAGGCCTGGACTGGAAGAATGAAAAACTGCCTCTGTGGGAGAATATCAGGTTCAAGACCAGCCAAAGAACCTGAAGTTGCACAGGTCCATGGGATCTGATGAGGTGCATCTGCAGGTCCTGAGGGAACTGGCAGATGTGGTTGTGAAGCCACTGTCCATCATTGTGAGAAGTGGTGGCCATCCAGTGAAATTTTGCAGTGGCTGGAAAAGGGGAAACATAACCCCCCTTTTTAAAAAGGGAAAAAAACAAGACTTGGGGAACTACAGGCCAGTCAGTCACACCTCTGTACTTGGCAAGATCATGGAGCAGATCCTCCTGGAAACTAGGCTAAGGCTCATGGAAAGTAAGGAGGTGACTGGTGACAGCCAGCATGGCTTCACTGAGGGTGAATCATTCCTGACAAACCTGGTGGCCTTCTATGACAGGGTTACAGCACTGGTGGGTAGGGGAAGAGCAACTGACACCATCTACCGGGACTTGCACAAAGCCTCTGACACTGCCCCCTGTGATATCCTTGTCTCCAAGTTGGAGAGAGATGGATTTGATGGATGGACCACTTGGTGGGTGAGGATTTGGCTGGGTGCCTGCACTCAAAGAGCTGCGGTTCAATGGCTCAGTGTCCAGGTGGAGATCAGTGGTGCTCCTCAGGGGATCAGTTTTGGGACCAGCGCTGTTTAGCACCTCAGTTGGCGACAGGGACAGCGGGCTCAAGCGCACCCTCAGCACATTTACTGCTGACACCAAGCTGCGTGGCGCAGCCGACACACTGCAGGGAAGGGATGGGACCTGGACATCCTTCAGAGGAGGGCCTGGGCAACCCCCTCAGGCTTCACCAAGGCTCGAAGAGAGCCCAGAGAGGCCGTGCCAACCCCACCCCCAGGCCGGGGCCCTGCCGCCCCGCCCGCCATAGGCGGCCCCGCGCCGCCCCTGCAAGGGGCCGGACTTCCGCGGGGCCGCGGCGGCAGCGGCGGGGCTGGGGCTGGGGCAGGTGAGCGGCCGTGGGGGGGGGCCCTCGGGGCCCGGCCCCAGCGGAGGGGAGGGCGGCCGGGCAGGGCTGGGGACCCCCGGTTTAGCTCGTCGGGGGTCGCAGCTCGGGGTCGGTGAGCAGCGGGGGGGAGCAGCGCTGCGGGGCTGCTGGGGGAGGGAGCCGCCATCCGTGCCAGCTGGGGCTTATTATAGCCGGGCTTATTATAGCCGAGGTCTCCCCATGGCAGCGCTTCTCCTCGGAAATACACCCGTGCCGCGTCCCCTCGGCTCTTGCAGTGCTGTGCACATCCTTCATCGAGCCGGGCTGAGCTGTTCCGGGAGCGGGGATGCCGGGAGCCTGCCCTCCGCCCTGCTTTTTTTTTGGGGGGGGAGGCTGCAAGCGAGCGGCTCTGCTGCACTGCATCCCTTCGGGTCTCCAAAAATGAATACAGAGCAGTGAAGGGCAGGAGAGGTGCAGGGGTTGGCTCTTCATCCGGTTTTAAAATGCCCTAACTGATGCGTTTTAAAGACCTTTCCCTAAGGGCTTGCCCTATAAAAAAAGCCGGGTTTTTATCCGTAGCACGTATCTAGCTGAGCACTAGGAATAACGTTGCAAACTCAGGTAAGTGAATATGAATTTTATCTATTTTTGCGTGTGTACGTGCACGTCACCCTTACAGCCACCTCGCCATCGAAGCCTTTTATATCCTCCTTTTAGTATCAGGAGGACGCACAGAAGGAGTTTGCAGTGTAGGATGGCTATTTTGTTCTTCCGCCGATGCCAGAGGAATAAACGCCGTGACCAGGATGGGAAACGAAGCGTGAATCTTTGTTCAGAGCTCCGTGTGTCAGGACGCAGCTCCTGCTCGAACACCCCACGCATTAAGGCTGGAAGCCCCATTGCAAGATGTGGTGGGGTGGCAGCGCAGGGCATGACAGCACGCTAAAACAATGCTGGTTTTAGAGATGGGTTATGCTTTCCAAATAAATCAGGTGAAAACACGGCCATTGGGAAATAGCTGTGTCTGTGTGCTCGCATGGAAAGGGGCTCTGTTGGTTTGCACTCTTTGAGTGGAAAGTGCTGCCCGGAATAATAGGGCTGCACATGGATTTATCAGCAAAACGTTTGGAGGGTGGGACTCCAGAGGACATATTTTTAGAACTAATCAAAAATCCATTTAAGGACAGATTTTTTAGAGTTCGTGGCACGCCTCGTTGTCTGCTCTAGGGGTTGTTAGGCTTTAGGTGCTTCAGAAAATCTGACAGCCAGCATGAATGGGCTCTGAGCTTCTTTGAGGTGTCACCCGAGTAACTCCTATGAATCACTGGGAGTCTGACCTCTTCCTACTTCAAGCTATGTCTTAACAGTGGGGAAAAAACATCGTTTGCTAATTGCACACACACCCCCAGCCCAGCACTGAAACTGCTTGTGTAGAATATTAACACAAGGAAATTAATTTGAAGTATTTTTAGCATTTTAAATGAAATTAGCATCTGGAAAGAAGACCGTGACCCATGGGGAGCAGACTGCCCAGAAACCCTTTTAGAAAGGTATCCTAAATTAATATTTAGCTCACGTTGTCCGATGTCCCTGCAGTTCAGGTTGTAGAGTGCTGAAGTCTTTTCAGCCCAGAGGCAACGTTGGCTGAGAGCAGCAAGGAAAGCGATCTGGGGATCTTCAGGGCTGCTCTCCTTGTGAAGCTGCTTACACCTTTGTAATCAGGGGATTCCCCAGGATGAGACAAATGGTAGCCTCAGATTTTTTTTGCTCTTTCAGCTGTCAGGCTTGAAATGATTCTGTGCCTTTGTGTTGTCACCTGCAGGAAGTTGCTTGCGGTGTTTATTTTTCTTTTTTTATTTTTTAGGCAGAACATGAAGTTCCCTGTAAATATAGCAGTTGTGTCACTGGAAGCATAAGCACGTGCATGACTTCAGTGTCACTGCGTCCCACGGCACTCCTGTTCCTGGTGTAGGAAACGGTGTAACTGGCACAGAGGGTGTCTTCCGTGGGCCATCTGAGGGCAGCCAAGCACCGAGTGTGCAGCAGGGGCTCTGCCAGCTGGACAGAGCCTTGTCACCTCCTGCTTTTTAAACTGGGGGTGCCTTGCAGCTGGCCAGTGACAATTGTACGTGGGGTGTGAGTGAAATGGGTTATGCTAAAAAGGAGCAGGAGGGGCTCTTAGAGATAAATGGGATTCAGCGCGTGCTTTAGGGCACCTGATAAGAGATCCTAGTGAACGCTTTGTGGCAGGAAGCTGCACCACTGATGGGCTACAGCTGGAAAATCCTCTCCTCTCTGAGGTGGAGGTGACCACAGCAGGGGAGCCCGGCAGATGAACACACGCTGCTCAGGACTTGGATTATGAAGGGCTTTACTGCTAATACCTAGGGCTTGAATTAGCACCGAGCTTTGGAAACCAACTGAGTTGCACGTGTTTCCTGTCTATGAATCTGATTTTTTATTTTTATTTTTTATTTTTTTTGAGGAATTTTCTGGTGCTTTGAGGGTAGTCGCTGGCTTTTAGATCCTGTCCTGACATTGTAAGTGTTGCTGCCGCTGTAAGTTGCCTTAGTTTAAAACTTGGCGTGGTAAATCGTAAGGCTTGATGTTGAGGATCTTTCATTTTCTGTTCTGCTCTTTCTTTTTTTTCTCTTTACAGAAAAATAGGGCTTTAATCAGTTTCTAGTTCAAGCAGGGGAGTTCTCGGTGTCGTGCTGGTATGGCATGTTTAACAAGTGGCCCCAAAACACTGAGATTAGGAGGGACAAGGAAGCGCTGCTACAATCTTTGAGGTGCTTGTTCTGGAACAAGGGCTGATTTCCCCCCCTCCAGCTCTTATGCAATAGAAAGCTGTTGCCATACCAAGTTCAGACTGCGCAATAACTCAGTCCCTTTACATTGCTTTATTTTTTTCCTTCCCGTTGTACTGCATTATCTGCAATCCCTGACTTTCACTGCGTTCAGCACCAGAGATAAGCCCTGAGCTCTGGCAGGTTGCAGTGATGGTGGAGTTTTACGTATCTGTTGCCGTCAGGGGCTGAGCTGTCAGCGTGCTGTTCTACTTGAACCTCTTTTTCTTGGAAAATTCTTGCTTCATCCACACTTCTCCCCTCGTTTTCTCTTCCCAGGAAGAATACATGACTTGCTGAAAAGAGAGAAAATGCTATGCTGGGGTTACTCGTCTTTTGGACAGCCTGGGATAGGTAGCAACCTCCAGGTCATCATTCCTGAACCGCAGGTGTACGGGTTCATCCATGACAGAAACGTCAAGGAGGTGGCGTGCGGAGGAAACCATTCTGTGTTCCTGCTGGAAGATGGGGAGGTGTACACCTGTGGCTTGAACACCAAAGGCCAGCTGGGGCATGAGAGCGAAGGAAGCAAGCCAGGTAAGGCTGCCTCTTACACAGCTTCGAACCGGCTGAGGCTGGGGGGCTGAGAGGACCAGGGAAGGTGCTCTGTGCTGGTTGCTGTGGAGCTGGAACAGCCAGCAGAGCTGAAGATCCCGTCGTGATGTAGCGATGCTGAGTAGTATTTGCTGGCTGTGCAAAGCTACAGCTGGGCAGTATGGGTGGGGAGGCGTTTCTGCCTGCTTTGTGTGGGAAGTGCATCAAGAAGCAGAGGTGAGTGGAGGTGATCTCAGGACAGGTGTTTTTATTTGGCTTTATGGTGCCTTGTGATAAAAGGGAAGGGAGGGCCTTCTTGCTTTTGGCTGAGGGAGTTTATGAATTTTGTTTTCTGCTCTTGCAAATCTCTTGTCAACTTAGGCCTTGTCCCCTTCGTGGTTTCTTAAGCTAGAAGAAGGTCGTTGTAGCTTTGTTTTCCCCAAACTCAAATAATAATCAAGACATGCAGGGGACCAGCACCTTTTGAAGGCTGTAAAAAAATAAAAAATGCTTGAGGAGTTCAGAAGGGACAGTGGTCTCTGTCCTGTTGCCTAGGTCTGTGCTCAGAGAGGAAGCAGCTCCCTTTTATCTCTCATGGAGGGGGGGAAGCTGGAGGAAGGGATATGGAGACATATGCTGCCATTATGTTAAAAGCTTTGGTTTCTGTTTTTAAGAATATGTGATCATGCTGTTCAGTCAGAGACAGATACTGCCCAAGATGATGTCTGCTTATGAATAAAATTCCAGGAATCTGCAATACAACACACTCAGTGTTGAGCTAACTTTTTTTTTTCCCCCGTTGAAAAGCTTGCAGGTTTTACTAATGACTAAGGGGGAAAAGAGTTTTTATGTATGCAGTAAGTTTTTTTTTTTTTTTTTTTTTTTTTTTATGACTCTGGTCCCCTTAACTATTCCAAATAATTAATTTGTTTTTCTTCTGCCTTCCATTGACACAGATGATGCTATTTCAATTTTGCTTCTCATTCTTGCTGCTTACAAAAACATCAAACAGGAACAGTTGTTTCAGTAACTCCTCTTGGAGGAGTCCTTTAGGGAGCACCTTTTGTAATGAAAGATGCTTTTGAATTTGTTTTATATTGCGTTTATTATCACACGGGCTGAGCTTGTGGATGTAACGCAGAGATAGGATGGCAACCACTGAGCTGATTTTTGTGCCTCTCCACCGCAGGGAGCAGGGATTACTGAGGGAATATTTTATGCTGAATGAGGATGAGTTGATGGAGATTTTTTTTACTGGAAGTGTCCTTTCCTGATGTTACTGCTTAGGAGAATTAATTCAGAGATCTTCATGGTAAAGAGTTAAGAGTCCATTGTCCTGCAAAATCAGTCTGAGTTTGCTCAATTTCCTGAGCATCATCAGCTGTTACCATGCATTAAGTCTCCAGTGTGTAGTGATAATTTTGAATTACAGTAGTTTAAGGAAACAAGGAGCTTATTTCTAACTGTACCTCTAAACTTCCTCTGTAGCCCTGTAATCTCGCTTAGATTTGGTTCTCTCCAGGTCTGTTCTGATGTCTTGACTCCCTGTGATGTTTTATCTGAGTGTGCATGTGTATGCTAGGCCTAGATACCCAAGGTAAAGGCTGTTGTGGAATTTGGGCTAAATTATGGAGGTATGTGAGATAGCCAGCTGGTTTTTAGATGTTTGTAAAGTCTTAGACACATGTTTGAGATGTTGAACATGTTTCATTACAGGGATTTCTTCTCTGCAGCTCATTCAGACTACAGCTAGTGGGGAATAAAAGAAATAAATGTTGGGAGGGGGAGGGAGCTTTGGTAATTAACGTCCCAAGGGAGCTACAAAAAAGTGTCTGGCACCAATGTTGCCTCGAACCTTCCCTCTGGTAGCAAACAGCAGGCAGAACCATGGTGTTACAGATTGCCTGCCTGGATTCAGAAGTGCAGGGCAGTATTGTCTCAGTTCACGTTGCAGAATCTCAATGCTCATTGCTGCAGGGGCTGCAAATATCACGTCCAATCTGAAATATCATTACACAGAGTCTCACTACGTATAGCCCCTGTCACTTGAATTTCTCTGAACACAGTGGCCTTGCTTTTCAAACGCAAATTTACTTCCTCTGAACTCTGGCGTGGAGCTAAAGTGGCCAGAAACACCGATGCCCGCGGTGGTGTGCCTGTAAATCATAAACTGTGTAACAGCTGAGAATTCAGCTGTGTGACCCGTTTGTAAGGACAGCCTGGATGGATCGTCCTCTTGTAGCCTCTTCCCTGTTGGGGAGAAGCCAGCTGGGAGGCCCTGCTTGCTGGGGAGCAGGAGGAGAAGCGGCAGGGCTGGTGTTTGTTGGAGGCAGCCATGGGAGGTGAGCAAGTCACAGATGAGGAGGAGTGGCTGCTGCCTGGAATAGGTAAGGTCTAGAACCTCGTACAGCGGTAGGAAAATGTGATTTTGGGGAACGGGGAAACTAACCAGAAGGGTTGAGGTTGGAAGGGACCTCTGGAGGCAATCTTGGTTGGAAGAGGTGCAACCCCCATGCTCGAGCAGGACCACTGAGGGTAGGTAGCCCAGGGCCACGTCCAGGCAGCTTTTGAAGACCCTTGTTCACAAGGTCCCCCCAGCTCCTCTTCTGCAAAGTTGCTTTCCAGCTGGAAACAGCTGCTCCTGCAGCAGTTGTGTGGAGAAATGCTCACTCTCTTAACACCTGACCTGCCTTTTAAACAGCGGGTTGCCCGTGTAAACTCCTGATAAAGAAACAGAGATATGAGCATCTGTACTTCCATCAGAATGCTCTTCAAATCTCGCAGCAGAGAAAGTGGAATTGTTCTGTGCATGTATACACTTCTGATCTTGCTTCTGCCCTATGAAGTAACTCATTCTTGATGGTTTGTCTGGCCTGTTATACAGAATAACCTCCGTTAAATGACTGAATTTCATGTCCTTGAACACCTTTACTGCAGAAGCACAATAAAATCTTTCACGTTCCTGAGGTTTGTGTTAATCTGTGTCCTACTTCAGTGTACACATGAATCGCTTGTACTTCAGCCCTGTGATGGTAGTATGGACTTGACACTTTTTTCCTTTAGACAAATTTATATCCAAAAGACCAGTTTGTGTTCTGAAGGGGGAAAAAAAAAAAAAGTGAAGTGCATCCAGGGATGACAGTCTGCTTTTGCTCTACATCCAGTAGCAAGCTGTGAGACCAGTTTCTCAGCCAACACCTTCCATTTTGCTTCTGAAGTACTGTTGCTAGAGCAAATGTTTTCAGGAAGAGCTTTCTCCAAAAGCTGTTTTATGAGTTGGGGTTGGGCTTGAGTGCATAAACTTTTTTTTTATGAACCCAAAAGATGGGGTGTTCAAGTTATATCAAACCTCTGCCCTACTGAAAGCTATTGAATCTGAGAATAAATAAAATCTCTTTCGTAAATGTTCAATAGGAGCGTGTTGATCCCTCCCTTTCCCAGTCACCTGCCTTCTGTGCAGTAATATTTTCAAACAGGACTTGTGAAACTGACTGGGATGTCATTGAAAGCAAGGACAAATGTGTTGCAGTGCCCGCACTGTACAGATGTGGCTTCTCAGGAACATGGGGCTTTGTTCTGCTCCTGTGCAAATTGCTGCAGGATTGATTTGAAGAGGAACTAAGTCAGCAGGCCAAGTGCTTCTGGAAATTCTGGGCTTCTTAATCAAAGCCTTCCTTCTAGAAGAAAATATAAAATGCCTCTGTGAAGACTAAAGATTTCCTGTTTCTGTGCAGAACTGCTCTGATAACATGAAACGATGGCTAAATAGCACCTGTCCAGTTACAAAAAGTGGAGCAAACCCCTTAGGTCTTGCTCGCAGCATGTGGTATATGTTGCAATGCTCTCTGTGCTGGAGGGATTTGGAGGTGCTTCAGTTAGATCCCTCGGCTCAGACACAGTCACAGGGTGGAAGGACACGGCTACAGCAGTCACCTGTCTGCAGGGCTGACCACAGGATGGCTGAGGTGGGAAGGGACCTCTGGAGATCATTTGGTCCAACCCCCTGCCGAGCAGGGTCACCTAGAGCACATCGCACAGGATGGCATCCAGGCAGGGTTTGAATATCTCCAGAGAAAAGGAGACTCCATAACCTCTCTGGGCAGCCTGTCCCAGAGCTCTGTCACCTCACAGTTAAGAAGTGCCCCCTCATATTCAACCAGAACCTCCTGGGCTTCAGTTTGTGCCTGTCGCTGGGCACCACTGAAGAGTCCGGCCCTGTCCTCTTAACTCCCTCCCTTCAGATATTTGTGTACGTTGATCGGTTCCCCTCTCAGTCCTCTGTTCTCCGTGCTAAACAGACTGGGACACCCAGCAAACACCATCTTAGAGAAAGGCTCGGCAAGGAGGAGGGAGGCGGTGGCAGCAAAGCGGCGGGGCTGGCGTCAGCAGGGCGGTGCCAGCTGCCTACGTGCTGTGCACCTCATCGGGGCAGAGACTGTCTGCAGACACAGAGGCGTGTTCCCAAAACTGTCCTCAGGTGTTGCTGCTGACAGCCCACAGCTCCAGAGGTGGTGTGAATGAAGCCAGGGGAGCTGCCTTGGTTCCCGTGCTTCCTTGCATGCTGACTGAGGCAGGTTATACTTTCAGAAGCACCTGACAACATCACAAATTCTATATATTTGCTTAAGTAGTCTATACAGTCTGATTTCTTCCTCTTCAATCCCAGGCTCTAGATGTTCTTCATGGCAGCTGTGACCACGAGAGAACTGCGTGAGGGGAGCTGAAAGCGTGCAGAAGGCAATCACGGGGTGATGCACGCGGGGCTTTAAAGCAGAGAGGAAGGGATGAAAAGGCCCTGACAAACAGCACGTGTTTTTTTTCCCCTCTGCAGTTACCAGTTTCCAGGTGTCAGCACCAGGCTTCACAGGGAGTGGTGTTTCCTGGAAAAGGTGCTGAGTGTATGAGTGCTCCTGATGCTGGTAAAAGCACTGAATAGCTAAGGCAGTGCTGACAAAACAAGGAGTAACCGAGGAATCAGCAGTGAGCTGAAGGATCCTACTAAATGTATGAAAATCTTGTCAGAGAGCTCGGGGATCTGCTGTTGTTTATGAGCTCTTTGTACTGTGTCTTTACCAAGTTTCTGGCTGTTGACAGCTGCCGTGATGTAGCTCAGAGGAATTTCAACAGTTGTTTTTCCCTCCCCTGTGTTTCTCCTGCCATCTATTATCTGGGCAAGATACCTAATGTAGAGACTCAGTCCTTTCTGAGCAGAAAGAAACAACCAAGAGGGACAAATGTGCTGAGTTGCTTGTTCTCAAGCTGGGGAGGACACGAGGAGCTCCACTTAGGTGTCCAAGAGGACCGATACTGCTTGAAACTCTTCCAAGCAACAGCTGCTTCTCCCTAGGGGAGAAAACCAGATTTTGCCCCTGAAGGTGTAGCATTAGGGCTGATTTCAGACAGAAGAAGCCATCTGGTGCTGTCCACGTACATCACAGGACACTTAGGGCTGAAAGAACAAACCTCATCCGTTGCATTGCTCATCCGCGTGCAGTGATGCATCTTTTCTGAGGAACCAGCAACAGTGCTGTGATGCTCTGGAATTAAACAATTTATACCAACAGCTAAAATGTGGGATATCGATTTTACAGAATGACAAGCAGGACGTGAGAGGGGGACTTAAACTAATCACCACCTTGCAGCTTATGGAGCGCATCTTTCTTCATCCACTCCGAAACATTTCTTCAGGGAAGAAGGAAGAAAATCAGCTTTGCTTCTGTCTGGCTTGTGGGGAGCTTTTCCATTCAGCTGTCTGTCAGTTCCAGCGCTTTGTTGCAAGACAAGACCTTTTCATGTCAGTTTGTAAAAGCTCTGCGTAATGAGTAAGACTTGGTTGCTGATGTTCTAAAAATAGTTGTCAAACCTATTCCAGTTGCATAACATGACATGACAATGAAAAGTAAATTGTGGGTAATCTTCCAAAGGAATGAGTGTTGTTTTTTTTTTTCTCTTTTATTCCTCTGCAAGGCCCTCTTGTTCTTTATATGATTTTTTTAATGAGCATCTGACAGCAATAGAAGCACTGCTAGCAACAGGTTGGTAGGTTCAAACCTGTTCCAGGCTTAGCACTGAGAGTGTTGTGACATGTGTGCTTTGTGCATCGGGTAGTAAAGCAAGAGACAACTGGATTGATGAGCTTTTTGGATGACCTCCCATTGGACATGAGAGGTGTGGAAGGTCAAAGGTATTTTACAGGGTTTGCTGGCTTCTGAGTCCTTGCTGATCCCCACATCCAGGCTGAGTTAGGAAACATCAAATCTGAGAAGTGTGGATGTTCCTAAATAACCTGATTGCCTGTATCTGAGAGGCTGTCTGTGTGTAGGCTATCATTGTGCTTTGGGGCGTGTACCTGCCCTTATCCTATGATTCACAAGCCAGACTTTCAGAAGAGCTCAGCAGTTTCAGTAAAGGTTGGTGCTTTCCTCTTGTAGGGAATGTTTTAAAACTAAATTGAGCATCAACACACCTTCTGAATGGCTTTGCCTACAGGTTTATCCAGACCTGATGTCTGCATGTAGCTATGAGACCAGTCCTGTGACCAGTTTTTTCTTTTTTTTTTTCTTTTTTCTCAGAACAAATTGGAGCCCTGGCAGGGCAGCACATAGTCCACGTGGCCTGCGGAGAGTCTCACAGCGTGGCACTCAGCGACCAGGGGCAGCTCTTCTCCTGGGGTGCCGGCAGCGATGGGCAGTTGGGCCTCACCACGATAGAAGAAGCAGTGACAGTGCCAAGGTAAATTTTTGAAGAGGTTCAAGTTTCCTTAAGGTACCTACTTGGACGTGTTGTATCAGGGATTTTTCACCTTCCAGCCTGGAGCATTGCTCTCACTCCAAGGGCTGGTAATTGGGTGCTTCTCATGTACCAATAGTAGCATGATGCCTCCTCCTTTCCCCTCTCAGCATTTTTTAAGTTTCATTGGCATTCAGGAAGTTTGGGCAGGCCAGGACTTCTGTTTCTGGACTTTGGTGCTGGGGACACATGAAGAAAGAGCATGCTCAGCTTCTTCAAAGAAAAATCTGTCAGTGTTATCTACAGAGCAAGGAGATACATGAGGGAGGACTCCAAAACAGTAATGTTTTGTGGTGTCTGTTTATTCCAATCCCTAGAAATCCCTTGAGTTCACAAGGCCATATTTCAAGAATGGGGTAAAAATATGGCCTTGTGAACTGGCACCTCAGTTTTGAAACTCTTGCAGTGTTGCTCATTAGCACCTTCTGCTTGTCAGCAAAGCTTCTTACCCAGCCCATTGCAATTCTGAATAGTCAGTGTTGCTCAGAAACTTCAGGGAATTGCTCTTTTATTTTTTTTATTCACTTGCTTAATGCCTATTACCTGTCTCAGAGTACTAAGAGTATTAAGCGCAAGGACATGTGGATGGAGCAGGGGCCAGTGGCTGACATCCAGAGCAGTTCGCAGATGACATGTCACAGCTTAGCACCACAATGAAGACAGCTGATCTCTTTGTACCCAGTGGTGTTGTATCAGGCTACATTAATAACAGATCTGTTCTGTCTGTTATTCTGGTTACCACTGCATATCCAGCGCAGAGCAGGAAGAGGAGGTTTGGGGCACCTATCTAGTAGGGTGGCTGTTATTATTGGAACAGTATTTAAAGAAAATGAGTTCTAGTTGCAAAAGCACATATTTCAGATGAAGGGCTCTGTGGGAAGAAAGCTCTTAACTTGCAGGCGGATCTGATACAACAAAGAGAGACATGCTCACATGCCAATGTAATTGTGCCATTTTAAAAATAACATTTTTTTGAAGCAGCTTGAACCTTTGACGTGCTGTTCTTTGTGCAAAACACTTGAAGAGGTTTTGGTTCTATAACTCATAGGAACTACTATGCCCTGATGGGTTGAAGAATGTCAATGCCTGTAAAACAATAGTAGAGACACCAAAAAATGTTTCTTTCCCCACCATTTTCAGATGTCTGGAAATGTAGCAGTAAAGATAGTTGGAGTTGGTAGTCAAGTATCTAAATCTCCTCACAGATTTGTATCTATTGTGCAAAGATCTGTATCACCTCCAAGATTCAATTCCTCATCTCAAAATCACAGGTTATATGTGTGTCTAGAATACCTGAATGGAAATGGTAAATTCATCTATGGTCATACTATATTTGTGGATGATTATTCTAAAATAATGTCGTCTTCTTTAGGTTGATAAAGAAACTGAACCAACAGACGATACTGCAGGTTTCCTGTGGAAACTGGCATTGCCTGGCTTTGGCAGCAGGTACTGTAACATTCATTATTTACTACCAAGATTTCTGCTGTTGTTTTGCACAGTGTCCAAGATTGCTTATTTCTGCACAATAAGCCAAGGACATCCCCGTCTCAACTGTTTTTGGGACAAATGGGAGACAATAAAGTGGATCAGATACCATGAATATTGAAGAGCTTTGCCAATACTGCCAAGAAAGGAAGCATCACATATTACGCACTGCCTCACTACTGAATAATGGCAGGAACACTTAAAAGCTTTCCATCTTGATGTAGAAAAATGTGTAGAGTTAATTCTGTTGCATCAAAATTATCCTTGGCTCTTCTGTATGCAACCTGTGGACCATTCTTTGTTGTGTTGTTTAAGTTACAGCAGTCTATGTTGTATTTTGCACTTAGTTACACATCTTTCTTTACTTAGTGTCTTTGGACAGGGCTTTTATTTTAGGAAAGATCATCTTGCTTGATTTTTCCATCATGAGGTTTGGGTGGGAGAGAAGCCCCCAGCACTGGTGTTCATTTTGACAAACTTGTTCTTCTGTTGACCAGCTCTTATTCACTGTTCTCTTTTTTTTTTGTTTTGTTTCAGATGGTCAGTTCTTCACATGGGGACAGAACAGCTATGGTCAGCTGGGCTTGGGTAAAGAATGTCCCTCCCAAGCCAGTCCACAACGTGTCAAATCTCTTGATGGCATCCCTTTGGCTCAGGTTGCTGCAGGTGGAGCACACAGTTTTGCCCTCTCTCTCTCAGGAGCTGTGTTTGGCTGGGGGAAGAACAGCTCAGGACAACTGGGACTAAGTGATGAACGAGGTATTGAAATTATGCTCTTTGGTGAAAGAAGGATGGACTTTTTTTTTGGCTGAGTGACACTCTTTTTTCTTTTGACAGTCTGTTTTTACTGAGCAGATGTAGAAACCTCAGCAGCTCCTTAGGTTTTCTGCCTTAGAGGACAGAAAAACAGTCGGGCTCTACAGGCTTTTCATGATTAGTTGTAATAGAAACACTTCTTTTTCCTTTCTAGATGTTAGTGGGAGTGAAGGTCAAAAAAAAAAAAAGTGTCAAAATGCAGGAACCCAAGGAAGTGCTTATGTTATTCTTCCCCTCAAAAACACTCTGTTTATATTTTGTTTGAAGTTGATGTAGAGCAAAGGCTCTTCATGTGGAACAATGAACTGAACTTGCACAGTTTTTCAGACATGCTGGGCCAATGGTATGTTGTATTTCAGGTGATCATGATCAGTGAAGCCTAGCCATCAACAGACTTGAAGACTGATTTATAAATTAGGCTTCAAGAGTGGATATGACATTACCACTAGTCTGAAAAGTCCAGATTCCCTCAGCTTGTTAATATGCTCTTTAACTATTCACAAAGGCAAAAGAGATTTTCTTTGGAGTTTCAGATCAACCTCTTCATCTTTATCTGCATAGTTCCTGAGTAGCTTTAAGTATCTAGGCAAGTTACTGAGCGTGGATGTGAAACACCACACGCATGGATAATTTGCTTTGCATGGGTGAATACACGAGGTGTGTATATATTTAAAACTGTTAGGTTGTGTATATAGTAGCTTATAAACACCGTATGTTGCAAGAGAAAAGCATTGCCTCACATTTTGTCTACCTATAAGGGAACGATGCAACTTGACAACCCACCCTACCAACTGAAACATGTATTTAAAGCAATTACTCAAAACCAGCCTGTGTGCTTAATTTCATTTTGCTTTGTACTTTTAGGAATATGAAACGCAGTTGTAAGACTTGTAACACATTTTGTGCTTTCTCAAAAATGCTCCAGGTTTATTATCTTTATGATTTGTAAGATAGAGCACTGGTCTTGTATAAGAGCATCTATGTTCTTTGCATGGAGTTTGACAGATAAATGCTTCTGATTTCAACACAGCACTATTAGAAATGCTGCAGCTTGTGTATTAGAAGTTTACTATGTGCTAATCTGCAGAACAAAGTAAATGAAAAAAGCCTGCCCTCATTTTTAAATGCATGAAAATGCGACCATTTTCGTTTTGCTATACAGAAAAAAAAGCACCTGTCAAATCCTTGGGTGAGAGTCTTAAATGAACTTCTGTAGGTAGGAACTGGGTTTTTTGTTGGTACAAAGTAAGCAGCTGTTCCCCTTGCTGTCTGAAGTTGGTTTGGGGTACCTACTGCTTCTTTAAGTGCTTTTTTAATAATAAAAATATATATATTCTTTTAAATCAGTGAAACACATAGCCTTGCATAGTGTATTTATCCTCGAGATGCATACTTTTAATGATTTGAATGTCATAGTGAAGGAGAAAAGCACCATTTAACTGTTGGCAGAGATTAGCCTTTGCAAGTAGGAGGATCTTAAAGCATGACAACAGAAGGAAGACTAGGTATTTAAATGCACCTGCTGCCAGTGGTTTTCTCAGGCATTTCGGATTGCGTTTATGAAACAATTCCTTTATTTCATTTGTCTTACCCAGACCGGGAATCGCCTTGCCATGTGAAGCTGTTGCGGTCTCAGAAGGTTGTTTACATCAGCTGTGGAGAGGAACACACGGCGGTTCTAACAAAGGTAGAGGAGCTAACCTGGAAGCCCCGGCTGCTGTCTTGCCTGCCTGATGGTTTCACTTTAGTTTCCTAGGAAATGATAGAAAAGAGCAGACTGACCTACCTTATTTCATCTAACACCAGGAAGAGAAACTAAACCAAAAGTAAAGTCTTGTGATAATTTATTCTGAGATTCTTTGCCCACATGATCCATTGCCATTTTTAAGATGAAGATGTTAGTAATCCATGACAATAAATAGTAAAACTCAGATGAATCACTCAAAGAAATGAGCTTTGAGGAGCAGAAAAGAACGAACATATATCTTAGGAGGTTAAAAATAACATTGTCTTGGAAGATGGAGAGTTATCGTGCCTCAGAGTAAAAGGCAAGCCAGAAATAATGGGCTGTTAAATGAAAAGTTATCGGTCAGTCACAGCATTTACAAGAGGTTTGCAGTTCCAAAGCTACTGCGGTTTCCAAGTAGTGTGTAGTTTAATAGAGGATAGGGATGGCATTTGGAAGATCACTGTTCAGTTCTTGCCTTGCCCCTGCCACTTCCTAGGTATTGCTTGCTTGGTTGGTGCCAACATGCTCTCCACTGAAAAATGAGTCGAAACAGCTAGCTGTGGGATTCCAGTGGGAGAACCACTGTGAAGACCAGAGAGTGTGGGTCTTTTTCCAGGAAAAAGCTCATCATCGTTTTAATGAGCAGCCACCAGAGATCAGTGTAAAGTACTGTGGAAATGGGTGCTATTGAACCATGGTTAAACCTGCTGAGATTTCAGGCCCATTAGGTAATGGTGGGGGGAAGCTTGTCTGCTGCAGGCATACTAAGAGATAAGTCTGACACTCTCTGATGGGTGGCAAGGAAGCAATTTGGAAGCTTCATTAGTGGAACCCAAGCTTATTTTCTGAATCCTTTGGAAATCCCCAGCAATCTCTGCTTAAGCTTGGGCTCGTAGCGAAACTGGAGTCAGAGAGATGCTGCTGGGATATGGGTCCTAAATGGAGAATATGCTGTTTGATTTGCTAACAGAGTGGAGGGGTGTTCACGTTCGGTGCAGGTTCCTGTGGGCAACTGGGACATGACTCCATGAATGACGAAGTGAACCCCCGAAGAGTTCTTGAGCTAATGGGCAGTGAAGTATCCCAGATTGCCTGTGGCAGGTGAGTCCTGTCCTTCAGTGGAGGTTAATGCTGACACTGGCTCTTGTAAATGCAAGGAATAGTCTTGCTTCTGCATTGTACGTGTCAAAATTAAATTAATTTGTACCCGTCTCTGTTACAGACACCACACTTTAGCCTTTGTGCCTTCTTCAGGAATGATCTATGCATTTGGCTGTGGAACAAGAGGCCAGCTGGGAACTGGGCACACTTGCAATGTTAAGTGTCCCTCTCCTGTGAAGGGTCACTGGGCAGCTCACAATGGGCAACTCTCAGGGAAGCCTGGTACGTACTGTGCGGGATTTAGAGTGGCAAATGGACATGAATCACTTCCTTTCATCCACTGCGGTCGAAAGACACCTTGACATTGTTCTGTGAAAGTGCTTGAAACAGCAAAAGAAACCCATTCCCCTGGCCTGAGTGCACTGGGGAATTACTGTGTGACCTCTTGCTCTCTGTTACTCTGTGTGCCCTCTTCCTTTCTTTTATCACGGCAGAGCTCAACATTTCACAATCTTGAGCCTTCATGAAATTGTCCTAATGCTGATTTGTGATGGCTCTGGTTTCTCATTAAAAAACCCATTGTAGTTTAAAAATTACAGCTTTCCCCTTCTGTCAGGCAGTATGTCTCCAAAAAAAAATAATAAAGAAAAAAGGAAAATAAAGTGCTGAAGTGCTTGAGTTCCTACTGAGTTCAGCCTTGCCTTCAAGTGTAAAGCATTAGACACTGGCAGTGCAAACGTGGAGGAAAGGCAAAGCAGAAACCTGCGTTCATCAGCCTCTAACACAACTGTGTCGCTTTCCTCAACAGATGCCTGTAAATATCACATTGTTAAACATATCTTTTCTGGAGGAGACCAAACATTTGTGCTTTGCTCCAAATATGAGGTAAAACAAATGAAGTACTTTCTCAAGCCTGTTCACCTGTCCCAGCCCTCTCTATGCACCCTTTTTTGGTGGTAAACCACTTAGATCATCAGGGAAGGGAGTTATTTCCTTGGCAGATGGGAAGAAAGGGACTGCCTTCCTCCTGAGACAGTGGGGTCCAGGTGATCAGTGTAAGGCAGCAGAACACACAGTGGGGTTCTGACAGATCAGCTGGATTGTGGGCTGAATGATGTTTTTTCTCCTTCTGTCTTATTTATTCCAGTAAGTGTTTAACATACACTTTTGAGGCATGGAAATAAATCTAGACAAAATGTACTGAGCCTGTAGCTATACACAGCAGTATTTAAAAGGCCTTTGGTACATTTAAGGAAATGTATTTTGTTTTTCTTTTTTCTTTTCCTCTTTGTAATAATGGTTTTGCTGATTGTCTTTTTTTTTTTTTTTTTCCCCATGCCTTTTCTTTCGGGCTCATTAGTAATGTTGCAGCTTCCTAATCAAGCCTGTTCAGAGATCACACCCAGAGACCTATTAATGATATATAGAAAACTGAGATTTTTAATAAGAAGGAATTGTTTTTACAAGCCTTGTGTTTGCTGAAATCTGTATCTTCTCACAGAATTCCTTGCCTGCTGATGATTTCCGGACCATAAATGAAACGCGTTATACCTGTTTAATAAATGATGAAACTATAGATGTCTGGAGGCAAAAGCTTTTAGAAAAGAACAGTTCTAATTCTGTCAAGTAGGTATTGTGGCACTGGACAAGCCTATTATTGGAAGTTGTATTTAAATAATTTTGTTGGCTTCCATGCCCTGTTTTCACTTGAAATTCAGCAGCCTTTTCAAGTGTGGTTCATGGTTATATCCAAGGGGAGTACAGGTGCCAGTCACGAGGATGCTAGGTTAGAGCTTCCTAGCAAAACCAGAGGAATTTAAGGCTGCTTCAGGATATTGCAAATAGTGGGTGGGAGATGGATTTAAAAGTTGTTCTTTATTATGTGCTTAGAGTTCATGTAAAGCAGCGAGAAGCTGTGAACACACTGGTTAAATTCTTTCTTGTTTGCCTGCTACGAGAAGGGCAGAATAGGTGGAAAGGCAGCAGTGCTAACCTCCCTCCTTTGAAAGAGGAGTGTTATATGATCCTGAGTAAGCCACTTAGCCTTTGAATGATGGGATGATCTTGACGTTGTTTCCCATAGAAGGAAGGGAAGATAGCTGAAGAGATTTACTGAACATCTGTTTATACCCTCTCTCTCTGTTTTCTTTTGTCTTCCTGCTACAAACAGTAATGTTGTTCAGATACTGTCCTCAGCTGCCTGCTGGAATGGAAGCTTCTTGGAGAAGAAGTAAGTATCAAAGAGAGTCAAGTAGCTTAGCTTTCCCTTGAGGCAGACTGGAATCTCTTCTCCACTTGCTTTTGCACTGGGCTTTGATTTTTTGGTCAGGAGGCTGGGGCAGAGAGTGTTTACTGAAGAGGTGAGCAGTCAGAGCTGGGTAAGGAAGGCAAGTGTAGTGTACACATTCCTGGAGTTGTCATGCTCATAATTTTTCTGTATGAAATGAATATAAAAATCTTTGAAAGAGAGGGTTGGGAATTTGACAAGAAGGGAAATGAGTGATTGATGCCACGTACCTGAATAGTCTCTCACCCAGCTGAGCTAGCTGATGAGGGCTAGTGCTTGTGAAGGGACGGAGGCATACCTCAGCACAGGCTGCTCATGAAAAATACATCCAGGCCAGCATGGATGCACTTTTCTTTTAGGTGACATCAGTTGTGAAAAAGTTTTGTGCTTTTGCGTATGAAAGCAGGAGTTTCAAATGGATGTAACTAACAATAGGTGGTGACAAGGATGTAATAGGCACAGCTGAGTCAAAAGCTGTGGGCTGGGAAGGATTATGTTGCCTGCGTTTGTGAAGGTTGGGGAGGTAACAGCATAAGTTGAGGTGGGGGAGGAATTTTTTATAGTGACGTAATGAATAAATGACCTGTAAGTAGGTGAAGATGAGCCTAGTTACTCTGAATAATCTTTGAGTAATCTTCTCCAAGAGCAGCTCGAAAAAGAAAACAAGTTACTCATTATGCTTGCATTTTTCAGCTGGTACAATGGTTGTTTCTTCTCTAGCCTTGGGGAAAGGCAGCATTGTTACTGCATGTGGAGAGTTGTGTCATGTTGGTTTAAAGCACTCAGTGAGTTTTCTAAGTTGTTGAGTCACTGCAAATAGTCCCATGCCTCCTTTGAATGCGGAGATGAATGGAGTGTATGACTTGATCACCTCTGGGCAGTTCTCTTCCCACCCTAAGGATGTCCTGGCCAGTGCAGGACTTAACTTTCACAGAAGATCTGTGACTAAATAAATCATAACATTTGAAGCCAACGTACGCTGAGGTGAGGCTGTATTTAACTAGCTACTACTATGGAAATAACTGTTCTACTCCAGCAGACAATGTTTACCTTCTCATGTAATTACAACTGCATCAGAAAATTGACAAAGGCATCCCATGTTTAACCACTACCGTTTCCTTCACAGTGTGTCTGGTATGACAGTGTCTCAGGGATGAGGAGTGACATACCTGGGAAATCTTGAGGTCAATGGATTTGTAGCAATTACTGGTTTTTTACTAGCATCTGCAAAGATTTATGTGCATTTTTACTACAGGCTGTGGTGCTGAGAATCTCTGCTCCAGATGCTGCACATGCTCCAGGTGCTGAGCTAGGTAACTTACCTGCTGGACTGCAGGACATTTTGGTGTCCCCAGATCTGGCTGTTGGACTGTGTCGTCCTCTCAGGCTTGCCTTCGTTACCCCTTTTATACAGGTAGCCTGCATAAATTACAGCCTTTCACACATAGCAGACAGGAGAGAACATTTCTGACGTCTGAAGACTGTTTACAACTGCTCTGGGGTTTGATTGCGATCATTTAGTTTTAGAAAATTTGAGAGTGGAATTACCAAATTCTCTGAAATCTTGTTTGTTATGTTTTGAAAGCCTTTATCTGATGTTCCCTTGAATAATGTCATCTTATCACCCTTCCCTTTCTTACTGGGTGTGATTTTCTATAAAAATAAATAAAGTGTATGTGAAGAAAATGCAGAGGATCCTGAAATGATAGATAGGTATTATATAGGTTTTTAAGCAGTCAGTCCTGTTCAGGCAGGTTATATTAGCATAGCGAGGAGTCCTGGGGAAACCAAAGAGTTTGATGAAGTGTTTATCTGCAAGAATCCGAAATCTAAGCAAGGCCCAGAAGAGTTCAGAAAGGGGCACTGTGCTTCTTGTCCTTAGCAAGAAGATTCCAAGTTGCGTTTTGTTTCTAGTCTGATTCATTTCCTGGAGGTCAGTCCTCCACTGCTTGCTCTCAGGCAGTGCCAATACAGAGGTAGTGTTTTCACTTCCTTCAACTTATGTCTGTCTGTCTATGACTTTTTTTTTTAAAGAATTGATGAACATTTTAAAACCAGTCCAAAGACCCCAGGGATTGATTTGAACTCCACCAGAGTGCTGTTTGAGAAGCTGATGAACTCTCAACACTCCATTCTCCTAGACCAGGTATTGCACTTACAAATTTTTGGGTATTCAGAGGGGGTATAAAGGCTTTGTCCTCTGAAACATGGAAGAAGAAGCACATTTTTTAGGGGAAGTTTGTATTTCAAATCTGCAGGCCAGATCCGTCTTGGTATCTGTGGATACATCTCCATTGACCTGGATGGATTTTGACCTCAGAAAATGTCTCAAAGATTTGTTTATAAAACAGTTTTTTTTCATGGCATTTAATACTTGAACTAACTGCTGAAATTAATTCTTGAATGTTATGCTTGAAAATAATGACTGTGTTCTTATTTCTTATGGGTCAGCAGTTGAGTACTTTCTGGTTGTTTAATTTATTCTAACTCCCATAAAGCAGAGAAGACTTGGTGTGTTGAGTAGTCCTGTGGATGAGGCAGTCCTTGTTTTATGTACAGTGGGACCTGAGTACACTGAGCTATGGCACAGTGCAGCTGTTTATTGTAGGTGTCAGCGAGAGAAGTGAGTAGAAAGGTGTTGTGAGATGTTTTGCCAAATTGGAATTGTAGCAGGTGAAATTTTTCGTGTTATCTGCCTGCTTCAGACACAATTATTTCTGGAGAATTTTAGCTATACAGTTCTATGTCTTCTTTTTTTTTTTTTTTTTTTTTGCCATGCTTTAATGCACACAAAAAACTAGTTCAGCAATGTTTCTAGTCTGAGAAATTCAATTCACTGTACTTCTAAAGCAGGGATGTGGCCTTCAACAGGAAGGGTTTACTAACATAGATATCCCTGGAAAAAACTGCCCAAACATTTATGTCTTTTTGGGAAAACATGAATTTAGTCCTGTCCTGTGGAATGTTTTAAGGGATCAGTAACAGAAGCTGTTAAGTCCACCTGTGCTGTGTGTGCTCTGTTTCATTAGTATTTACTCATCTTCTATTTTGTAGGTGATCTATCATCCGGGATAAGTTGCCTCCTTTTGTCTTTTTTCCCCTGTAGATACTGAAGAGCTTTGAAAGCTTCTTGATTCCTCAGTTGTCCAGCTCACCACCAGACGTTGAGGCAATGAGGATCTATCTGATTCTCCCTGAATTCCCCCCCTTCCAAGATTCAAAGTATTATATCACGTTAACGCTTCCTCTGGCAATGGCTATTCTGCGCTTAGACACCAACCCCAGCAAAGTTCTTGGTAAGAGGCTGTCATTTAAGATGCATATTGCTCTCACGATCCAGGGAGAACACAAAGAGTTGCCTTTGGATCTTTCAGTCAGGTCTTTATGTTGATTTAATTTTGGTGTTGTGTTAACTATGACTTCTATGATAATATTCTTTGTGATACGGTGTTGCTATGAAGCAGCTGCCTCTAAAAAGCACCTGCGGACCAAAAGCGTTCAAGGAATCCTCCCCTAAAACCTATATTCCTAAGTAAAAGAATTTTAAACACAAAATTGAATTGAATTTTAAATATGAAATATGTGGGAATGAAGACTGTGCCATATAGGTAAGATAGAGGGAGTTAGTGAGTTATTGTAATATAAAACCTTTAAAATTTATGGTGGTGTGGATAATAAATGAGAATGAAATATTCTGCTTCTAAATTTAAAACAACTCAACCTGAACTTTCTAAGAACATGTACAGGGGAAGTTAAGCTAATTGACCTTGTCTAATTTGCCTACATTCAGAGACTCAATTCCAGAAAATTTAATGCCTCTATGTGAACATAGATTTTGTGTATCATGTAAGATTAAGTGATCTTACTCTGTTAATTTAATCAGACATTGTCCACATTGAAATTTCTTTTCTGTGTAAGGTAAATAAATGAATATACTGCTAATATAAAGTTAACCTGATCAGTATAAAGGGCAGAAAAACCTATTGGTTGGTCATGTCTAAGCTATATGTATAAACAGTTCATCTCCTGGTTCAGAATCTTATTTCTACTAGCTTTATTTCCTATTAGCTCAATATAAGCTAAGTAGGAGATAAGCTACTCAAAAGTGTTACTTGTGTTTGCTAGGATATTACTTTTTTGTTATTTTCTTCCATTTCTTAATGTGATCTTATACTAATTCGCACAGTATTGTGTAAAACGCTATATAACAGATTCAGACCTCCAGAAGCATTGCTCCAGTGAAATCTGTTTTGAACTTCAGTGATTTATTTATTATTTTATTCAAGGAGGTTTTGTAACCAGATTTTCTCCTATGCTCAGAGTTCCTAGTCCATTGTGACCGTTAGAATAAAGAAATATAAAGGATTTTTGTACTTCTCTCTGCAAGAATACGTTGTTTTGCTGACACTTGGGAGGCTAAGTTGGTGTTTGTTTCTAGCAGTTGATGTGATATTTTCCCAAGCTGCATCTTCTACTTTGCAGGTGGATTGGTTCTAGCAAAGACGCTCATAGGCAGGGTCCTTTCAGAGGAGAGGTAAGGGTTACTGCCCGTGGCAAGGAGGAAATCAGCTTTTTAAAAAAGAGGGAGCTTTAGTGCACATGTGTTAGGAGACACCTGACATCTGCTAGAGAAGGATGTGGTACAGATGGAGAACTGACCAGAGAACTACTTTCTTACCACTACAGAGAGACAATGTTTTGTCTGCAAGGTCACAGTATCCTGAATATGAGCTTCTTGAGACGGTTGAAAAACCTTGATTTCAGGCTCTTGCATTGATCAGGGGTTGGGACTGGGTGGTGAGTGACATGGTTGTTTGTGAGTGGAAAGTTTCTCAAGTTCTGGAATCTGCAGCTTACTTTGCTTGCTTTCTATTGCAACAATTAGGAGAGATGTAGGGAAGTTTTTCAAACTGTTTTTAGGGGTGTTCCCCTATTTTCATCTTTATGTAGGGGAGTATTCTGTGGTGTTCAATTCAGGATGTATTTTTATGTTCCTTTTCTTTCCAGATAACTGGTGGTCTCAAGTGTGCCCACGATATTTCCTTAGGCTGGTGGATCTCTATAAAGGTGCAGTAGTTTACCTCCTCAGTGGAAGAAAGACATTGTTGATCCCAGTCTTGTTCAGTAGCTACATTACAGCTGCTCTCAGACTTCTGGAGAAACTCCACAAGGTAAGCCTTGGGTGTACGTTGGCTCAAGATGCCAACATGCAGATACTCACTTGGTCTTGTCTGTCCTTTGGCAATTGATGGGGTGAATTGGTGACAACCCTGGCTTGCGAGCTGTCTGGTGTCACTGAGACACCACAAGATGTTAGTGGTTTTCCTGAATTCGGTGTACTTGAAGGTTGCTTAGTCCTTTCTCAAATACTAGGAACAATTCACTGTGAAGACTGCTGCTGTTGAACCAGCAGACAGCGTGCGCTGTTGTGACACAAATGCCTGTGTTATTACACTTTCTGCTCCTGGTATGTTGGTGCTGTCTAGTCTTGGATGAGGAGGAGGGAGAATTAAAATGTCAGAAGTTTCTCAGTTCTTGGTTCATACTAAAATAAATGGGATGATGACTTCTTGCAGGACTTTCTGGGGCCTATTGTTGCAAGCTGCTATATTTGATTTTATGAAAGCCTGTTCTAAGAAAATGCTGGATACATCCGTATTTTAAAAAACATCTGTTTTCTTACCTAGGTAAATCAGAAGGTTAAACATGTAGAATATGATAAGTTTTATATCCCTGAGATTTCCAGTTTGGTGGACATTCAGGAGGATTATCTCATGTGGTTCCTACATCAGGCTGGAATGGTAAGAGCCACTTTTGTCTCTCCAGTCGTTAGAGATCTGCATTTTTAATATCCTTTTTGAGAGTGTAATGTAATCAGTATAGGAGCATCTATATGTTAAATCTCTCAGATTTGGATACTTGGTAGCTTGAAGTTGACTTAAAATAAAACCAGAAGAGCTAGAGTTAACGATATTTAACTAATGTTTGCAACAACCTCTGTGATTATTCATGTGAATCCCATTCAGTCCCTGCACAAAGGGATTAATTCAGTCACTGGATCCTTTTAATGTAATCAAGACCTCAGGAGCCAAGTCCTGTATTCTAAAATTATAATTTTTACCCTTTACTTCTGCTGTTTAGGCAGGTATTGTGAATAATATAGCCAGTGGTCTTAAAATGTTGCTCTGTAAGAGGAGGCAGTGTGACGTTCTGGCTAGGGGACTGAACCAAGACTCAAGAGATGTGGGTTCTATTCCTGGCTCTTCCAGTAACCTGCTGGGTGATCTTGGGTAAGACCCTTCACCTCTTTTATGCCTCACTTTCCCATCTTTAAGAAAAGAGATAACTGAACTGAGGGCTGGAAAATGCTGTATGGGAACCCAGTGAGATTATTTAAATAATGCAAGGAAAGAAATCCCAGATATGAGAAAACAAAAAGACATCCATCAAGGGATGCTGCAAGAGTAAAATCAGACTGTAGCAAGAATTTCTGTATGTGTCTGTATGCACTTTGTAAATGTTGTGTGTGCTGTGTCCCCTCTCCCATCTTCCGTCATATAAATAGTGCTGCTCTGTGCTTGCTTTTAGTGAGCAGAGCAATAAAATAATGACTCAGTTGGATACAACAGTAATAGTTAAAATTGTATTGATAGAGCTAACGAGAAGAGTAATTTGTGTTGCAGGAGTGGCCTTGTATTGTTGTGTTGTGGCCTTATGTTCTTTCCTGTTGTTTCATGTGGTCTCTGCCTTGGGGATAGTTTTCTGGTTGTTCTTCATAAAAATAAGTTTCACCTCTGGCAAGCTAACAGGCTTCTGTGCCAGTTAGTCCTCTTAGTAATGTTTGATGTGCAAGTTTTGGATTAGGCTTGTGCATTGTCTTGAGAAGGAAGTTCCCATGCTTTTTTTTTTAAGAAGAAAAAAGTGGCTTGTTGGTCCCAGAGGAGAAAAATTTTGTGGGTCACCTTTGAACTAGTCTGTCCTAAAAAATATCTGACACAATCAAGAGAGTAAAAGTTTTCTTTTTTTTTTTTTTTTTGCCTTCGCAGAAAGTTAGACCATCCATCATGCAGGTAAGGAAATTGTGTTTCGTGACTCTTATTTGAAGCAGTGCTTCTAGAAGCTGTACGTGGGCACCAGTCTGTCTGTGTGTCTTGCAGGATGCCGTGACGCTCTGTTCTTATCCCTTCATCTTTGACGCTCAGGCTAAGACCAAGATGTTACAGACAGATGCAGAACTGCAGATGCAGGTAATCATTCTCTCTTCCAGTTTTCCTGCCTCATTTCTTTTTGTCCTGCCTTTTACATTGGTGCCTGAATGGAAGGGAGTTCACTGGGGGTTACTTTGTGCCTCATTTTATTGTTTCTATGATATGAGAGAGCAGAATAGCTGGAAAAGCTCTTAGCCCTATCCAGGGCACACACAGTGCTGAGTTTCTTTTACTTCAAGAGGTTTTTGGTAACATCAGAATTGCCAGATGTGCATATCAGGGAAAAGTAAACTGTACCTATGGAAGGAGCACTCGCATATTTATGAGAAGGATAAGAAGAAGTAAGGTGAGGTCTCTATTAGAGGAGCTGGAAGGCTTTTGGGTGAGTGAGCACCTTTTTGAAGTTTGTGTGCAGCACAGGAGTGGTTGTCAGAACTAAGAGTTCAAATCTGAGACTGTTTGTGGCTCTAAGCAGTGGCTGTTGTCAGCCACCCATTTGCAGTGAGAGGTGCAGACCTGGGGCCCTCCAGGAGTGTGTCACAGCAGGAGTTAAGCTTCGGTGCCCCTTACCCTGAAGGTGGCAGCCAAGCCAGACTCTGGTAAGGGCATCTGGCCTCTGTGCCAATGTGAACTGCTCAGTGCTGGGCACTGCTTATGCAGGTGGCTCCTGAAAGGGACAAAGAACTGGGCACTGGTTGCACACAGAACTGGGCACAAGGCACACATCTTCTCACATGGTGTTTTAGTAACACCGTTCTCCCTTGTAGACTCTGATTTTATCAGGGTTGTGCTCACACTGAGTCTTTTGACTCAATAGAAGTATAAATAAAGCCTTTTTCTTCCAGCCACCTAATGTCAAAAAGTGTTCAGGAGTTTAATATCTCTGTTGCTCAAATTTTTGAATTGCTCAGTGGACTCAAACGTATGGATGTGGGAAATAGGGGGGCAAATGGGAACACACGCACACACTTGTACAGAGTGGGCACGCAGTCCTCATACCCTGAGGAAGCCAAACTGAAAGAGTAAGGAAGAAAGGAACATCAGGCACGTAACTCTTTTCCCTCTAGAAGAAGAAAGGAGCTGAACAGCAGCTGATTTTCATGCCTCTGTTATCTACAGGTGGCAATAAACGGTGCAAATTTGCAGAATGTTTTCATGCTTCTCACCCTGGAGCCTCTGCTGGCCAGAAGCCCTTTCCTGGTACTTCATGTCCGCAGGAGTAATTTAGTTGGTGATGCTTTAAGGGAGCTGAGCATCCATTCAGATATTGATTTGAAAAAGCCTCTTAAGGTAAGTTTTCCTTGAACCCTCTCATGCAGCTGACACTTCCGAAGCCTTTCCTCCCTTCACATTACCATTTTGCCAGTGTACTGCCATAGGTGTAGCAGACAAGGGCACATCTAATCAGTGGGGGAGCTGAATCTTTCTCCTGTCTGACTCCTGGACTGTTTTGGCAGTAGTCAGTTTACATGAAGCCAATTAGAAGGCTTACTCTTTTTCTGGTGTCTCTCCTATATATAAGGGACAGAGGAGAAGTAATGTCTGTGATATTGCACAGTGTCTGTTTCACCATGCTGCTGGAATGGGCCACTTACAGTAGGATGTGTTTTTAATATCTGAGAGGTTGCTACGAAGTTCAGCAGCTGCTGCCTGTTGCTGGGAAGACCGGTGGTTATTTATGTCTTGGCTGCTATCTAACAGGAACAACATAAGGAGTTAAATTTTCAGAGTATCAGATTTGCCACTCCGTGTTCCCTGTCCTTACCTGCAAGCAGAGCACTTGAACTGGCTGAAGATTTTGGTGGATTTGGATGTGTCAGGACAAATTGCTTTGTGTGGCTTCCAGTTGGAAACTTGTCTGATTCACTCTGTCTCAGGTTCTGCATAATTGTTACTGACCTGCTTTTTCTGCAGGTCATCTTTGATGGTGAGGAAGCTGTTGATGCTGGAGGAGTGACAAAGGAATTCTTTCTCCTCTTGCTAAAAGAACTCCTCAACCCCATCTATGGCATGTTCACTTACTACCCAGAGTCAAACCTGCTGTGGTTTTCAGACACGGTGAGCCATTGCCCTCTCTACACACAGGCTGAAATGATGTGCTGCTTCAGATGTGATTGATTAGTAGCAAACTGTGGAAAAGAAATGATCTTCCTCCAGGTTTCCTCCCACAATACAATGTGAGCTTTATTTATGGTCAGTGCAAATTAGTATAGGTTCATTAACTTTATCAGAACCGTGATACTGATGCCTGTTAAGGAATTGGCTCTTTCTCTTTATTTTTATCCCATAACAGGACTTAATATATCAAGTATCAGATGACAGTTCTTAGAACTCTCAGATAGCATGAACGTGCTTTTCATGCTATTTATATGAATAATTGTGCTATTCTACAGAACCCCAGGTTCAGGTTATACTGGCATTAAAATTTAGTGCTTGCCTTGCCATTCGCTTATTTGCAATCAACCCACTTGTTCATGCAACACAGTCACCTTCAGGGCCTAAACTCGTTAATGCTTTATGTGAGGAAGTTCCTGAATAGCAAGAACACTGTAGTGAATATTGGGTGGTTTTGGAAAGGTGGGGAATGGAAGTTCCCTCTACCTGTCAGATAGCTGGAGGTGATGGTTCATCTCCTTCTTTCCTCACCTTCCTAGTTAGTGAGGAGAAAAATGACAATGTCATTGTTACCTTAGGGGTGCATCTGTCCTGGTGGGGGTTCTTTTAATTTATTAATTATTCTATAAGGAAGGAAATGGCACAGCATCTTCTGCAACTTGTAAACAGTATTGCAGAACAATTATTCTTCATGTTAATGCATGTAAAATAACAAATCTTTTGACACTAAAGTAATGTCAATCACTGAAAATATCTAAGTTGTATATTTACAACATTTAGCAAATACAGGCAATGAGACTGTGACCGACATACCAACATGACAGTATATTTGTGAAGGAATGAAGGTCTCTATACCAACACCTACCCCTGTTTGCCTGGGTGGCACTGTGGTTACACATAAACTTTTAATAGAGGATAAGATGGGTGGTAGGGAGAGAAGTGTTAGACCAGTTTCTTGCAGTTCATAGCTGGCAAACGTTGAAGCTTTGTTAATGTCTAAATGCAGAAGTATTTAAAAAGGAAATAAAAGGCAGATAAGGTGGAAACTAAGTGTTGCTGTGTCCACAGCTAATCACAGCTTGCAGAAGTAACAGGACTTGGTTCTGAAGCTTCATTTCTGTGCCACACTCCAGCAAGGCTAGGGACAAGGAATTTACAACAAGACTGGGACCTGATGCACTCTGATACTGTCCCAGTTGGGAAAGTGGGGGCTGCCTTCTTCGTGCATGGGGTAAGAGTGCTGTGTGTCTCATCAGGGTTTCTCTCTGTGGTTTTGAAGTGTTTTGTAGAACACAACTGGTTTCACTTGATCGGCATCATCTGCGGTCTTGCAATCTACAACTTCACAGTGGTAGACCTTCACTTCCCTTTGGCTCTGTACAAAAAACTCTTGAATGTGAAGCCCTGCCTAGAGGATTTGAAGGAGCTGTCCCCTACGGAAGGAAGGTATGAAAAACAAGATTTGCATCCTGTCTGGGATGGGAAACCAGGGTGGGATGTGTATATTGGATGTGAACTTACTGCATCCGTGAATCAGTGCAACTCTGACCTGTTCCCATGCCAGAAGATAGGGAGTTGAATGGGGTGAAGGAATGACTTTTTTAAAAAGACATATTGAATCTCTTCTACGTAATTGCATGGGCATATTGGTTTACTTTGATACTGAGAGGTTAAAATCCCACTGTATGACTGCTGTCTTCATGTTTCTTTTGAGCTGCTGTCCGATTTACCATCAAAAAGCTGCAGGTCTAATAGTAACGAAGTAAAGTGCTAGGAAGACAGCAGCAGGATTTTGAGGGATAGTAGAAGGATATCTTCTACGTAATGGGGATAAAGTTACAGCTTCTCACCACCCTCTTTGTTTCTTCAGGCCTTTGTGTGTAGATAGCATAAATATCTAGCAGTCCTTGAGAACTAGAAATGTGACTGTTCTGAGGCTGGCATCATTAATGGGGATACATGATAATTTGTGTGGACTGGCATGTAACCCGCTTCTAACAAAGCATCTCCTCATTTGAGGCATATTTCTTTTTTACTTCTTCAAGTGAATCAGAGATGCTCTCTCTTGCAATCCTATTAACCAGATGTGTGATGCTGTTTACTTTTGCTAATTTTATTTTCTCTTTTAAATGTTTAACTTTTTGAATCTTGTTTTTTTTTTCTCATTTCTTTCCATGACTCTCATGTAGGAGTCTTCAGCAACTTTTAGATTACCCCGGGGAAGATATAGAAGAGACATTCTGCTTGAATTTTACAGTAAGATACATTTAACATATAAGTGTTGTGATAGTCATAGTACAGTTGAAGCCCATTCATGTCTATCATAGTTTATTCAAAAATATGCCTGTAGCATATACCCACATATTTAATGTTAAAATATTAAAACTCACTTGTTCTTTTATATATGATGATGAAAAGTAAGCTAGTAAGTAGATTAAGTAGAGTGATTTTCAGAATATCTTTATTGTCAGTGCGGCATGTGACTTAAATGACAGTGTCCAAGATCTCACACGAGACAATGAGAACTAGATTCCTGAATCCTTCTTGAAACTGTAAGTTAGGCTTTGACATCACCGGGTCAATTCTTGAAATGCTAACACAATTTAGAATTTTCCTTGCTGTCATAATACTAATAGTTTTAAACTTCTAAATTCATAGTGAGTGTATATGGTCAGACTTCTCAGAAACCACATTCTTCTAGGAGATGTACTAATGCAGTTAGTTTTCCTCTGCTTATATATATATATATATATATATATATATATATATATATATGCGCATATATTATATATATTGAAAAGAATAAATAACTGATCTTGGCTGTCAAAATCAAGGTCTGTTTGAATATGAGAGGGCACTGAGACAGGTTGCCCAGAGAGGTTGTGGATTCTCCTTCACTGTAGAAGTCCAAAACCCACCTGGAAGCCATCCTGCGCAATGTGCTCTAGGGGATCCTGCTTGGTGAGGGGGTAGGAGTAGATGATCTTCAAATGTCCCTTCCAACATCGGCCGTTCTGTGCTTCTGTGAAAATATGAGGCCCTTTCACGTATGGCAACTTGACAATTGACCCTCCTGCATTTTGTTTGCATGACCAATTCTGTATGTGCTAAGTATGTTTGTATTGGTACCATTGTAGGCCTGGCAAAAGCAGGAATTTTTGGTCATGCTGTCTTACAGTGAGAGCAGATGAAGTAATCTACTGACCTTCCATTAAATTAAAAAAACAAAAAAACAAAAAGGAATACTTTTTATTAATAGAGCATATGGGCTTAGATAATGTAGGTTTTATTAGTTATAACTTTTTTTTTTATTTTTACAGGAAGTTGACCTAAAAGGATAGTTTTTTCTCTTCTGACTTTGCTTTTAGGCTTGATAGCAGTCCTACAGCAAATGTAAATGATGTGAAGTAGTGAAACAGGAAGAACATTTACAGCAGGCAAAAAGTGTTCTGCATTTACCCTTTATCTTTCTGCAGGCGTATGACCTGAGAAGTACTTCTGGTAAAATTTTCTCATTTTGTGTAGATCTGCAGGGAGAGCTATGGTGTGACAGAGCAGAAGAACCTGATCGAAGATGGAGACAATATTCTGGTGCAGAAGGACAATAGGTGAGAGGGGTAATATGGGCGGATGGACTCACTTGTGATGAAGTCAAATGCATTGCTACAGAAACTTTATCTGAGGTGAAATGTGGGAGAGGATTAGAAGTCACTGAACAAATTCTTAGACCGGTTGTTCAAAAGTTACTGGATGCTAGTCGCACTTAAGAAATCAGGTTTTCATTATCTTTTCACCAGTACTTGAAAAATGTCCCACAACCTTTTGGATGGACATCTTCCCTATAAAAGATCTTCATAGAGACCCCCAGCACAGCTTTCTCGTGGTAAATAGAGATTGCAATGTGATTTTGCACCTTGGAGGTTAGTCCCCCTGATGGTGTGAATAGGAATTACAATTCCTGTCCTGTGACCAAAAAGCAAAACCGAGACTGGCAGACTTGTTCATGCTCTCTCTTTAATTCTAGAGCAGAAAATCGTTCCCTCATATATGTCTGATAGAGGGCCCTCATCCCTTAGTGGAGCTGCAAGGCACAGGTGTATGTAAACTGCTTCTGCTTAGCTAGCTGCAGGTAGTACAGTTACCATTTTCCTTCCCTTTTTTTTTTCTTCCATCTGCTAAACTGTTTTCTTCTTATAATCCTATAATTGGATTTCTTCAGATGCCTTTATTACTTGAAACAGCATTCAAATTCTTTCTCTGCTGGCAAAACAGTGTGATCCAGTGATTAGTCAGCAGCTTGGTTAGGGGCTTGTGCTAAGATTGTTTGAAGACCTTGCTGGCAAGTCTGGAGATGAAGTAATTTCCCATTAATCAGATTATTTAAAATGGTTCTGATTGTGTCTACAGCCATTGCCGTAACAAAAGCTTTGTCTGTATTACCCTCTCAGTTACTTCACTGCTGCTGCAAAAGGTGCAGCTTTACAGCTAGATACCTACCTCCATGCAAACCCAAGAGGAGATGGGCAATACAGGAGACTTTGAGAGAGTGAAGTAAAGATGTAAATGCCAGTGATAGTCTTTTTTTTATTTTTGGCTAGGCATGCACATTCATGAGGAAAAGGTCTTTTCTTACACGGTGTGCCGTATTGGCCTAGTGGGAGGATCAAAGGTTTTGGCTAGAGCAAAAGTTTGGGAAGAGCATCCTGGTTAGCTCCTTCAATACTAAGTCAGGAAAGGCAAGAGAAGCAAATCCAGGCAGCAGCCAGCTTAACGCATTCCAGAATGCAATGGCTTTGTCTTGACCAGAGTTTTGAACTCAAGCTAACCTCTAAATCCAAGTCTAGACGTGGCTGTCAATTCATCCACCTTACAGTGCTTAATGACTTCCTCCGCTGCTGTGTTTAGAGGTCAGGGACCAAATTGCTGCCCTGCTGGCCTCAGGAGTGTGCTGTGTGCATGTCTTTGGGCATCGTCCTTCCTACTCGAGGGAAGGTTCACTGTTAACTGAAGAAATTCACAGGATTGCTTTGACTGAAAAATACCAAGTAGGAAATGCTTGCGTTTTCCCTTTCTCCTTTGGAGTTTTGGTAAAGAGTTCGTGACCGTAGCAGCCAAGGAGGTATTAAGCAACAGTTAAGTGCTTAATCAGCTTGGATTTCTGTAATGCTCACGTGATTATCAGCAAAATGACCATAAAACAAACGCACTGGAAAATGCCCCTGTGCTGTATGACTTCTTATTCCAGGTTTTCATATTTGTCAGTCTGCTGCCTTATTTTTGTTTTTAAATTTCTCACCTAGCCTTCACTGTTTTTCATAGCATATGCACTGAGAATTTCTCCGCCAAAAGGTCATAATGCTTTTTTCAATTTTGGTGCCCTCTGCTAGTGATTGAGGTATCGGATTCTGTTGCTTCCCTGGTCTGCCTAGCTTCTGAGTTCAGGTGTGAGCACCTCTTAAAGGTCAGAGGCAAAAAAACAACTGCTCCACCCAGAGACCGGTTTCATGTCCCAGTTTGCCACATTGTTTGGTGCGTTATGGTCAGGCGTCCAAAAAAAAAACCAACACAGTGTGCCTAGCTAGGGCTCTGGGAGGCTCTCTGTTCTGGAAGTGATGGCTTTCTGATCACCTGCTGTGTGGTTTGGTTCCCACTCCTGCTACTCGTGTAACTCAACCTCAGCAGAGCAGCAGGTTCCCCAGGGAAGAGGACTCTTCCTTACACCTTCCTGGTGAATCCTGTCACCCCGTCTCCCTCCTGGCCATATGGCCAACTGGATGCAGGGCTTCTGGGTGGCTTTATCGTAGCACAGAAGAGCCTGGGCTGCTGGGGACCTCCAGCACTGCCACTGCTGCACTGGTTGAGCACACACGCAGCGGTACGTGTCCCCTGGTGACTTTGTCCCTGTTGCAGTGAGTCATCTTGGTGGGAGGTGGGCAGTGGGGTGAACCCGTGGAAGACTCATATTTACAAGAGATATTACAGGCAGAAACAGCAAAACTGGCAGTGCTGCCGCTCGGGCGTATGAATAAAAGTGCTTTTCTTTACCTGCTCTCTCTCAATGCCCTAGGGAAGAATTTGTTGAAGCCTATGTAAATTACATCTTCAACCTCTCCATCCATGAGTGGTACACAGCCTTTTCCACTGGCTTCCTGAAAGTATGTGGTGGGAAGGTCCTGGAACTCTTCCAGCCCACAGAGCTCAGGGCCATGATAGTCGGGAACAGTAACTACAACTGGGAGGAACTGGAGGAGGTAAAGCTTCCCTCTTGTCATGTTTTTCTTCTGTTTTACAAGTACTAGGATTGGGCAGCTGCATGAGGTGGGCACTAGCTTGGGTCAAGAGGTGTAGTAAGCTACGGATGTTTTTATGTGTTTCTTGTGCATCTTGCAATCATTCACTGCTGCTGATTGTCTCAGCCTTAGCAGTAGAAAGGGCCTCACAGCGCACAACACGTGATCCTGTCCCTGAGTCCAGCCCGTGAGCAGGTACAGCAGGGTTCCTCATTACACCTCTAATTAGCTGAATACCTAGAGGCCTAAATACTGGCCTTGCACCTGCAGCACGAACACTTTTCCGTGTCTTTGAGCCATGCTGTTGCCTATGGCACATCCCATACTCCATTTCTTAGCTGTCAGACATCAGTCTGAGACACTAGCAGAGATCAGGTCGTGTTTCTACTTAGTCCTTGCTTTTAGTGCTAGATGAAATTGTGACTTTTTGTTTTTCTAATAGAGTGCTGTCTACAAGGGAGACTACACTGCGACACACCCAACTGTGAGGATGTTTTGGGAAACGTTTCATGCATTTCCCTTGGAAAAGAAGAAGAAATTTCTCTGTAAGTATTCTGCAGTGGTACAGGCTGTTATCTGAAATTGACAAATCAATGTCACTGGGGGGAAGATGTCACTTTATTTGGCAATAAAAGGGGAGAGGAGGAGAAATACATGGTATTAAGGGCAGGTGGCTCTGAGTTTGTTGCTACAGCTGGCAGCTGTTGCTCCCTTGGGGCATCATGTTGAGGGAATATTGTGTCCCAAGGGCAACCTGGGAAAGCACTGAAAGGAGCCACTTTTTATTTTCGGACTGGTTTTGTTTCCTGATTTTGTGCCCACTAATGTGAATCTGTTTGGAAATGCTTGGTGTCAAGCACAGAGATGGAGGCATGCTGAGGAAAGCGCTGTTTTATTGAAGGATTATTCAGATTTACGTGTCCTAAAAGAATCTAGCTCCAAGAAGTGTTGAGTGTCGTGTGGCAGTTTTGCTGAGCTGGCAGTCACTGTCCCCTTACTTGGCCAGACCTGAAGCAGTTGCTATCTTTTTCTAGAGCATTGCTCCCAGCAAACTCAGCAACATGCGGCCCAATTCTCTGCTGCTGCAGCTCCACTGACCCCAGCTTTCTTACGTATTGGCACATGCTTCCAGGAAAAAGCTTTGGAGAAAAAAAAAAGGCTGAGAGAGCTACAAGTGTTCAGCACGGAGATGAGACAGCTCAAGGGGCATCTTCTCAGAGCCGTACAAGCGTGAGGGTGCCTGATCCTAACCGTCCTGCCTTCTCTCTGCTTCTCCTAGTGTTCCTGACGGGCAGCGACCGCATTCCCATCTACGGCATGTCAAGCCTTCGCATCGTCATCCAGTCCACAGCCAGCGGGGAGCAGTACCTGCCCGTGGCGCACACCTGCTACAATCTCCTGGACTTGCCCAAGTACAGCAGCAAGGAGATCCTCAGCGCCCGGCTGGTGCAAGCCATCGATCACTATGAGGGCTTCAGCTTGGCTTGACGTGTGTGGGAGAGGCACAGGCACTTGGGTACAGAGGAAGAAAGCGACGGGCTTGGCTTTATTTTTATAAAGGAAGGGATCAGGACATTTTGGGGGAAAAAATAATAGTAATAATCATAGATGCAGCTGATGCAGTCTCAGCCTGATGCTGCCAGTATTTTGTGGGGCTTAGCAGGGAGAGACTTTAGCTTTGAGTTTTCTGATCTACTGAACAAAATGAGTTTGGTGGGCTTTTTTGTTGTTTCCCCTCCAACTTCACAGCACTACTTCGTAGTTTGCTTTTATTGTCCCCCCTCCCTTTCCTGCCCCCCACCTTTCCTTTTCATTCAGTTTAAACCTTTGGTGTTCCTTGCATTTAGGCTACGGTGGAAATTCAGGATGAAATAGTGATCTTTTTGAAAAGCTGTGATTTCCCCCATCCTTTTTTTTTTTTTTCTTCCCTTTTTAAATGCAAGCTGGTTCTTGCTTGCTTTGAATGGACATATCCTCCCTGCCCTCCGCTCCTTGGCAGACGGTACTGGGCTGGGGCGCCAGCTGGTGACCCCGAGGACAGTGTATTAGTTGCGGTACGTGCTCTGTCTCTTTGCACCAGTCTATCTCACGGAGAATATGGTGGTTTGGGGTTTGGCATGTCTTTATTTTGTCTTAAATTTTGTTTCTAAGCAGCGTCTTTTTAAAGAAGCTTCAGACTCCTCTGAGTAAAGGCTTGGGGAAGGTCAAATCCATACCTGTAATAATGGGTTTCTCAAATTGCTTCTCTCTTGTGTTGGTTTTCTGCTGGTAAGTCAGTCTACAGGTTAGGCAGGTAGGCTTAGCTGAGGCCTCGTTTTTATTCAAACCAGAAATGTTGTTCCAATGCAAGGTGAGGTGGCTGCTTTTACCATTCCCGCCTTTCTCAGAGGAGTCATGCCGGAGAGTGAGGGAGTGTGTGAGTGTAAGCGGTGTTTACACGCTCTCCAGCCTCATTAGGTCAGAGGAAAAGAAAGAAGCATGAAATCCACGTTTGTGTGGTAACCCTCTCCTTGGAGGCTGGTTTTATTTCTGCTGGTAGGATTATTTTACTGCGTGGTGTGGGAGGAGCCCTTGTCATCCTGTTTTGCCCAGTAAGTGCTGGGACCCCTAGAGGACAACCTTCATGAATTAGGTTGGACAGGTAGGTTAGGAGTCGAGTAGGCAAAAGCATTAACTGAATTTGTCCTGTACGATTGGAGAGCCTTTATTATTCTCCTTCTCCCAATCCCACCACCCATTAAATGACATGCAACTGATTTCCTCATTTCTTCAGGTCTTGGTGTAAATCTCATTTTAAGCCTAGGGTGGTTTTCAAATTGACTTGTTATTAGGACATAGTATTTATGCACCACGTTCAATATATAGTATTGAACTTTGCACCTCGTAACAAAGGATTTTAGGCTTTTTTTTTTTTAAAGACAAGCTGTTGGCTACACTGAGAGCCCTTCAGCCTCTTTCTAATGCAACAAATAGAAGACATATACAATTATATCAAATGTTTATTTTCGATGTGTGTGTACATAGGTCAGTATTATGCAATAAATTTGATGTTTAATTCTGACTCACTGGCTGCCTTTATATTGGGAAGTGAAGGAGGAGCTGCTCTGAGCAGCTCAAGGCACAGACTCTGCCTCTCCCTGGGATCTCCACTGTCTCACAGCTTCATCTCTGAGCACCTGGAAGAAGGACTCTGCCTAGCTCTTCGTTAACCCTGCTGCCGGTGAGCATTACATCCCCATCAACTGCTGCCCTGCCATCTCCAATTACAAATCAGGGAGGTTTTTTTCACCTGCCCCTCCTGGCTCACCTGAAATCCATCTGTCTCCATGCCTTCATTCTGTTTTTCTCCTCCTTCCCATGCAACTTGCAGGCACCAGTTGTGGGTACAGGCACAGGACACAAACTGGCTCTTCCCTCGGCTGTTCAAGTGCCAGTGAGTGACTGCTTTGCAAACATCTATTCCACAGAGGAACAGGGAAACACCTCAGGTTGGTCTGGTGCTTACTGTCTAAAACTTGCACATACCAGTAAGAACAAATGATGTCTTAGCAGCATGATTAGAAGATAATATCCTTTAACTTTACTGCCTTTACTAAACATCAATTATTTGACTGTTTACTCTGGAGTAAACAGACTGAAAGCAAATGAAACCTGTAAGAATGACAAGTTTCTCATCCATCTTTAACTCTTGCACTCTTATTTTGCCTACAACCAGATAATTGACATTTAAATAATTCACAGGTGTGTGTCTGAAATGGCCCTGGTTCATGGGCCCATACTGCCCTCCTACAGCAGCTGTAGTGATAGGGGAAGGGCTGTCTTACACTAACAGCTCACTCATATCCCACAAAGTAGATTTGTGCACAGTACTCCACATCTTTTAAAAACAGTCTTGTAGTTAATATTCTTCAGGCAATAGACAGTGATGTTGGCATGTACAAACCGTAAAACAGAGCACACAGTTGCTGCTTAGATGGGTTTAGAGGAGTGCAGTGAGGCAAAGAGCCTGGGTGGCTGTTGTGGTTAGGGGGAAGTCAAATCAGCTGTGGAAGATACAAAGAGATCTTAGTGCTCAGATCTTGGAGCCCTCATCCTCTGCAGGCCTGGAAGATGGGAGCAACAGCATCTGGAAATGCAGGACAGAAAGCTGACCATTTGTGTGAGTCTTTGCAAGACTAGGAATTTTAAAATCCACTTGGAGGGGTCTTTCTGAGCAGTTTCCTTCACAATCAGGCAGATTATGATTTGATTTGATTTTATTTTTGCCAGTGGGAAAAGAACAGTTTAAAAGAGAGATGGCTACGCATATATATTCTTCTCTTTTAATGTACAATTTCAGTTAACAGGTTGTGTTACTTTTAGCTTTCAAAGTTCAAAAATAGAAACTCTCTAAAGTGCATAATTGTACTTACATTTCATACAAACTATCTGAAATTCTAGCAATATGCCATGTAAACAGCGGTAACTAAGCATCAGAAAATGCTACAATCTCCTCAGTTTAAAAATAAAATGGACTGTTCCCTACATATCATTTATCAAGATTTGTCAGGGGCAAAACCCAGCAAAACAGATAATTTATCAGTACACAGTGCAAACAGGCTTTTAAAAACAAGCAGAGAAAACATACTCCGGGAAAGCCTTGGCCCAGTGAAAAATGTATGACTAGGAAGAAAGGGGCAGAAACTGTTGCTTGTGACCCTATGAAGGTGTCTAGGCCAGATTCACCAATGTCCTCCAGCTTTAGCCCGCTATAATTTAGCAGAATCCCAAATGCAGATCAGCTTGCTGCACACTGTCACCATATATGCTTTGAAGCACTTTGAGGAACCGGGCCTGAACACCACCACCAGTCTGCACCACCAACTTTTTGGAGCCCCACTGCTCATCGCACGCTTCTGCTAGCGGAGTAGTGCTGCATGATGGTGGCTCAGCAGCTGTACCTAAAGCAACCACGAGAGCTGACCACAGGCTGACACGTCCCTAAGCCCAGGCAGAAGGCCAAAGGCACAGCTCTGATTCCTTGGGCTGCCCTGGCTCCAGACAGGCATTTGCTTCCCTCGCACTCCAACATCTTCAAAAGCAGTTTCTGAGCCTGTTTGACACACTCAAGGAATCAGACTGATGTGCAGAGGCACAGCCCTACCTCTCCCACCTATGGAAACACAACATCTCCGAAAAGCCAAGCCCCAGGACAGCACCCAAGTCCTCCAGACTCTTTGGAAATAAGAAATTCAGTCCCCACTGATTTAATTAGGAGGGTGCAATTCTGCAATCAATCAGTAAAATCAGTCCCCCTCCTAAGTGCTTTCATTAATAATTAACTTCATCACTGTCTTACCCAGGCGGAGTACTAATGGTCACGGGCAGACCCAGGGGAGGAAGGCGCTGCCTTCTGAAGCGTTTGTGGGATCCCGAAGTGAACCACCTCAACACCGGTTTTGGCAAGAATTAACACAGCACACACAGCAAGTTGAGGAGGGGTTAGTCTGAGTAGCACAACCCAAAAACCCACAGAAAAGAAAAGGGAGAAATGGTTCTGGGAGTCCACTGCTTGCCTGCTCCCCTGCGACTTGCGTGAGGCCTGGCGCTGCGCTTGGCCTCGGCTGCTTGGCTCCTGCTCCAGTTTCCAGGGCCCAGACGTACAACAGGGCAGCATTACTCCGTGGCTTTGGGGTTGAGACCTATTCCCAAGAGCTGTGTCCCGGTTCCAGCAGGAAGCGTTGCTGGGCAGTATCGGCCCGTGCACATGAAGCTCCTGGAGCGCCAGAGCAAGCCCAGGTGGCTGATGTTGCACTGCAGTTATCAGCCCTCAGCTACTGGCTTTGTTCCTGGACTCACGGCCTTTTCACTCCTTCAGGCAGCGATTGTCTGACAAGAGAAGTGGAATCTGCTGTCCCAGGGCCTCCTTTTCTGCACGTCATAGAGGTGGAAATGTCGAGTTGTCCAGTCCTGCCCCTGAGACACACGCCCTCTCCATGGGCAACGTGTGGCTTGGGGCTTTCAGTTCCCTGCAGGATCCTGTGCCACAGCACTACCTGTGCACAACAAAGCCACTGGGAAGAAAACACAGTCTGCTGTTGCCACAATCACAGCGTCCTTGCTCCAGCCCACACTGCCTGATGGTCTACAACAAAAAACAAAATGTAGGCTAGCCAGTCCATATGACATCGACGCTGACCATTCACCTTAGGCTCCTGTATTCATTAACAGATAATGAAGCACACGAGGCCGGTCTTCCCGATACCTGACACCAGGTATTTAACAGCAGCTACCAAAATCCCAAGAGGTTCTGACTTGTAGTTGATGAAAACCTCTTTTCTTCCCAGTTGCCCACACATGGTCATACCCTTACAGTACCTCCTGCCAAGTGGAACAAGCAGGCAAGAACCCTGCTGCGTTTTCTTTGCCATCCCAAACAGCTGTAGATACTTTCTCCTAGTTAATTGAACTGGCAGTCAAAAAAAAAAGGCAGGGAAAAAAACAAACAACTCAACCCTGGGCCCTGGTCACCCATGTAACTCAAACTAGTCTGGGGCTATAACCAGGATAACCTTCCAGCACTCAGAAAGAGCAACAGAAGATGCTGGATTCCAAACAGTCTGGTCAAAAGTCTGAGCAAATCTTTACTGTAGCTACAAGAGAACAATCTTGGTGCTAATGTGACCTGTGCCTTTACATGAGATCAAGTTAGGGCACATGTCTGGTAAACTGAAGTGAAAGCTAGTTGATTTAATCACTATTCATGCTACTTTGTCTCTTGCTATGATATCCTGGAAAGGAGAAAAAAAATAAGAGCATGGTTGGCTTTGATATTCTAAATATTACAGGATCTGTAAGCAAATCAAAACACAAGAATCCCTTCTGTGCAGTCACTGAGGACAGCATCATGTCTCCTACGCTGGCGAACTCCATTTGGGCATCAGGCCTGGAGAAAGAGTGGACAACAGCAAATGTAGAGAGTGATGGCAAGCCACCCTTCCTCCCCCTCCTGCCTCTGGGATTGGCCCTTCAGTTCCCAGGGGGCTCCTCAGCCCTCCCCAGCCAGGCTCCTGGTGCATCCACTTCATGCAGTTGTCCACTTGGTGCTCTCTTCTACGTTTACTGGCGAAACCAATCTCCTCCTTTACATTATCTTTGAGCTAATATCTCTTTTACTGATCAGGACCTCCAGCAGCCTCAGCTTGGCCTTAATCTGCTTGTATTCATTGTATTCTTCAGACATAGGAGTGCGGTCTTCTTTCTGCACGTTCCTAGGGGGAGTAAAAAGAGGTCATGAGGATTTCTGTGCCAGGACATCTTCCCTCAGCAGCCTCCCTCCACCCCCTGACAATATCAGGAGTAAGACCTACAAGACAGCTCACCTCCTCCACTACCCATCAGGGAATAAAAACAAAGTAATTTTTATTCTTGGAGAGAAGACGGCAGGGGCAAGGCAAATGTACCAGCAAAGTGGGGGAAGCTTGCATGTCAAGGCTGAACAGAATCCCATGGTTCTAAATGCAAAATCTTATTTGAAGCATGTCCTACTTCACTGGAATTGTCAGCTTCTACACAACAGTTGGTCAAAACAAAACAAAACAATACAAATAGATGAACCCTTTCCTTTTCAGGAGCCATCTGAATGTCAGCCTGCTAGATGCCAAAATAAAATACAGCTTTTCTTGGCTTGGAACCACAGGAAGAAAATATTTATTCAGATTTCTCTAAGCTTAAGTGAAACTCAAGATTCAATGATTATACAAGAATCTCTCAGGATGGTGGGTAGTGGCAAGAATCACAGAATGTTTTGGGTTGGATAGGACCTCAAAGATCACCTAATTCCAACCCCCTGACACGGGCAGAGACACCTTCTGCTAAACCAGGTTTCTCAAAGCCTCATCCAGCCTGGCCTTTAACACGTCCAGGGATGGGTCATCCACAACTCCTTTGGGCAACTTGTTCCAGTGCCTCACCACCCTCTGAGTAAAGAATTTATTCCTTATAACTAATCTAAATCTACCCTTTTTCATTTAAAACTATTACTCCTTGTCCTATCACTGCACTCCCTGACAAAGAGTCCCTCCCCAGCTTTCCTGTAGAACCCCTGTAGGTACTGGCAGGCCGCTATATGGTCACCCAGGGGCCTTCTCTTCTCCAGGCTGAAAAAATCCAACTCCCTCAGCCTTTCTTCATAGTAGAGGTGCTCCAGCCCTCTGTTCATCCTCACAGTCCTTATCCTCTGGACTCATTCTAATTGGTCCATGCCCTTCTTGTGCTGGGGGCCAAAGGGCTGAACGCAATACTCCAGATGAGGTCTCATGAGGACAGAATCCCCTCCTTGCCCTGCTGGCCTTGCTGCTTTTAGTGCAGCCCAGAAAATGGTTGGCTTTCTGGGCTGCAAATATTCACTGCCAGATCATGCTGAGCTTCTCATCAACCAACACCCCCAGGTCCTTCTCCTCAGGGCTGCTCTCAATCCACTCAGTGCTCAGACTGTATTCGTACTTGGGATTTCCCTGGCCCAGGTGCAGGACCTTGCACTTGGCCTTGCTGAACTCCATGAGGTTTGCCCAGGCCCACCTCTCAAGCCTGTTCAGGTCCCTCTGGATGACATCCCTTCCCTCCAGCATAATAATTTCAGGAGTATAAATATATTAAAGCATTTTACCAGCTCATTTACGAGAAGCTTTTTCTGAGGAACACATTTAGCTATATTGAAGCAGAAATACTTGTTAAACTAGTGTATGAATACCTCATAGACAAGCAAGAATAGGACAGAGATCTAAACATTCTATATAATTAATAAGAAAGCAAATTATTTTATCACTGAGGAACCGTTTCATTATTCTTATTAATTGTGCTAGAGGCAGTTGGATTTTCAGTATTTATACTTGCACTTCCCACTGCTTTTCCTAAGAAAACGTTGTCTAAGAGGCTGTGGTCCTTAAAGTTCTTTGGAAAAAAGTCATTAATTTTAATGGGCAACAGAAATGAATGTGGGTAAAGCAATAATGACAATGCAGTATGTAATAGTGAATTCACATAACTTTCCACAGTTGGAGGCCTTTGTAAACACCAAACTGAACTTAAGAATAACTGAAGGACAGAGGGATAGCTGAGAAATTACCTTCCATTTTGTCGGAAAAAATTATCTTCAAAGTCTCTTAATTTTTTTCTGATTCGCTTTTTCTCCTCTCTGACTTCTTGCAGCTGCTCTAATAGTTCAGGGCTGTTGGGTTTAAACATAAACATGATTATACTTATGTACACAACTATAACTGAAAACATAGAGTAAATATACAAATGCATGGTTGTATAGATGCCAAGCGAGAGAGCTGCTCCTGAAAGCAGCTCTGGCAACCTGATGTTAATTGCAACACAAAGCTCTCTGAATTTATTTCAGCAAAATGATTATTTAATTAGGCTGAAACCTCAAAGAAGGTCAAGTGTGCATCACACAATTCATCACTAATTTCTATGAAACTTACTTGCTGAAGATGGATATGGTTTTGGTAAATTTTATAGGATCATGATTCAATGGACATGAATTAAAGCTACCACATACGTGTGGGCACAGTAGACCTCAGTGCTTAACACTAACGGGACTAGCTCAACTTGATGTCTCCAAAAACTGAAAAATCTTGTAGAGTGCAGGATTGTTTTCACAATAAAGGCTCACCATAGGTGAAGTGAAGCTACCATTTAGTCCAAGAATCCAAAGATACGTAAATCAAATATCAGTATCAGAACAGGGTAGTTTTCTTCCAAACTCTTGGGAGTTTTGGAGAAAAAATAGACCCTCAAAAAAGGGTCTATTGCATTTAGAGCTGAACTGCAAAAGATTCTGAATCAGAACATAAATGAAAAACAAAACAAAACAAAATCTATACATTTTTCTTACAAATAAAATGCCATCTTATCAAGAAGTAACATTTTGAAGTTGTCTGCAAATTCAACGTACATGGATGCTTCATGGAGATTTGAAAGTCCCATATCCTGGTTGCTCCTTGATGGCATCTTATCATCCACCGGGGAAACAAAGCCATCAGCATCATCTTCTAGTTGATCCAAGAAGCTACGCACGTTGAAGTCTGTTTTCATAGTAATTGTGAAATCTGGCTTCACATTGCTGTCCTCCTCGGAGCCCTCCTCTTCCTCCTACACACAAGGACAGAACACCCCCAAAACAGAGTAAGTTACTGCTTCCCTTCTCAGAAACAAGTATCTCCTTTCACGACATGCACTGGGAACAGATATGGAAAGAAGCTGATAAGAGCAAGCACTTCAACTGCTAAGCAAGACAATACACCAGAATATCACCAGGAAGAGTCCCTACACCCAGAGCATGTCAGAGAAACTGTGATTACCAGCTCAGATTGCTTAAGGAAACCCAAGACAACAAAACAGTGAAAAACTATCTAAGTTTCTTAGTAAGCTGTTGCTTTATTTAATTTATATATTCTGATACAAATAAAACCATTTACAGCCATGTCTAAAGCTTACCCGTGGTCCTCTACGTGCCCCTACCAACACACAAGACAGCACATGGATTGCCAGGTTAACATGTGAAGTGTTCTCTCAACTGACACAGCTCAACAGCTCTCTCTAATGGCTGAGAATCCAAGACCTCAAATGCTCTTGGAGTGATAATGAGCTCAGATCAGTCTTTCTATGGCCAAATATTGGATATGATTGACCATGTAACTCTAACCAGGAAGACTCTAAGCATATATATATATACACACATATTTATATACATATATAAAAGCTTTTGAGGACTAATGTTATTGAAGACTTCAACTGTATCCAAAAATATATTGTTGCAGCGGGATCAAAACTAGCTATTTTCTTTGTGTGATTCCTTGCTAATAGTTAAATTGTTCCTAAGAGATTGCTCCCATATTTCAAGCAAAAAGGGAGAAAATAACACTGGGACCTGGCAGAGTCCCATTAAATCCCCAAAGTCAATGATTTATAAGTGCATACATTTACATGAAATTGGAATTTCCCCAGAGTTTTCTTTTCATTTTAAAGCTCTAGGTGATGAAGATGCAAACCAAAGCCAGAGGCCAAGAATTACAACCATGATGGAGGCTTGAGGATGGAAAGAAGATTAGCTGCAGAGAAGCTTTGAGCAATAAGGATAATAATAATAATAATAATGATAATAAAAGATACTGAGAAGATTGAAAACATCTCAGAAGAATCTGCAGGGAACTAGTGAAAATGAAAGCGGTTTTTAGCACATGACTAGATAAGATCCTTTTTCCAGACAAACTGTAGAGCTTAAACAGAAGGCACAAAATGCGCCTTCATGAGAAGAACTGCAGCTGTAACAGCAGTCACGTACTGTTGATAAACCCTGCAGATAACTTCGGGCTGGAAGGAGGGAAGGGAGAGCATTCCTCCCTGCCATTCACAGGACCCCAGGCGTGCTGTCCTGCCCAGCTGGGTAATGGCAGCTAGGACTTAAACAGGATAATGCCATCACTGCTGGGGTGCAGTGAAGGATTTGCTAAGTCAGTCTAACCAGTAAAAATTATACTCTTATTTTAGGGGAATCCCTTCAGCACCAAAGGAGGAGCCCCCTTGCCCTTTCCTGTGAGAGCAAGTTGCTTCTGGCTTCCAGTTCTGGAGAGAAAAGGAAAGGACCGTTTTCATAAGCAATGTAGGAAACTGTTCCCAAAGAGGGGAGCAAAGTCTCTATGTAACTTGAATCTGCACATCTGGCAGCAGCCTCTTCCCCACGGACACGGGTGAGCCTGTGTCAGCTAATGGGGGCTGGCACAGCAGGCTGGCCTGCCTGCCTCACTCCAGGGCACGAGCACGCACCCCAAGCCAGCAAGAATTTTTCTGGCCCAGAGCTGAGGAGCGAGCCTCCTGCCAAAGAAAGCACATGGGAGGAAAGGACAGTGTAGAAATTTCACTTGTTTAGACCTCAGTGCCAAAACACTACATCTGCCTGTCACAAGACCTCTTAAAGCATTTTGCTGTTTAAAATGAAGGAGTGAATTAAAAAAAAATCTGAGCAAGAACTTTAATGGACAAGGCCATTGCTCTGAAGAATTCCTATATGGGAGTCTTATTTTAAACCTGCTCTGCCATTTACATCTCTAACCAAAATTATCTTCATTGACTACATCCATTTGGCTTGCACCTGCTTGGATCTTTAGGCAATTGTGAGGCATTTAAAGTTTAAAGAGCTACAAATACAAAATCTCCAGAGTAACCCAACACCAGTACTCCCAGCCAGCAAGGATTCCAGTGATATTCTAAACACAGTCAATATTCAAGATATTCTACCCAAACGTTCTGCAAAGCATCACTCAAACCACCCTTCAAGCTTTTATCCAGCTCTCACATATACTTGGAAAAAACAACAGGAAAGTGACAGTGGGGCTCATCAACACAGGTAGTGCTCTGTTCACAATGTACCCATATGGGGGAAAACTCTTGGGCTTGTTAGCAATTTTCTCTGAGTGTAGTACACTGAAAATCTGCTGTGCGCAGCTTTGCTGGGCCCCAGTTAAATATTAATTGCCATGTGTTAATGGGCTTAATGTCACTCTGATCTTTGTCAGTGACACCACAGCTCTCCATTGCTCCCTGCAGGACACTGGTGAGCTGGTGAGGTACTGTCCCGGTGCAGCACTAGCCACACTAGTCACCAAAGGTCACCACATTTCATAGCTGCAACTTTTGACATTGGGTGCAAGCACAGTTGAAAAATAGAGGACACAAAAATACCTGAAACAACCCAGAAACCCAGCCCAGGCCACTATCACAGACCTGATCCAGCAGTTATCTAGAAAATGCTGAGAACTCTGTGCTCATCCTCCAGTTGAACGTGCTTCGGTCTGTAATCTGGTTTTAAGGAATATGTGCCTCGAACAGCTCACTAGTACACAAACTACCAGAATTGCCTTATCACAGAACCACCCTGGATGTGTAGGTTTGCAGTACCTACACCATTAACCAAACTCTGGTTGGATAACACACAAATGACATGAGTGTGTTGAAATGCTTTTTCCTGGTACACTGCAATGGGAAAAACAGACCAGGGCCCAGCTCCACACTGCTTGTCCTAGCTGACAGCTGGACTTCCCTTCTCAGGGGAAGAAGGACCAATATTTTAAGTCTTCACCACCAAGAGCTACCACCCCAGCAGCATGAGAAAGAAACACAACCATCCTACCATCCCAATCTGACCGAGTGTTAGCAAGTTGAACTGAATTGTTCTTAATTCCATTCTCTTATTACTTGCTGAGAAACACCATTTGCAAAATAGTGAAAAAGAGCCCTGGATAAAACAAGCACGTGAATGGGAGAAGGTACGAATCCTTTAAGTGCCTGGTTCACTCCATGTGTGAGTGTTAGTTTTGTGAGATCTCATTCCAGCCACGGTGCTGTGTGCAAGTCACAGAGCTTTGGAGTGAGAGACACTATTGCAAAACAAGTTAGTGTTATTAAAAAAAGGAGGAAAGCAAGACGACAATTACAACCCAAGGTGCAAAGGATAACTGTGAGATTTTCAGCAAAGTAACATACATTATATGCAGGTGGCAAGGGAGGGGGAAGGAGAAGGGAAAGAATGCAAAGCCAAGGAAAATGTTTAGTCTTATCTACAACAAGGGAAGAGTTTGATCAGAACTGGACAGGCTTAAAGCAGCTACTGATTTTTCAGGAAGACACTGCAAAAAAATCAACACTGATGGAAAAGAAAAATCAATCAATCATTCTCTTTCATTGGTGTAAGGGGAAAAATTGATGCAAACTGAGCAATTAGTTAGCAGCTGGAGGTCTTCACCTTTATCTCCTTGAAGAAGGAAGCTGTTTCGCCCTCGATAATTGGCTGCAGCAAAGGGCTTCTCCGCTTGCTGGAGGGGGAACCCTGTGACAGGTGTTAACAAGTACGTTACATTAGGAACCCCCTTCTCCTCCACCACCTGCTCTCAGATCATTCTCACTCACTCATTCGCTCTCTCTCAGTTCATGGCCAGACCATCAGGAACAATCCATTTCTTAAAGAACAAAAATGTGCCTGGCAAATCCTCTGAACCTTGGACCACTCTCTCTCAAGATCTTGCTTAGCAAGGAACATCATTGCCAAACACTTCAGAAAAAGCCTTGGATACTGGAACGCTGGCTGGGCAGGAACTACGAAGTAAAGGCTGCAAGAAAATAACCCCCCAGCCTGAAGCCTATACACAAACACACACACACACACACACACACGCACTTGGTTGACTCTTCAGAGCTACGGTGTAAGGCCTGCTGGACTCTCCAGCCCTGCTTTCCAGGAGCCAGATTTCCCACTGAAGTGCCTGATGATGTAGAGATGGATTTGCAAATGTATCCTTCCCCTGCATGAGACTCTCACTGCTCTTATTAGAGGGTCTGGGGAAAGCCAGTCTCCTTTCTCCTGTGCTAGCCAGTGTGCAGTTTCAGTTTCCTGTCTAAATAGGACCTAAGCTCTCTTTTGAGAGCTTTGCCTTAAGCTGTCCATGCACAACTACAGGGTTTCTTCCTTCTGATGCGCAGCAGCATCTTCACAGCTCCAATTTTGGGGAGAACTTTGCATATTCAAAGAGGGACAGCTTTTGTTTTAAATGCAAGACAACCTCCCACTGTTTGCAGAAGAAAACTACTTGTCGGCGTGATTGACTGCACTCAGGTAATGATGTGCCAGTCCATCCAATTTAGCAAACAGCCTACAAAAAAAAGCCATCACAAGCAGTGCTGCCTGGGAACAGTGGAAATGGTAAGGGATCTTACATGACAGGGAAAATAGGAACCAAGATAAAACAATTCTCTTTCTTTAGACAGGCTAAAAAAAATCCGGGTGTATATTTAGGTCAAATAATTTTTAAAAAGTGGCCTACACAAGCTATCTAGAATTTGAGATGCTACATTTGCTCTCTAGAGGGGTGTGCTGGATTCCAAGCTGGTAGCAACATTTCCTTGCTACCACCTTGAGTGAGGAGGCGTCTACCACTTACAGGATCTCTTTAATAGAAGTCAGGAGACTGTTCCCCTTTCTCTCAGCCAAGGAGCCTGGTATCTCTGCCTTGAGACCCATGGAAACCTACGTTCCTGTGTAACCAAGCAACATGGAAGACCTACAGTTCTGAGTGGATTGGTAAGGCAAGGGAAGTCAGGCTGTAGCCAAACGTAAGATGATGAAATAACAGGAGCAGCCCAATGGAAAGATGAGAACCATCAAAAAGTGAGATGTGTCCCACGGCTAATGAGCAGGCACTTGAATCCCCTGACCAGCTTTGCCCGGCTTCAGTGTATGGCGCGCCACTGATTCACTCGTTTACCTGCCTTTAGGTTATAAGGGAGTTGGCCGTACTGATCGTGCTGTATGCCAAGGTGTAGTGAATCCTGTTTACTCAGCTCTAAACTGAAGTAAGAGCCCCTGAAAGAAAGTTTCACTTACAATGATAGGGATGGTGTTGGCTCTGGAGAGGATCTGCTTGACCAAGCGATATCTGTCATATAAGGGCTTCATCACCTGTCGTTCATTTTTGGTAACCTGTAAAGGAAAAAGAAATGAGAAACATGAATTCTGCAGCAGCAGATACTCCATTCTGCAACGTATGTGCCTGTTATCACCATTATCCAGAGGGGCTTGAAGGGAATTTCATAAGGATGATAACAGCACTAGCACGGATTAGACATGCTGAAGTACTTGGATATGTTGTCATTGCATCTCCTGTCCTAGGTGCCTGATGCCATCCATCCCACCCAGGCTAGTGGGATGTCTTGTAATGTGACTGTGTAAGACAGGATTTAAACAACCAGCTTTCACAGAACAAAATGACCCATGGAGACAGCAGTCTGTGCTTCTAATCATATCCACCATTAAGAGACACAACATGGGATTTCCCACCCTTATTCTTGTGGCTGGGACCCCAGAGGCAGTTTATGATCCAGGAAAAGAGAAAAGAGCTGCAATGACTGCCTCCCCAAGGATGCTTTCCCAGGGAAGTTAAACTATAGATTTCACAAAAGCTGACTTTCCTGTTTTGCTCTTCCTCTTTACTTCCCTTTCAAGATAGCCCTTCCTTGTCTTTTAATACCCTGCCTTTCCCCTCCACCCTTCCTCCCAGCAACTTTGCTGGGGACAAGAGTTACCACACACCTGAGACAGGATGAATCTATCACAGCTGTTGTGGCATGGAGCAGGCAAAATAGTGCTGTAACACCCACCCTGAGCCCTACTTATACTACTCTTAGTTTGAGTATTGCAAACTGCTAGATTTCATTTCTGTTGTTCCTTCAGATCCATGCTAGGCAGAAAACCTCAGTGGTACTGACAGTGCAGAAGGGAAGACCTAACAGACAATAGATAGTGTGGGAAAGCAAAGGCCTGTCCAGCTAAGTACTAGTTGCATGGAAGTTGGTTTCTATTTCTTCAATGGTTTGTTACAGCAGGGTTAGAAAACAAAACAATTAGCCAACCAACCTGATCATCATCTTTCTTTGCATGCAGCATTGTCTAACCCACATCCTATGACTGTCCTTCCATTAGATCTTTTCTTTAACTTTAGATTATAAAACTCTTCTGAGAGGAGGCCTTAACTGACTCCAGTATCATTTGTAGATTCCAAGACTTTTTACTGCTGTCAATAACCAGTTGATGAAAAAATATAAATCAACAGCATTAACCCCGATGAACTTTGCACAGCTTCCCCTTCCACAGTAGAAACAGGAGGAAAGAGAATACGGCTTGAGATAGGGAGGAGATTTTAACATGAACTGTGGTTTGTTTTGTCTGTATCTGACTTTCATTGGAGTAAGCTTTTTAAAGCTTTTACATCATCCTGCCAGAGCAGAAGAGGGCATTGGTTTGCAAGGGGCAGATGAGGTACTGCAAATATTGCCAGGAGTGAGACTGGCAGGAACAGACTCTAAGAATTCAGAGGTAGCATCTTCCTTCTAATAAATTAAGCTTATTTCCTTTGTTGGGGGGCAGATGAATAGGGAGAAAGAAGAAGGAAGAGGTTTTTACTGCTTTTTGGGCTCAATGTAAGCATCTCCAAGCCTGATATAGTGCATATAAATGAGCAGTTTTGAGCTCTACAGACTGCACGTCTGCTTCACACCTCTGAGGAACAGTCTGGCTCCCATACCTGACAACCTCAAACTGGCTGTTCATCGAGTGAGCAAACAGCTTGTGTGGATGAGGGGGATGTGAGCAGCATCACACAACTCACTGAACACTGTATCAAATTTTGTGTTTGTATGTCTGCATTCAGTTGGAGGCAATTTGCTAGCCACTGCAACTTTGGATGTCTCTCTGCAACAAATCAAGCATAAAACTGGAGAAACTGAAGAAAGCTTACAGGACTTATATTACTCCTAGCTTTACCACATTAGCAGTTAATAGAACACGAGGCACAGCACTACTGTTGGCTCAGGCAGCCTCTGCTATTAAAGAAAAAAAAAAAAAGACTGCTGAGACTGAGAACCAAACCTCCAGTTCTTGGCATTTCAAAGTAGATCAATGCCCCTGTTCTGTACAGGAAGATAAACATAAGCCTCAGAATGGGCAGAAAATCCTTAGGTATGCTTAGGAATAGAAAAAATAAATTACATGCTCCAGAGTCTGAATATCACCACAGAGGAAGAACACAAAGAATTAATTTAGGCAAGGCAGTTAAGTGTACGAGGCTTGAGTCAGCCCTGCAGACGTGCACCAGAACATTTAAACAGAAAGCAGGCTCTGAAAGAAAAGGTTTTGCGCATGGGCAAACTGTCTCACTAGGTAAACATTAGTAATACCAGTGAAACCTGAATATATTTTGGGAGAACATCAAAATGCAAAAAAGCTGTCAGAATAACAGAGCCTTTGACACAACCCTGGAGCACACTCCATATGGCAAATAGCAGCAGCCAAGGAAGAGACCATTGCTTACATTGTTGGAGCAGCTTGAGAATTTCTAGAGATGGACGTTTTTGCTTAACTAAAACAGTTCAGTTCTACCTCTGCAGGTTCGTCTGTCACTGGTACAAAAAGACCTAGCTGCACAATAAATCTGAGCTCCATTGTTTTTCTTGTTTAGTTAAATATCTTAAAAAAAAAAAAAAATCTTGGCTGAACTATCCCCATTCTCCTCAAGCTCTCAGTATTTTTCCACTGTTGCAGTGCCAGGAGCTGGGTACAGCAAAAGCTGATCAGCTGCAGCCTTCCTTGCTATGCAGTTCCATGTTGCTAGGTATAGACTGCTTACTTAAAAACAAATACATTGAAAAGTGGTTGTATAAATAAAGCATCAGAAGGTGTGTGTGGGGGGAAAGGTATGCTGACAAGATAGGCTCTGGGCTTGCTCTCTTTTTAAACAGATTTAAGAGAGTTTACTTCAACAAGGTGTCACCTGCTGATTTATATCATTGTAATAGCAAAAGCAGATTCAGATTCTGCCTGAAAAGACCAGGCAGATTTAAGTGAATTCTCTTGTGCTGGCCTTTTGCTACTTTATACAATAATAAAATTGCACGTCCTTTCATACAACCATAGTTTTCACTTGCTGGTATACGTGACTGTATGGTATTAGTTCTTCATGAAGGCATTTATTTAAATTAGCAACACTTTTTAAAACAATGGACAAAGGAGGAAATAATTGAGAAGCAAAAGGAAGGAAGAAATTAGGACAGCCATGCAGTAGGAGAATGACAGATTTGTGAGCTGTACTAATCCAATATTCTTTATAAGCAGTAATTTGCTGCTCCCAAGCCACTGGTCAAGAAATTAGCACCACCCTGAAATTAAGTTACTTTACCTCTATGGATGGTAACGAAGATTATAATGAAGTGAAAGAGGAGGAGGGATCCATACAAAGCCAACCAGAGTACTTGGTGGCTTGGAACCTGTGTTTTTGTCACGGAAGGAATCAACAGGTCACAATATTTAACTCTCTGTTTTCACAAATACTTTTGCTTTGTTAAGATCAAACGTACGAGAAACCTCGTACCCTTCCCTTCCACATGGAAACAAACAGTTTCTCGGGGGAAGAAAAAAAACTCATCTCAACTTATGTCATGATGCTCAGGAGACAAACTATTTCATGAATCCGGCACAAAAGGATTAGCAAATTGCAAGATGCAAGTGCCTCCTTGCAAATAGCAAGGTGCTGGGAGAAAGATGTAGTTCCCCTAAGATTGTGCGTTGCTTGCACACCTGTATTCCAGTGAGCCATTAATACTAGCAAATTGCAAAATTCTTGGCTGGATGGGGAACCATGCACAATTAACTATTCCTGTGCCTATTGTATCCCCAGCTAAGCTGGTGAATCAGCAGGGCTGCAAACTGAATGTCTGTGGATCCTAGTGAGTGTGATGCCAAAATAAAGCACAGTCAACTTGGTTCAGCCTGTAGGCTCAGTCCTACAGGTACGTGTCACGTCCAGCACTGTGTGCAGACACCGTCCTGCTGAGAACAGACTCCTCAGCAGCAACAGTAGTGAGGAAGCAAGGAGGTGACTGGAGTATGCACGTGTGGTTAGAAAAGCAAGAAGTCCTAGTGACTGCGACATCAAAGGAGCACTGGGGGATCACTTACGACAAAGACATATAAAGACATACTTTGAAAAAATGCTGCTGTACGTACCGGTCTGCCATGAATGCTTTCGTAATACAGCAAAGCTTTTTGAAGAGCCACTTTCTCTGCTGCTATCTGATCTCTTGTCATGTCCTATGAAAAGTGTCAGAGAGAGAAGAGGAAGAAAAAAAATTAAATGCCTAAACTCCAACCGTACTAACTTGTGGCCTAATAAATGTCCTGGAATTTTTTCATTAATGTTTTGAAGACTCATCTTTGCTTTCTAGTCCCCCCCCACACCCTTTTCCAACTATATTACTGAAACAACTTACCATGCACAGAGCCATATACACAACACAAGCAAGTAAAACCCAAATAACCTTTGTATACGAAAGCATTGTATGTACATAATGGGGATTTATTGATTCTCAGCATGCTTTGAACAACCAAAGCTAAGCAACTTTTAATGACGGTGGCTGTTTTTCACTTACAGTGATCCGAGTTGTAAGTCCAGCAACAAAATGCATGTTCCTTCTTGTCTTCCAAATCCGAGACAAGCTCCAGAAAACCTCTTGCAAAGCTTGCCATCATTGCTTTGACTGCCACAAACACACTTAGCTGAGAACTAAAGTGCAGTCAGACCATCTCCTTCTGCCAATTCTGCTATGAAGTGAAAAGCTCCAGCAGACAGGCTGAAGGGACCAAGCCAAAAAAAAGGGCAGACAGTTGGAAGAGGCTTTCCTAAGTTTGCCAGAGCTTCCCCACTGAACTTGCCTTCTCTACCACTGCACCAAATACTATCATATGCCTTCTTTAAAAGGTCAAGACTATTCTTGCTGCCTTCAGAAAACAGCCAAACACTTCTGCAAATCTAGTAAACAAAGATAATACTGTCTGCCCCTCTCTTACAGAGTACTGCACAATTCACACATCAGCGGACTCAAGGGCTTCATTTACAAGGCTATCCAAAACTCAGGAACTAGCAACATCAGACAAAAAGACCTCTCTGCTGATACAGAAACTAACTGAGCTTAACATGACACTCAGAAATGCTCTGATAAAATGCCCCGAGACAAGAGCATTCATCTTTGGCGAGAAGAAAATAGATGAATTAATCTCCAGAATCACTGGAAGACTCAGAATTTTCCAAAAGCAAATAAAGACAGAAACAGTGAAATGCAAAGCAGGAAATACTGCAGGAATTCAGAACTGTTACTTGGAATCTGTGAGAATTAGAAAAGAACAAACAATACCATTCAGTAGAAACAGAGCTCTGTTTAAAAAATAAAATAAAATAAAATAAAATAAAATAAAATAAAATAAAATAAAATAAAATAAAATAAAATATCACAGACACCAAACATAGAGGGAAATAAACTAAATCAAGTGAGTTGAGCCAGGAGTAAAGCCTGTAGACTTTGTGACAAAATGTGAAAGAACACAAGGTTTTCACAAGGGTCCATGCAACCATGAGCTGCACACTTGTACTTAAAGGCCTAAATTTGAATTGAATATATTTTACCTTTATATCCTCAGGTCGGTTTGTCTCTGCTCGTTTTTCCTGAAGCTTCTTCTGGATAGAATCAAGGGTCACTTCCACGGCAGGCTTGGCAGATTTATCTGACAGGTCTTGCTTCTTGTCATCTTCCTTTTCAAGCTGAGAACCGAAGCTCTTGGGTAGAGTGTTGCTCCGTTGACGCACCACAGGGCCAAGGTCTTCCTCTGATATCTTCAGTTTTGATTCTAAGCAGGGACATACTGGGGCATAAGAGGAGTATTTTTTCTTTTTTAAAATGTGACAGTGACAGGAACACTGCCCAACATCAAACTTAAACAAGGCAAAGTCCACCTGCCCCCAGAAGGTACACCAATGGTGGCTGCTCACCTTTAAGTTGTTTTCGGAATTTGGCCAAATCATTTGTCCATTTGAGCACTTCAGGGTTGGCTGCTTTGTCACTGTGGGAAGGCTGAGAGGAAAAAAACAGTCATGTTGAATCTGTGTTAAACCAACAGGAGAGACCCACTGAAACAAGTGTATGTCACAGCAGCACAGAGCATGGGCACAGGCTTCTGACTGGTTCCTGCATGCCTCTGATCAATTCAGTTCTGATCTTGCTTTGACTGCCCTGCCTGTCAAAACATTGGCTCTTAGGGAATCATGAGATATATTTATTTTAAGAAAACAAAATCCAAACATGATGTTGTAGGAGTGCCTTGGAGGGCCAGATGCACACTGAAGTTCTTCTGCCTATTGTTTCCTAACAAGACGGCAACTCCAAAATATGGGAAACCTACCACAAACAGTTTGAGAAAAATTAGGATGTATGTATCGACACTGAAAGCTACCTACCATCCAAAAACACTGAAATAACCCAAATGCTAGGCTGCAGCAACCTCTGGACATTTCATCCAGACTTTTCTACTGCAGGCAAGATCCCTTCAGTACTGCCCTCTGCGGTTTAGATCACCAATGAAGATGCACACATATGAAGCTTCAGTTCCCTAAAAAACCTTTCTGTTCATCAGAAGGGCATGTCAGGACTAATTAGAGTACAGTACACTGCTACTGCTTAGTGGAACTTGGCTATGGTTCCTTGCTCAGGAGCAAAGAAGGCTGCTCTCCTCTCCTCTGCAATGTGCTGGTGTCCTTGGGTTACCATCACGCAAATGGGATGCACAAGTGTTCTTACCATAAGCTGAACTTGAATACACAAACAAACAAAAAGTTTAACATAGCTATTCCTACACATCCAATGCAGTACTTTTTGCATACTGCCTAAATCAGTGATCAAAATCCTATGAGTTTGTTAGACTACCTCTTGTGCTGCACTGGTAGTACAAAAAATGCTTGGAAAGGTAATCTGCATGGTATGGATGCACATTTCTATTTTGGGGAAGCAGCATTTTTTTCTTCTTTTATTTATTTTTTAAACACTTGCAAGCTCTCTGTATAAGTTTGACCGACTTCCCTGATGTCCTTTCCCTTTCCAGCTACCTCCTGCCTTTCCTTACAAATGCTTCTGGAGACTCACTCGGTATTTCCTTTCCTCTTCAAATTTTTCCTCAAACTTCCTGATCTTTTTCTTCAGACCATGAATCCTCCGGGTGAGTTGTGCAGGGGTAAGGTCCTCTCTGTCATCTTCATAAGATCCCAAAGAAGAACTCCGCCTCCTGCCAAGAGCAAAGATTGCAGGAAGAGTTTATCCAAACAGTCACAGTACATCTTCATGCTCAGAAGGCCACTTAAACTTTGCTGTAAATAAAGGCAAATCCCACGGAAGTGAGAAAGCTATGTTGGCTACTCTGTAATGACAGATAACACAAGAGGATGCTGTAACAGCCTCTTTCAGCAACAGCAACTGCCTAGATATTAATTCAAAAGCACAGAAATGATCAGTTACCAAGAATCTTTTCTTAAAATACTAGTATCTTCTTGGTATAAACAGAAGCCCAACACGATACAGCTGTATGGCTTATGTGATCCAAAGAGCTGTTGCTTGCTGCAACTGCACAAACCCTTTACAGCCAGATGAAAGTCAGGACAGGGAAAACACAACGCACCTCATAAACGAATGAGAGTTGGGGGGGGAAGGAGGCACTTCTGTATCATCCAGGTACTGCTGGCTCTGTCCGTAGGCATAGAAGCGAGGGGACAGCATAGGATCACTGTCCTCATCCAGAAGCTGGCGAATTAAGCGACCAGCCTGCGGGGAAAGGCGAGCCTCATCTGAGTCTAAGCTGTCTCGCTGCCATGAGGAAAGAGCAGGGATGGGCTCTAGGAACAGTAAGACAAAGACTGGTTTTATCATTTTTGTTTTACAGGTACCACAGACTCCAGGCAACTTTTCTAACACCGTACCCCAACCCGTTCGGACTAGATCATGATTCCTTGTCGCCAGGCATTCTCTGGGTCATTATTCACATCTCCCTGTGTGCAAAGTAATGCAAAACACTGCCTGGTCACAGTGGATACTCTACAGAAGCATAAATAATCTTCTAGGCACAGCATAAAACTCTACCGATAATCTGGACAGTAATTACCATGGGCTGATACCAAGAGAGGCTGTCACCAGCCAGCACCTTTCAGGAAACAATTACTCCAAACAGAATTAGCGGCACATGGCAGGATAAAGCTGGCTACAGGAGGAACTTTTTCAGTTTCAGGACATACAAAATTTCATATGCAAAGCCTGCTGCTTAAACCCGTGGCATGGTAGAAAAGTGAGGAAATTTTCAATCCTCTGGATGATTTAGCAAGCTGAAAGTGGAAACAATGCTGTACAGGGAGATGGTGGGGTGGGAGCGAAATGGAAAACCAATTTAGGCATTGTTGATTAGCATAGCTGAGTCCACAGCAAGCATTCACTTCAATCTTGTGATCGCTCCCTCCAGATGCCATAAGGAGTGTAACATTTTGTGTTCGGATAGTTTACTAAGCTGATTTGCATGCTCCTACTTAGCGCCACAGGATTAAACAGTTTAAGAGGCAGGCCTTGAACTTATAAACCTAACAAATAGTTCCAGAGTCAAATAACAAAACCAAACAAAAAAGTTATAGAAAACTCACAGACCAGTCACACAGCTATGGACTCATTATTTCCTGCACCTAGCCTGTCTTATTCTCGTTCCATGAAGAGAAGGGGGCTTTTGAAGTTAACGATTTTTGAAAAAAAAAAAAAAAAAAAGAAGAAAAAAACAGTATTTCCTTTCGCTGAACAAGGTTAAGATTGTCACAGTGGATTGTATAAGGATTTCCTTAAAGAATCTTTGTGCTGCTCTCCTCCAGGTACAACTCGCACAGCAAGATCTGGATCAACCAAAATTCGGTAATGACAAGCTCGGTGGTATTTTGCTGCATCGAGTGTTCCTTTCCTTCTCTTCTTCCTCAGCACAAGTATATAAACCACATGCCTCTGCTTAGAGACTGGTGCTGAATGCAAGCTGACAAGTTACTGGGAAATGGACGGCTCGACGTTCTTGCAAAATAGCCTCTCCTCAGGTGTTGTGATAAGCAAAGCACACACCCTGGCACATACAAGTGTGGCTTGCAGAGGCTACCTCAATGAGGTGTGCAAAACCTAAATGCATGGAGATTGCTTTGCCATGGACCAGAAACATCATGTAGCCTACACTTCTCTTGGATGTAAGGCAAGTTTTTTCTAAGCTGCATTCACCTTGACAGTTCCTAATGTCTGACTTTCTTTTCCTTGAGGTACCTAGCAGGAACAAAGGGAAAATGAAGGGCAAATCATTCATCCAAACTGTGATACCTTGGTGTCAGACCCTTCCCCGAATCTTATAATTTCAGGTTCTCACAAGATCTCTTGCAGGAAAATAATGGCTGATAACGTGAAAGGAAGAAATTTGATAAATTTGACTTGTGTGTCTGTGTGTGTCTGTGTGTCCTGCCCCAAAGTAGTAATTCACAACCCAAAGAAAGTGTTTCAAAGGAGAGGAAGAAAAATCTGAAAAGGAAATAATAAATTTGAGACTAGGCAGAAGAAATGACTACTATATAAAATCAGCTGTTTTTAAGCCTCACTCCTAGAAAGCAAGAATCTAGGGGTAAATTGTTTCCCTTGCTGATGAAAAGCATTTAGAAGACAAATCTTATCTGGATGCAAAATGAGTAACACCCCTTCCCACTCACTCCCCCCAACATATAATAAAGCATCATATGAACAAAAGGAACAAAACAAACGATAAAGGGACATATCTAGGTATATGGATCTGGTCTGCATCAAACTTTGAACTGGATCAGAGTTACAGTCCAACTGTCTTGTTCCTCATACCAGATGCTTCAGCTGGAAGCACCAGAATTGCTGGATTGTACAAATAAATAGTGACCCACTAAGGGTAAGCAGCTTCAGACACTGCATAATCAACCAAATCTCATCTAACACGAGATACTGTATCTTCCGTTATTTATTTATCCATGAGATATGTATCAAAGTTTTAAACCCTTTCTGAAGGCTGTTAAATTCTTGGACTTAATGGTTCAGGTGTGAAGGTATCTGTTATAAATGCTAATGTTGTGACCCTTTCTGCTAATTGAAGAATAAAAACCTCAGTACAGGATGTAAACGCTTTCCCTTTTTCTGCCACTGACTTGACAGAGCAGTTACCCTTGCCTGTCTTCTGTCTTGAATGGATCTCTCTTGCTGAGAAGAAACTTTCAGTTTTCTAGCCATAGAATTGTAGAATGGCTCGGGTTGAAAGGGACCTTAAAGCTCATTTAACTTCAACCCTCCTGCCACAGACAGGGATGCCACCCACTAGATCAGGTCCCTACGGATCGTGTCCCATGGGATCTCATCCACTAATTGCTTGAACAGCTGGAAGTTGGCTCTTCTGAAGTTCAGGATCCTGACTTTGCTCTTAGGGCCCGTATCCCTTCACACCACAAGCTGAACCAGGGCGTGCTCACTGTCACCCGGGCTTCCTCCAGTCTTAATCTCTTTACCGAGCTCTTCTGCATGGGTGAGTACCTGGTACAGTAATGCTTCTCCTCTGCTTGCTCTGTCTAACTCCTGGATGAGGAATTTGTCCTCAGTGGACTCCAGGAGTCTCCTGGTCTGCTTACTGCCTGCCATGTGGCTTTCCCAGTAAACATTCAGGTGGTTGAAATCCCCCAGGAGGATGAGAGCCTGTGAGCGAGATGCTTCCTGTAGCTGGAGCAAGAAGGTCTCATAGACCCCACCTACAAGATGTCCCTTGTTGGTCTGATACCTCTATATTCGATGTACTTTATTTTCTTGATACTTCCGTAACAAAAACATTTAATGAAAGACTTAAATAATTTGCGGAATATTTAACCATCATGGCTGTGCCAGCACAGAGAAAATTCCCTTTCTTGTGTAGACTCTTACTGCATTTCTTTTAGGTATGCCTTTCCTAAGTTGTCACAGAAGTGAAATATACTGCCATTGAGCTTGCAGACCTTCAGCAGTGCCTCTCAAAATCCCACAACCAGCTCATCTTTCAACAAAGCTGTCAGCCATCTGCCAGGTGTTGCTCTGCACAGCTCCGGAGGCATACATACATCTGTTGCAACACCATCTCTCTACCAACCTGCCGCATAAAGGACTGGAGTTATTAATAAACCTATATCATGCATGAAGGAATATGGATGAATTTTATCAAATTTAACAGGGGTTAATATTGGTCAGCTCCGTCTTGCTGTCCAAAACTTTTTATTTATTTTTTTTAATTCATTATCCTATTTATTTGTGACAGGGTTACCAGGGGCTGCATGATGAACAGAGGGGCATGCCAACACACACATCTGCTCATGGTGCAGCAGCAAAATACCACTGGGGTCTTGTGTGCTCCTCTCTGCAGCCACAGAGCTGATACGCTGCTTTTACACACACCTGCCTGCCAAAGGGCTAAGGTCAGAGACGCTGTAAGCTGAAGTAGGTCTGGAGGGATTAAAAAGCCTAAACTAATTACAATACCTGAGATCCTGGTATTAAAAGCCACTTGAAAGACCCCAGAGACCTCTCATAATAAATCAAAGCAATTCAAAACTTCAAAACATTCACTTGCTCAATAACAACCCGTTTTATATCTCACAACTAATTGCTTGAAAACATCCTCAGACAGTTCTGTCAGTATTCTTCCTAAGTATATCAAGAGTAGCCCAAATACAGTGCTACCATGACTTTTCTGTGAGATGAAACATTTCTCAGCTAATAAGCCAATTCTGCATTTTGATAATAATGTAAACCACACTAAACGATGAAAAATATTTAAAAAAATACTGATGCTATAAAATAGTGTCTGCAATCAATGCAATTATTAATTTTTAGACATGGTAATAAAAATGCAATGTTTTATCACCTTTTGATTTCTTATGCTAGTCTGTTACACATAGATACACTGATGTATCTAAGCCTAATGTCAAAATCAATTCCAAATGTCCTTAGCTGTTGCTATACTCTTTTCCTTCTTGTTATTCTGTTTTTATTTTCATGGGAAAGCATCAGTTAAGTCAGTCCCAAAACTATCTGTAGATCAGCTTCACCCTCAGGGTCTCAGTGCCGCAACACTTGGGTTCTCAACACTGAAGAGAATACTTATTCATCTAAAACTCCAGCTTCTATTCTCATTTAAAAAAAAAATAGAAGAAAAACATCTGCTTATTTTTTCATAAATTCTTGACTCTGCAAACTGATTGAAATTTCATCTATAGAACTGTTTTGTTTTGTTTTTTAAATGTCAGTCATTAGGTGGTGAAGGCAGCAATCACACACAGCGTATCAATTTACTGAACTGTCTGTTCAGCTGCAAGCTCCCAACAGGGCCTGTCGCCTTTCTGGAGAGCAACATACTTCCAGATTTTCCTTGGGGATAGGATAACAAAATCTCTGCTTGAATTAGTAACATTTGGTAAGAACTCTACACAATAGCATTGGACTCTAAGAGAACACTGTGTCCTTCCCACTCACTGTATTTGATTCAATCACAACCTACGACAATTAAAACCTTTGCTACGGAAGTAGCTCTGGAAACACTTGCAAGCTGTCAGACAGGCTCAGTCTGCAGGCCCAGCAGTCAGACAACCCGGTTCAGCCTCCATTTGGCAGCGGGAGAGGTGAGCTGCTAGGTCAAGGTGACTGCTCACGAAATGCCTCTGGCAAACGCTTCCCTTTTGCACCTATTATGGAGACAGCTCAGTTCACATCCACCCTGAGAATAAAAACGATTTGATTTGCATCTGCTGAACTGCACACCAGTAAAATCCTTCTCTCAGATCATCAGAAATACACCTAGGCCTAAGTGCGTAGCACTTGAACGTGCCTGAGATGCTCTTTATACCTTGTGAGCTGCATCGTACCTTCGGATTACAGGACATAAACCCCTATACATAGCAGCAGGCAAGGCTGACGCAGAAGGTCAGTGCAAGAGGTGGGTCAGGTTGCTGCTGCTGCACTCTGCGTGTGGCAATGTGAGCCCGTGCATTTGAGGAAGCAGGAAGCAATTTTTTCTGTCCTCAGCTTTATGCAAGGGGGAACATGTCCTGTAGAAGCATAGCAAATCTCTTCTCTTGTGAACAGATCTGACTATGCAGTGAGCCTTAAAAAAATAAAAAAAGGTAATAATTATTTCTAGAATAACATAAAAGGCAGGTGGCTCTGCAAGCTCAACTGGCAGCTGTTATCAACAGCCACTTGTGAAGGGCCCAGCACTGGTCACTACATGGTCTACATCTCCTGCAGTAATAATACAGAAGACCCTGCCCCCAGAAGTCAGCTCAGTGATGTCCTGGGGGAATGGGTATTTCCTGATAGATGGATCAATTGAATTTACTAGAGAAAAGCAATAAATAACTTATCAGTACTGCATTTGAAGGCACAATCTTCACTATTTTCACTGGGGATAGCACCAGAGATGCAGCATAGACCCTGATGACACCACGTGTAAAGGTTTGAGTGACACAGGTTGGCAGGGGAAGGGAAGATACCCCGACTCCTGGAGCTGTGGGTGAGTGGTACAACCCTGCACTGCAAAGCCAGTCTCACTATCAGTCTCTGCCATTAGCTGTAGGAGTGATCTCGAAATTGAGGCTAACATCTAACCTGATCTGGCTTCTGCAAGCTTCATTTCAGATCCACAGCTAGGAAAGATTCTGTCTCCCCTTGCTCAGACGCAGCAGTCACTGTTCTGCTGCACTTTAACCTGCACCAACAAAATGGTGATTTGGTAGGCAAGGGTTTTACAAGATGACATCTTTCTCACCCTAGACAGCTGGTTCTTTTGCAACTGCCCACCTCTTCCTCTTGTGAAATACATTTGAGCAGAACGGAGAAAGGAAGAATCTGAAAGAAGCATGCTTCAAACACAATCAAAAGGTGTTCATATTCCCGTTTCATATTTGCACTGCAAGAAAGCTGGAAGCCAAATATAAGAACATGCCTATGAAGAGGGGTTTGTACCAGGGTGCAATGTAGTTCATACAATGGGAAAGCCTCTGGCAAACAGAAGGGAGTTGTATTCTCTCCTTCATACATCCATTAAGACTCCCATTTATAACACTGGTAGTTACAGGCATGCACCAGGAAGAAAAAAAGAAAAAAAAAGAGTAATTCCAAAGGTTCATGTGACAGCTGAAGCCACACATCACCTCTGGGAACACAACTGTGCTCACCCTGGCTTGGGACCCCGAGGGGCAGTGCTGATTAGTGTCTCAGCAAACACACAAGGCAGCCAGCACAGGGCTTTGATCAGCCGTGCCGCAGCCCTGGTGATATCATCCCGGGGATCCCCCTCCTAACAAGCAAGTGGAGAAATTCTCTTCCGTCCCTGGTGACTAGTTGCTTTGCTGAATCAAAAGTGGCCACGGCTGCAAGTTTTCTTTACTCATACCCAAGGTGTCATAACTAGACAGAAAGGCAAAATACACCAGGTCACGTACACTGTGGAGACAGGAACAGAGAACTTAACTTCTCAGTGTTCCTCAGGGATTTTTTTTTAAATTAGTAAATGACAGATACAATTTTTCCCTCTCTTGCTTTGATTATTAAAATGCAATGCTTGCATCTTCCTATTTCTTCCCCATCAAAGCCTCTCTCTTACTCCTAAAGCACAAACTAGCACAACAATTCTTGCTTGTACACAGGAGAGAGCCAGTAACTGAAAAAGGTGTTGATCCCAGAGGTGCTGGACACCTTCAGTTCCTCTTTATTTCAAATGAAATGGATGTTCATGATACCCACGCAGTTGAACCCATATTTCACACTCTTAACTAAGTCAGTGCAAACAGCCAAGCAAGCATACACTCTGGAGATGGGTGCCAAGAAACAATATTAAAATAACTTTAACCACAAGCAATTAAGCGTTGCCCTTCGAGCTCGTGATCAGAATTTTTTCACAGCATACATCAAAACAAAGTTGTTCATAAGAGTCATCAAGATACAGAGCACTAGGTAGCCTTTTTTCCAGCTCTAGTTTTCAGATCACATGCATTATTTGGAAATCAAGATTAAAATGAAGTGGAAGAAAATGGAGAAAGAAGGAACTTCCTTTCAGACTGTGAAATACCCGGTTTCTTTGAAGTACTCTAGCTTAGCAGTCAAGTAACCAGCCACCAATAAATGTCATCTTGAAGCACACAGGGACATACAGCACCATTAAAGCACACATTAAAGCAACTTCAATCATGAAACAATTTATCTTCTTTCTCTAAGTAACAACTAGAATTGGTACCCATCCAGAATTTCACTGCTAGTTTCTCCAAACTTTCAGTTCCATATTCAGGACAAAACTATTTTCCTGTTGTTTTTGGCAAGGGAACATGAGCACATAAAGATATATCCAGCCCACTCAGGTTTCCCTCTCTCTTTTTACTCACACGAACAGCCATCACATCACACAAATCCTACCTTCCCAGTTGTTGTCATCGCACAGTGCTGTCAAATCCAGCCGAGGCACTTCTGACCCAAAGCTGTTTTCCTGCTCATCAGCATCTTGATTTCTTTGCAATTTGTTTTCAGGAATGCTTGGATGCTCTTGAATCTTCATATTTGAAGTCTGCTATATTCCCCAAACACCCACAAGAGAAAAAAAAATGTTTCAGGGCAAAGAAGAGGGGAAAAAAACAAACACCTGCTGTCACAGAGGCAGCAAGTTCATGCCTTTAACATAACAGATCCAAATAAAAAGACCCCGATGTTTTCAGCTCCAAATCTAAATCCCCTGTTCGGTGAACTCTACGCATTAATTGCTGATTCACACCAGTAAAAACATTTGTCCATCCGCTTTCCTTGAATGTTAAATTCTTTAGAAAGCCACAGCAAGTTCCCAAGACTGTCTGCCCTGACAACGGCATGCAGCTGAAAAAGCCTCCGCTAATCGATTGGGATGAAAAGGGAGGGAGGAAGGCAGGGAGAGGGAGGGGAAGGCTGCGCAGAGCTCCTACAGCAGTGCAACTCCTTGGAACAACAACAAAAATGCTGCTGCAAGGCTGTGGCAATATGGTGTCTTCTAAAAAGCAAGCACCGGAGCTCCCGAGGCAGCAGCCCCAGACAGCAAGACGTGCAGGCTACGTACATGACCGCTCTCATGCAGGCTGTGCTGGCTCAGATCAATTAGTGCCAGCTAAGCTGTGCTGGCTGCACATTCCCTGATTTCCTGTGGTTGTTTTCTAGCTGGGCGTGGGGAGAGCAGAACTATTTATGGAGGAGCTCTGGGTATTAAAGCAGTGTTGCGCAAATCCAAACGGCAGTAGGGTTTGGCATCTCAGCTGGAAGCAGTGTGGACTCTGGGAAACTGCCAAAAAATTCACACAAGCATCCAATGACTTCAGAAAAAAACAGGCAGAATTGCTGTCAAGTCAATGATTCATGCTTTAGCGCTACCTAGAAGCAACTGCTGTTTGTCCCTCCACTATTCAGCCCGCACATACCACGCGTGCTGTGCTTTTATGCAGAGATCGTGGCCGATCGCACACCCCAGGTCCGCAGCGCCTAGAACAGCGCTGTGGGACACAAGCAGCTTTGTCACAGCCCAGCAAACGAGGTCTAAAGGCTCGCGGAGGGCTGCGGGGAACAGGAAGCATAAAGCACATGCACAAACACATAGCGTGACATGTATACACCCAACAGACACACAGCCAGCCAAATGGATGGCGTTACGTTTTTTTGTAAAGTATTTGATCTTGGTAAGGATGGTTTAGGAATAACTCTCTGAAATATAGTCTAGCAGGTAAGCAACATGCAGATTCTCCCCCCCTAGGTATTTTGATAATCTAGTTACAAACAGCTTATGTGTGAAGAAAATGCATCTAAAGAAAATAACTAGATTTGGACATATTTTTCTTGTAAACCCATGGCCAAACTCTACCAAATCAATATCCTTAATACATGTCAGTAAGGCATGCTTAATTTTTTTAATTTCCATAAAACCAGTGTGTTGTTTCTTTTTTTTTTTTTTTTTCTCTGAGCTGAGACAAACAAGTAAGCTCCATGCAGAGAGGGGAAAAAACTGCTCAATTCACACATCATATGAAGGAATGTGTTTATTTGGATGCAATCCCATCAAAAGCCTGATGATGAACACCCTCGTATTAGTAAATAGTGTTTTGCGTTGTATTTGTATAAAGTTTCTTTCCTCTTTTTTTTTTCAATAAATCACCTTTTAAAAACATTATAACAAAAGGAAACCCTAAATGACAGTTTGCCAAGCATTAATAACTTGTAGGGCTTGACGATAAATCTGATTACAAACGTGTTTATTGTGTGAGCTGTACATGGAAAAATGCTAATTCACCATTCAACATCTTTTAAGCTGCTTCCAGGCTGGAAGGACTTAAATATTTCTTTAAAGTCTTTTTTTTTCCCCTCTTCCTGCCAGGATCTAAATAGTCGGTGTACATTATAAACAGAAAGAGTGGCCAGTGGCCAGAAGCAGGCAGTCTTTTGCACTTGCTAAAGAACAAACTGTACCAGTTTATAAACAGCACTTAAGTTACCAGCACAGTATTTTAAACATGAAAGAAATCAAGTAATAAATTTCAAAGTGATGTTATTAAGAATAACACCTAAGAAGTGTGAAGAGCTTACCTAAATGTTAGCGATTTAACAGTTTCAAAAGGACCAACCTCAAAATACTACCTTGTCACCATCACTGATACTAATTATACACTCATTTTAGGAAGACATTTAATCTTCTAACTTATCAAGACTCTTAAAAAATATTTTCAGCAGATATAAGAATGTTTTTCCAGATGTGTACACATTTCCATTACAGGTACGCTAGGAAGATTATATCCACATCTTCTTCCTTCTAAAGGCACTTCAGTTGTTGGACATATTTAAAGACTGTTTAAGAAGAGGCCTGTGCTGTGCCTGCAGCACTTACTGTCCCTTCTTTGCTCACTTGCTCACTGATGCAGTCTCTAATACAATGAATAAATCATAAGTGTTCTGAAGAACAATGGTGGTGTAAACCCAGGGAGACACAAGAAGGCAAATATTTAATCTTCTTTGCATTAACACTCAAAATCCATAGATTGGTAGAGAATTCAGTGTTCTGTATATCGCTTATTTTCTAAATGATTTCCTGATGCTATCAGTTGTCAACCTCCAGGACAAAAATCAAGGAAGAATTACTGTGCTTTAGGTAAAGATGTACCATCATTTCTTATAAACCAAAGGGGCAGCGACTTTATCTCAGTAGCAGCTGGCAGTCACGGTGCATTGCAGGTCTTACATGAATGACCACAAAAATCTTAAAACTGGGCACTCAACTACGCTTTTTAGAAACTACTTCTGCAGCCATGCTTTGCAGTTACTACTAACTACAGACGTAAATAACCTGGGGATAGGTCAGATGCTTTCACTACCTCTTCTCCAAAGAAGATTCAGCATAAAGAGTAGCTCAAACACATAGAAATAAATGGAAACAGATCTTTGAATTCTGATCAGGAAATTACACATGGAATTGTATTTTTTTAATCAAATTTTGAATCAATTTTAACCAAAAACTTCCCCTCCATCTGATCATCCATTACAACCACAAGCAGGAAGCACCATTAAGCATCTCTTGATAATATAATCAGATGCAAGAATGGAGTCACTCTGCTGCCTTAATCCTAAATCATGCCATTTTTCCTCTACACTTGTTGAAATGCTAGTGAATCTTAAAAATCAAGTACTCTACCGCGTTAACGAAGAAAAGAATAATCTACCTTCAAGCAACTTTCTGAAAATGTAATTTAATTTAGATCTCAAAAATTTATACACTTGTCTGCAGAAAAGCTTAGTAATGAAAGTGGATTAAAAACTTCTCAGATGGAAAATTTCTGTAGTTCTCTTTCTTCTTTGCTGCCAGACAAGGAGGTACAGGAAGTTTTTCTGGTTTCCAGACAGAGTACTCACTACCTGAATGTAATCAACAATTAATAAGTTGACCAACATTTTTGTGTTATTATGTTCAAAGTAAAAGCAGCACTGTGGTAAACTCTTGATGGTCTCAGGCTGCAGGAGTCACACTCGGTTCCTGGTTAGGATGGCTTCCCTTAACAAACCCTGGGTACTAGAAACCTCTCTTTTTCAAATCACAGTCTACACTCTGGAGCCTAGCTACTTCCAAAGGTAGATTACAAATGCTACAAAACCAAAGAAAATTCATTCAGGACATGTGTTTCAAGGTATTTTTACTGCCACATGGAGACCTGAGGTCTGCATAAGCAATATCTGCAGCAAATTCCAAATACCTTTCCTAATATCTTCAGACTGATCTTCAGACTGAAGACAGGGTGAGAAAGGAGTAAGGAGTCCCTTCCTCATTCCGAATGATTTGTTTGTTACAGAAGGTATGTTTTTAAGCTGCCCTAAGCAAAAGGCTTATAAGGGACAAGGAATGTGAAACTACCCTGCAGGAATGTAACATTTTCTTGACCCTGTAATTCCTATATAATACAATCTCTGGGTTAAGACTATGTCTCCTCCCACAGTTAAAACTCATACTGAGTTTTAAAACTTTTCCTAAGGAGTTTATTTTAAGACCATGATTTCCACATTCATACAGACCTCCCCAAACTAATTTAAAAGTTGAATGGGAGTACTCTGGGTCATGGCACATGCAAGAAGGCACGTGAGGAACAAGGTGTTGCAGAACCTGTGCTCTGGAAAACGCAATAGCTCGTGAGCCAGGCTTCCAGGAATTCCTGATGCCAAATGCAGGAAAAACGGGGATTATGACCCTCTGGGAACAAAGTAGGAGATCTGGCTAAGCCCAGTCAGAGCAGTGATCAAAGCCAGCACTGAGCACCCCTTGCAGAAATTACATTTCAGTGTACCACGAACTCCAGCTACTCCATGGCTGCTCAGAGCCCAACAATTATCAAATGATCTCTTCTACTTTTCCTGCTAGACAGAAATAATACCTGCGAGAAACAAAGTCTTCCAAAGGCAACAAATGCACACTGGCTTTGAAAAAGATAAGTAACCAAAAAACCCTCCCCAGCAATGACCAGAAAGCCAATCCCCCCTCCGAAAAACAATCACACACACAAGAAAATGTGAGAAGTCTAGTTAAAAGATATTGTCAGTCCTCCTGTTAACTCCAGATGGTCAGAGACATCGGACATTGTCCACATCTGTTTCACAGTCCTCCTCTAAAATGGGTGCACAGCTGGGGGAGAGGTACCTCAGATAACTCTCCCCACTGTTTTAAATGCTGGTGTATTAGGCAAAGACAAATGACCTGGACAAATCCAGTTTTGTAAGACAAGTGATCCTGTGATGACACCTGTGTTCTAAGGTAACAGCTGACACTGGGAAATCATAAACGAAAGACTGAAATTATTTTAGAGACAAAAATTATTTATCGAAAGAGACAGGATTATCTTACTACTCTGGGAGATAACCAGTTACACACCCTGCTCACAATGATTGTAACTCAGTAGCATTCAAACCAAAGCGCTTGACTTCAGTGATGCTCCTCTTTTTGGCAAGGGGGAGTTGAAGGCACTGAGGCAGATGCTTTCAGACTCATCAATGGTTAAGAGGCTCCCTAAATTATGTAAACAGAGAGGAGAGGAGAAGGAAAGAAAAAGCAAATGCTATTTCTCTGGAAGCAATAACGTTTCATTGGGAGTACAAAATGACATGCCTAGCTACTTGTTTCTGCTCAGTAACAAGACAATTCAGAGCCCACAAAACTGAAATGTGAAAAAAAAAAATTACCAACCTGAGAGTGCCTGAAAATAACCTCACCGCTTTCACTTTCTTTGCTACAAAACAGAAAAAAAAACACAAACCAACATATTAAAAATATAAAAACAGACTTGTCTTGTAACAAAAACAAAACAGTCTCCCCCCCACACAGGTTTTTAGATGCTGTACACTTGATGCATTCCAGTAAATAAAGGAACACTGGGTAGCAGCACTTTGAGCTGCTAAGGTACCTATTTTGCTTCTTCTCGAGAGCCATTTGTGAGAAATACAGTGACATTTAATTTCATGCCTTTAATCCAAAGAAATACCCCTCTCCCAACAAGCAACATAGTTGTGGAGAGAAAGTGTTGTATCAGGGGAGCAGAGTGGATCTACACAGGATAGTGAAGTCCAAAAGGCTGGACTCCCAGCCCAAAGACCAGGTGTGACAGGCATCTGTTGCTCTGCAGTCCCTGAGTGGAGTGTGCAGTTTCAGGTATCTAGAGCTGACTTTTTTTCAAGTCTGAACCACCAGTGCTTTCAGTACCATTCCTTATAAGTTGGGAGAAGAGACTTGGTGGCATACAGTGCTGGGCAGAGCCCACACGACATAAGCAGGACCTCCATACAGTTCCACCTTGAAGGTAACATGGCAGGTAATGCTGGTCTGCAGCATAATTAAACATACTCTCAGACTCTGTGGTGGAAGATCTCTTATGCTGTGCTACAACCACAGGGAAAATAAAATGTACATATAATAATAATAATAATAATAATAATAATAAAAATCACCTTTCTTCAGACAAAACTTCCATGTCATCAGGTCCTGTTCTGTCTATAGGTCTAGATGAGCTAAAGCTTTCCATACTCTGTAATATAGTAAACATTAAAGCAGTAAGATACATGAGAGACATAGATTCAAGCTGCAGGGCATTAAACAAATCACACATAGAAATATCCAACAGGACTTTGAGAAACAAGCCAACAATCAGACTACTGCCTGTTGTATACATATAACCAAAAAGCCTGCAACAAAAATAACTGCTTGCTGCTTCCTTTGTCTCTTTCATCATATGACTTCAAAATGCCTGGCAGAATAATGCTGCACAGTACTCCTGCAGTTCCCATTTTACAGACTGATACACTAAGCAAGAGAACAATTCTGTCATGTGTAAAAGTCCTGTAAGAGCAGGTACCAAAATTCACAGCATCCCCCTGGCAGCACTCCTTATGCTCATCTTCAATAATACACCCCCTTCTTCACCAAAACCTTTCATAGTCTCTTCTCAGGCAGACAGAAGATGTTAGGAGTATCAAGAGACTGCTGTATGCACGGAGGTAATGTTAAGCTCTGCTAATATGAATGGAGGGCAAGAAATTCAGCTGATGATGACCACCTGTTCTGAAATTTGACTTGGCTATCAACAGCAACATTAATGCTGTTGTCTGGTGAGAGCCTGAGAAAGAATTGTGAAGACAAGCCAAACTCTGATGTATCTTTGATGGATACAGGGGTCTTATGCCTCTGGTTGCACACTTACAGGAACAGTTTTCAAAGTCAACAATGAAGCCTTCTGCCTGCTTGGACTTGGTCTGCAAGCTAAGAGGTGTTTTTCTGATCTATTTTGGTATTTTTAAGGTGCTGAAGAATGAGGACATAAAACTGTTCCTCTGGGCACACAAACTGTATGACGTGCTTGCTGCACATATGGGGAGTAGCACTCGTTGTAGCTTAGTGCAGGTGAAATACACAGGAAAATCAAATCCTTACTTTGAATTAGTCAGAACACTTCTTTTTTCTTTTAACAAAACCCTGTCACACACACTATATTTGTATGTAATACTTCTGTTTCTCTGTCTTTCTGCTGACTGTGACTCAATCATACAGCATCTACGAAAAAAAAAAAAGCAAGCAGAAGTAAAGGATGCCATCATCTGTTTGGGTTGGTACTGAGTTTTTTCATATTGGAAATAAGCTTCAAAACTGCCTCAATGTCATTGTTAGGTGCACTGTTGCAACAATTCTTAAAGAAATAAAGCAAAGTACACATGACACCAGAGGTCGAGATTAGGAAAACGAAAGTTGCCACTTTGGGCACAAGACCAGGAGCTTTTCTACCCTGGCATTTGGGCAAGTCCCCCTTAACCAGGAGGAAGGAAGTGAGCAGAGCACAGCGTGGTTCGTGGCTTGGCCCAGGAAACCTCACGCCACAGACTTCTTGGGTTGGTCACAGCCCTCTCTCACCTGCTACACCTCCAGCCCCTGTACGGTCAGACAGCTCAGCCTATTCCAGCCTTGCTCGATGCGATGCTTCAAGTCCTAGTGATACCTGGCTACTTGTGTCTCTGAAGGGCAGTTACAAGCTTTAAATGCTTCCTGCTCGGTTTGCTCGGAACCAACAGAACTGACAGTTTCTCTACAACTGACTTAACGCTTTTGAGTCAGATGCATTTAGACAGCTAAGAGGAGAGCTTCCGCACACTGTCCTACATACTCTTTCAGGCTTTGAGCAGGAAGACTAAAATTCAAAAAAAGGTGAGGAAAAAGCTGCAACAAGCACTGTTTGTAAATGCAGGTTACGTCCTTTTATACCCAAGTCAGTAGTCCAGCTTGGGTTATTATTTGAAGCGTAAAGACGTAGCCAAAAGAAAGCTAAGCCACCACACACACTGCATGCTCCTGGCAGCCTCTGAAATGTAAATATTAAATAAATGCATTCATGAAAGCTTAAAGAGCAGTCTCTGCTCTTCATAGAGTAACACTGTGTTCTTCTCAAGCTGTTTCGTAACAATGTTCCCATTTGACAATCCCACTGTAACACTTCCAGCAAAGCCAGCAAGGACCACACTCACAGGATGATCATCTTGTTCAAAGTGATCTGTACGTGGAGTTTGATCCTTTTATGTTCCTTTCAGCCTTTGTCCCTCCAAAATTCAAAAATGATCCAAAAATGAGGGACAGAGCAAAGTCCAGTGGAGACAGGTAAGTCTGAGGACATTGCCTCCAAGAACATTTTAAGACAGTATGAAAGTTTTGCAAGTCCCTAACATACACTCTTAAACGGAAGCTTTTGACTGTCTTTCCTTGCCCAAATCCTGAGCCAAATTTCCATTTGGGCTGCTTTACCACTAAACAGGTACAGAGAAGAGGCACAAGAAAGAGAATAAGCACCTGACATTTGTCTTAAAGTCCATTGCTACAAGCAAAGGCACAAAGTGAGAGTGTGGCTATCAGACTGTGCTCTCTCGTGAAGTATCACGTATCAGTAGGCTACTGAATGCTAAATCTAAGCACAGTCTACAATTCTTGGCATCTTGCCATCTCTTTATCACAAAGAGAAGCTAAATCTGTCTCTCTCTAGGATATCTGCACAGGGTAAAGCATAAGATCATTGCAGTTTTGTAACCTAAATAAAATTAGTCACAACACAATGTCACATTAAGAAGGAACCCAGAGCAGACTCAAGCCTAATAGAGTTTACTGAAGGAGATGCTCTATAGCTCAGAAGGCTAGGCTTTTCACACAGCTTTCACCGTTACTAGTAGCTGTGCAATACATACATGGTACCTTCCCAGTAAAAGGTAGCTGGAGGGATCATCTTTTAGACCAATGCAGTGCAAAGTGTTTTGCAAACTGCAAACATGACAGTAACACACAGACTGCAGGAAAAAGGCATAAAAAAACCTTTATCGTCTTATTATCAAGCAGTTATTTGTGACCTATGGTTTCAAAACTTAGCACAAATAATCAAAATAAACTCAACAAAAGCATGTGATCCTACATCTGAGGTTCCAATCTCCTCACAAGAGTTTTGAAAGACTGCGAAAAAGAATTCCGTCCTTTTTCTCTTTCCAAAATATTTTTCTAAGTTCAGAAGACATAAGCAAAAGGTTGTGGAAAGAGAAAAATGACTGTGGTGGAGTAAGAGGATAATAATGGAAAAATAGCTTCTCAGATGCCCTTTCACAAAGGTTACAAGTGCAGAATCCAGTGTTACCCACAATCCAGAAGAGTCGTGTATGCCTTTACTGTAAGTGGCTACTGGAGGGAACCAGACGCACACTGAAATAAAAAAGATTTTTTCCCATCCTAATACTAGGTGTCAAATAGTACAGCACGGCAGCTTACCACAGGACTGTCTTGGTTGTCATTAAGCTCGGAAAGTTTGGTGCTGGATTTCTGCCGTTTGGGTTTATTCCTTTCACTAAGATATCCAGAGTTGTCTTGTAGTTTTTCTACTTCTTGAGCAGTTAGAATACAATCTTCGAGATTGCTGAAGCCAGAGGGAATGTTCTCCTTGTCGATGACTTCCCTAAAACAAAAAGCGACAGCGTTTAACACACTCTCCCGCTACATTTAGGGTAGCAATAGAGAAATGTATTATGCTGACTGGCGCAGTTCCGGCAACATTTTCTACGCCCTATGAAACAGGTATCTCTGGTTCTTCCTAGTACAGCAAACAACGTACTCTGTGAAACACTAAATCCCATCGAGGAGTGAAAGCCAGGCGTATACACCTCCAGTGAGAAAGCTGTCAGGGTCAACATTTGGGACTCGATTCATGGAGAATCACATTGACTTCAAATGGAAGCTGGACTAGCTGCTGGTTGTCTGTAGTATTTTTATAAAGAATATGCTACATATTTTCCTTTGAAACATGTGCTTTTGATTTAGGAAACTGATTCACAGCTGTGGTCCAAGGATCTCCTTTGGTCCATGACACCATATAATCAGCCCTCTTTACTCATTCTCAAACACAAGAGCTTCAGCCAAATGCTTGATTCTATCTTGCCTAATTGCCAAACAAGAAAAGGGAAGGCATCTCTGCAACAGCAACACAACTGCTAGGACAGAAGACTATTCTGCTGCGTCAGGAAGCGGATGGGACAGCTACCTTGAAGTCATCGTGTGATACGCTATCTGGGTCTCCCTGAGCTAGCTGTGTTTGTGTGTTTTCCAGAAGCTTGGCACACGGTTTATCTTTCCCTGCACAATAATCCTGCTGAATCTACCAGCATGCAGTTTTGTCGTCGCAACCTTTTCAGTAGTCTTCCCTCTACTTCATGCAATAATGAACAGACACATACAAAACACACCACTACGTTAAGGAAATAGAAGAAACACAATGCATCTCATTCTTTACCAACCCTGTTCCTCCAGGGGCTAAAGACTGCTCACACCTGACATCAAAACTGGAACATTTACTACTGTATGCGCAGCCACCTTATGCAGTGCTGTGCGACTCTAAAGCCTGCTTTCACAGGCAGCAGCACAATTTCTCTGAACTTGCAGTAGTGTGATAAAAAAAACAGTTACTCTGCAGTATCTGGACAGGGCCAGCATGAGAAAATGTTCAGATCAAAACCAAAATTTTTAAGTTCCAGTGATTTTCTAGATCTCAAGTCTCTAGGGTTGGTCACTGGAAGAGAGATACAATAGATGTATCTATTGTACATTGTATTATACATCTATGATCAAACTTCTAAAATAATCCACTTGCCTTTCTGTAAGTTTTTATAATCCCCTGAGCAGACCAATTACTTCCATATAGTCTGTAGATCATGTAGTCTGCGAAGCCTAGGAGTTCATGTATGTATTTTTGTGATGAACACTCTTGTATTAACACTGGCTGTATTAATGATACAGCCCCATCTTGTGACATTACAAATCCTCTTGTGATCCATCACAAGGCAAGGAGATGAAGTCACTGACAACCAAAGAGGGGAAAAAAAACAAACAAAACAAAACAAAAAACTACTAGTTCTGAAAGGAATTCTGAATTTTGACAATTCACCCACAGGAGTTTCAGCAATCTGACCTAAGGGAACCAGTGAAAACAATCTGAACCCCAGCCAGCATTCAAAACTTCCAGTATGTTATAAATCCTTGGCTCACACTTTAGGGACTGAACGTGAACAACTGCGTCAAGATAGGCTAGAGTGCACTAAAGGCAGCTCTGTAACGCAATGTTGAAAAAAAACCCCTGCAGTACTATATGCTTCCAAACACGTACACTAGCCAGTCTCTGACCTACTTACCTGCAAAGCCTGTCAGCAGGGCTACTAAACAAGAAAAACTACTTCAGAGCTACTGCCAGGTACTCGAGTGACTTGGAACTGCTAATTTCCCAGTCCATAATCACAGGATATTTTCATTCGCTATGGAAATGCTTTTTTTAAAATTTATTTTGTAGCTATGGATTATTATTATTTTTTTTAAACTGACACATTTTGGAAAATAGCACAGCTACACTATTCAGGTGAGGTACTGAAGGTCATGCATCTATGCAAAAGTGGCTTGGTATAGGAAAGTGCAGATCCAATAGGATTTGTGGAATTCAGCATCCAGGAAAGAATAAGAGCTTAGATCTGTATTTCAGAAACTACTCTGAAGTCCTACCAATCCAATACTACAGTACAGACATTCTTTACAAGAATTATCACAGTGTTTAAAGCTAGATGTATGTCTAAGCACTAATTAGATGATGGGCTTGCAAAATCTTTAGTTACAATTCCTAAAGATAGCTATGTCTTGGACATGTGTTTTTTAAAGCTGTGGTGGTTTGTACCACATCTGTGCCACACAATATATGCCACAAGTATAGCAGTATGTAAGGAAAAATAGGTATTATTTTTACTCTTTGATTTAATGAAACTCACCATTAAGTCATGTTTACTGTTTGTGTAATGGTGGATAAAAAAATCTTAGGATCTGATTAATCAAAAGAATGATTTCTAGTTTCAGATGAACTCCCAGGGCTCCTCAATAAACCTGATTATAAACTATACCTACACATATGAAAGGAGAACTTGGTCTCATTTTGAATTCAGAAAAGCATCTAAAAAAAATGTTTTTATCTTGCAGGAAGTTACTGACTCTAGGGCCAATTGCTTGGGGATTTCCACTAATACAACAAATACTGTAATGAAACAATTCCAAATTCATTAGGAACTCTACTATGCTGCTTTAGCTTACTTCTTATCATACTCTGGCTTCCTCAGTTAGCTCTACAAAACTCCACATTTCACAGCTCTAGCTGATGCAACAAAGCTTCTGTTCATATCAGAACTACCAAGCAGTGCCTAGATAGAAGACATAACTAGGGTACACTTAATCAAATATACTTTCCAAAACAAAGAAATCAGGATCGTACATGTCTCTGTTTCTCCGGGCTTCCTCCTGCTCTTTGTGATGTCGCCTCCTCTGCCTGGCAGACACATTAGAAGAGGCTGATGATGTTCCCGATTCAGAGTCCTCTGAACTCTGGCCGCCTGAGCAATGAACATCAAAGAGATGCTGCTCCACGGCTGAGCGGATTGTCTTCTCTAAATACCTGTCAAGCCGAAAAATAAGGTCAATTGAGCTCAAAGATTTTCTGGAGCTCCCTCTCTGCAACAATAAAGGCTGCATATTGGGGGGTTATGTTTTTTTTTTATGAATGGCAAGACAGTATAAAATGTACTAGGGTCCAAGACATTTGCAAAGAGCTAAGCCAAAATCTTCAGTTAACTTGATGTTCAGGTTCCTCAGAAGAGCTGAGCTTTCCCAGTTCATGTTGCCTTTGTTTATTTTTAGGGCTGCCTGAACCTTCTGTTGTAAAACAACTGCTTTTATTTACTGCAACTTTGGTGTCTAACTTTCACCCTCCGCTTCAACATCCCTTGCCCTGACAAAATCCTTTTTTGCGACCCAACCATGCTGATGCTGGTCAAGTCTATGGTGCAATCCACGTTCAGTAAGGCAATGGATCATCTGCAAGAAGGTGATTCACTGCTGTCTCACAGGGGGATGAGAGCACGTAAACAGTACCTCACTGTAAACTCATACTGCAAAACCACACGCTTAACCCAGTGACCAAACACGGATCTGGTTCTGAGCTCATGCTGGTTTTGCACTGTTATTGTGCCACCACCTGCAGTCCCTTCTTGATGTTCTCTCTCGATAGAGCTCATGCCCACTGGCACTAAGAGATCTTCCACACAAGTGACAGCATAGGAGCCTCTGCAGTTCCATCAGTTAAAGCTGCGAGGCTACTTGGACTTTCAACACAATCAGATCTGCTTCATTACGGTACTCATATTTTCTTGTAATATTTCTTTCTTCCTTAACCAGAGGAACTTTTTGTAGACAAAATCTAAATATAGTTTTTTTCTCCTAAAAGATCTTTTGGAAACACATTTCCCTGCCCCATCCATGTTTCTTGCAACGAAGAATGAGTTTTTCTAAACATAGCTGATCAAGGCCCCAGTATAACTTGTAGTGCTTTTTCCATACTTAAAAATGTTATTTGCAAGATTTGCTGCTTAATTTTTAACTGAGTAGCAGTAAGTACGTATACCTTTACCTTGCCTGACTTCTCCAGAGAATTTATGAAAGTTGTTGCTAAGTTGCTATAGTTCTGCTGATACTGCAGTTACCAAAATGTCAGAAGGTCTTAGCAACTGCAAAAAAACGTATGGTTTAACTTGGCGAGCATGTCTGTGCTTCATGTATTGACAAGAATCAGCTCTGCAAACTCACCAGCCTATGGAAACTTTCAGCTCTGTAGGGGAGCCAGCTCTGCTGCTATCGCTGGCACAACACTTACTGTGATGGGATCAAGCCCTGTTCTCCACTGGGACGGGACAGGGTGCAAACAAGAGCAAGAGCACAACATGAACAGTTTCTCTAAATACGCAGGATCAGCCTAACCAAAACATCACATGCATGGAAAGAACCAAGGACCTGCAAATTTTTCAGGAGGAAGTAATTTATAATCGTTGCAGATGCTTTGGTTTGGGAAACAATGTCCTTTTTGCTTGTGTAAGAACGACCCTTAAGGAGAAATCAGAGACCAGCAATACTTCAGAAACGTCAAGATACCAACATTGTACATACAAAATAGTAAAAGAGACACTTACTCTCCTGTAGCAGGCATGTTACTACTGACTTGTGATACATGGGAGCTGTGTAAAAGAAAAAGTAGAGAAAGTTAGGCCTACATATTGCAATAATGTCTCAAAACACTTGTTCTTTGCAGCACTAAGAAACAATTTAAAGGTGTGAGGCTGTCTCAACAACAATTGCATGCACATGCCACAAGTTTTCCCCTTAAGGAATTTTTATTCCCACAGTGACGTGGCACATACTGGCAATGCCAATATCCTCAACAATTACTTTGCCTGTCATTTCCTAGCAGTAGGCCAAGAACTAAATGGAAAGTATTTCAACTTCAGCATATAGCAGAGTTTTTGCTTTCTTAAGAGCTTTCTGCAGCTGTATGTAGGTTGTTTTAGCCTCATCACAAAAAAAAAATTGACTGTTGAGGCTGACTTGAAAACATATGAAAGGGGACTTAATATTTAAGAATTTGTAAATATTAAAGTGACAGGAAAGGAAAGGAAAAATGGGCTATTCACAGTTCTCCTCCTGCAGCTCTCTGACATTCACGTTCATGCTTTACATTTTTTAAAATAAAATGCGTGACCTCTTCTTTTCCTTTTCACTCTCAGTCTGTTTTCGGACTCTGAAGAGCTCACATGACTCTAAGTGTCACCGCTTTCTGCTTAAAACCCTTCTGAACAAGCTGACGTGCCGCCTTGCACAGCTGTCACAGCTCTCCTCCCTCTGCACAGGGCCAGAGTCAGCCTGGCCGAGCCAAGTCCCGTCCTGCCCCTCTTCTCCACTGCCGACTCGGCTTTGCAGATAAGGTGACACTTTATGACCATCACCCCTGTGATCTTCGTTAATTAAGGCAAACACATTACAGGCCTAGAAGATTCCTTTGGCTTTCTCCCTGTATCAGCAGAAGAATCAGTAGTGGGACTGGCTGATAAATTCCAGAAAAGTGAACCGCGTGGATAGGTTATGAGACACGCCGAATGCAAACGTGCTTTCTGCCAAAACAGTCGCTCACTGCTTTCAATCCTCGTGAGTTTCTCACAAACTGGTTCAATGCGGAAGAACCAGTTAGAGCCAGCTTCCCTTAAATACCCTGCTTCCTCTCTCGCTTCCCTTGAATGTTTAATACTTGACCATACAGATCTGATGCCAGCTAAGAAGCTGCGACACCCAGATGATGACTACTCTGTGGCTCCACTGCTTTTCAGGGTCACTTTTGGTGGAAGGCAGGCAATAGAGAATGGGAAGGGTAAATTAAGGATCATGATGGGTCTGTTTAAAAACAACCTTACTCTCTGTTCAGTTCTGTTCAGTGACAAATACTCCTCACAAATACCCAGCTGCAAATCACTCACATACACTTCTGCTTTCTTTGGCTGAGCCAGTACGTTCACCGTGGTTTGGATAAACCCATGCACCCTACCACACTCATCCCTTCCAGGCCTTCCTTCGCTATGTGCCGATCTCTAGGCCAGACACAGTCCCCTGGAGCTGTGGCACAGCATGAAAGCAGTCACGTATTTGCCAGCCTATTCCACATTACCTACACAACACCCAAGTAGCTGTGTCATTCAGATGAGTTCATGAATGGAAGACACACAAACAAGGATCAAATTGCTGTACTCATTATTATGAACGCTTATTATTATGGACATGCAACCTACACGCAGAGAAAAGAATTGCAAGATCTCTTTCTTCCCATATTCACTCTCCTGACTATTAACTATTGCATGGATTTACAATTTGAAGTGCACATTTCAAGCATCCTATTTGCTTTCCTGCTTATCTGCATAAACTTTGGCCTCTTCCAAGCCTGAAACTTTTTTTTTTATTTTTGTTTTTTAAATGACATGGTCTCTCATGGGAGATGGATTAGCAAGCAAGCAGCAGGCTAATCCACATTATAAGATACAATTCATCCTACAGCTACTCTGACCTGAGGGCATGGGGTCAGGCTGTGACAGGGGAGGGTCAGGCTGGACAGCAGGAAGAGGTTCTTCACTGAGAGGGCTGTCGCGCACTGCAACAGGCTCCCCAGGGACGCAGTCATGGCACCGAGCCTGTGGGAGTTTAAGGAGCATTGGGACTGTGCTCTTAGTCATAGCTCTGAATTTTGGGTAGACCTGTGTGGAGCCAGGGGTTGGACTCGATGATCTTTGTGGGTACCTTCCAACTCAGGATATTCTGTGATTCTATACTGCCGTGTGGGAGTAAGTTAATCCTGTATCAACTTTCCATAGTTTTTACATGCATTCCATATTGAGTGCGGATGTCTTTCATATCACATCATTTTTCTCTATTTTCAAGTCAGGAAAGTGGTAAGGGAGGAGGAGATGGGAATGTTTTCAAAAGACTAGAATCCAAACAATCCTAAGGTGAAGGTATATCTATCCATCATACAGGACAAAAAATCTCAGGAAATAGCTCTTCCTTCTATTTCCAGCAGAATTAATAATTGTGTGAAAATGCAAGCTCACATTTCACACAAACCTAATGAAAGGCCAGATACTGTATGTGAGAGAGCTCATGCTGTTATCCCCATGCGTGGTATTCGGGGCCAACAGTCTCTATCTGCAAACCACTCATATCATTATTGAAAACACGCAGTAGCTTCTTAATACAAAAAGTAGTTAGAAGAAGAAACTAAAGACAAAGCTGCAAAAATACCTAAATAAGATGTCAAAAATGTTTGTAATTCCCAAGTACATTCTGTAGCTGCCTAATTCTCAGTTAACTGTGTGCTTTGCTACCATCAACTTAGTTTTAAGTCTATAAACATCGTTAATTTACAATAGCACATAGCTGCACAACAATTACTTTGTGGTATGTAGAAGAACACTACTCAAACTATATCGTGTCAGAGAGCCCATAATATGGTGATTTTCAAAGTATCAATAAATAGGAAGGAATGATGTACATAGCTATATGCCAACATAACAACAAATGAAGCTGTCATTCTCTTTTTATTATACTTCTGTTCTAGATGCTGCTTCCTTATAAATTCAATATGACTTTATTCTTAGCCCTGTGATATTTTAACGCTCTTTTATTCTCTCTCTCTCAGTAATATGGGGATCTTTTATATAAGTTTTTCCAGATACACTAAGTTTCTATTGATTGGACAATCATTAGCTTTTCTTGTCATTTCATTCCGAAGCTTAATTAAAATGCATTGCTAAATCAGTTTTTTTACTCTGCACCATTTTTTTTTCTTCTGCATTGACAAAGTTCACTTTAAAAAATGGTGGGGAGAAGAGAGTTACACTGAGGATTTTGGATTCTAGCATGCCCAGAGATGGAGGTGGATGTGCTTGAGTGTGTTGGCAAGCTCAGGAAAAGGCATGGCTCTGTAAGACTTTCAGAAGGGCAATCAGGCATGTGGGATGCATCCTGAGGGGTTTTCCAAACTTCTTGGGTGGCAACAGTCACTCCATCATTGAATTTATGCTTCCCAGAGCAGGCAAAGCAAGCCATGCCCAAAAGAGCCCTCTTGGCATACCCTACTGTGGAGCAAGCTGCCTCAGAATGGCTGCTTTGTTCATTAAATCAGTGACAATGTGAAATCATGTTCTACTTCGGTTAATTACTTTCTCCTCACGTCTGCTTGATTTCACTGATATGTACAGTCAATTATCTCCACAGCTAGATTATTAAGTTATGCAGCTGCTGGTGAACACACTGAGAAATGTCAACTTTTGATACAAATTAAAGGTTCTCCTTCTTCTGCCTGCAACAGAAAGCAGCAGGAGAGTTTTCCCGTGCTGGAGACTTTTACTTTCAGAGAGCCACCCACAAAACCTGCATCATTGCACAGAGATGTTCTAAGTGCTATAAACTTTTTTTGACCCCCACGCTTTTCCTTTTGGGAAGTCTGATCTCTGGCACTCCTCAAAGATTTCTGACCTGTTTACTAAAGCATTTTGCTACTCTCACACTCTTTCATACGTGCCCCCTCTGAACAATGTCTCATTTCACACATAATTCTCTCTTCTATTACCTCTTCTTCCATGTTGTTTCAATCTCACGTATGGAAAGGTTGTATTTTCTGCCAGCTTTAAGCACATTACATTTCCCCTGCTACCCCAGCTAGTAACCTGTAAGCTTGAAGATATGCACTGTAGAGTTACCTCATGCAATACTCGCACCCTGCTTAGTCTGTACTGGGCAACAGCAAATAATTGAGTTGGGCATCAAAACCTCTCTTCTGTTTTTTTTTTTCATTCAAGGCCCTGTTGAGCAAAATCTATCAGCATTCAAGTATTAAAAGAACACAGTATAAATCAACCAGAACAAACTGACTTACTGGCATAGTATTTTCCCAGATTGGGTTTTCATTTATGAAGTCAATGAATTAATTGCTGGACATACTTAACTGCCTAAATCATAAGCTGTGTTTGCAATCTGGAACTAAGGCGACTCATTGCTGAGATTTACTTAAAATCCATTTGCCATATTGAGGAAGCAAAAATATTTTGTTTTTGCTTTTTAAATAAAGTCGAGCACAATGAGAAGAGAGCCTATGTAGATACACACTTTTAACATTTTGCCACTCCAGCAAAGCAGACAATGATTTTTAAATTACTTTGACATTTCAGGTGAGAAATTTCTGAACCCTCCCTAATACAGAATTCCAACATGACCCAGGATTTTTTTTTTTTCCCCCACAGGTACCAATACTGTGTAAAAACTGTTTGCTCTCCACAACTGTTGCATACAGTGACATGCAATGTTCCTGATTCACGTGGGATCTGTCTTAAGACAACCACTTAATCTGACACACATTCCCCAAAGAGAAGGATTGTGTAAAGTGTGAAAATAATGAGTTCAAAAATAGAGATGTGCTCTTATTTCTTGGGATATTCCATCACACAGAAGACAATGCTTTCAAAGTTTTTTTCAGCATCTTCACACTTTTTCAAGCTTGGATCCAATCATGCTTCCTTTAAATATGGTATATTTGATGCTACTTGCTTACTATGCAGAAAATTAATCCCACTAAAAGCGACTGCCTTGTTTTCTTCAGTATTCCTGCTGTTTTCATGCACACTGGAATTGCCCTTTATGATGGGTGCACACTGACACCTACTGCCTGAAGCAGAGACAACCCTGAAGGGTTTGCATGCACACCACCCAATTCTGTTTTGCAAATTTAGACCACTGTGCCTGTGCAGGATCCTCTCCAATGAAAACATTCCTCTGGGGGCCATTCACAGCCTCCAAATTATGCTCCTGATTTGAAATGCAACAGATCACCTTCTCCCACTGAATATAAAGGGTACTTGGTGAGACAGTCCTAATTAACACCATGGAATCAGGACTCTCTGTTTCCCAGAGCTCCACCTAATGACAGAGATCCCTTAGCCTGAAATCAAGGTATCTGGGCAATAAGAACAAGGGGACCTAGCAGCCTTGTAACTATTTTCAGCCAAGGCTTATATGATGGACAGTAACATGCATCCCATAACATAACAATTTGTAAGAGGGCCCTGCACTCCCGTGGGCTTTAGGACCTCTTACTGCATGTTCAGCCAACAAGGAAGCACTCAAAAGGAAGTCAAGCACCTTTCTGAGCAGACACTAAATCTATGATTAGTTCTTTCTGTTTCTTCAGAAAATGGACCTGAGAGCAAATACAGTAAAACATCTCACCACCAACGCTTGACTTGTATTATGTAAAAGGAGTTAAGGAGTTGTCTCATATAACAACTGTTAAAAGGGTAAACAGGCAGCTGCATTAAATGCTTCTAATGGGATATTAGTACTGCCAGAGAAAAGAAGTACTAAAACAGGTGAAACTGTTTTAAGTCAATGCCTTGCCCTGAACTTGAGGGTGTCAAATGCAATTTTGACACTGCTTGTGACATCAGCTCTCATCCCAATTCCAGTTCAATGCTTTACATATCAACAAGAAAGCTCCATAATACATCAAAGCTTCTGTCCTTTTCCCCTTTAATATCACTCTGGCTTATCTCAGGTTGTACGTATTAGGAAACTGCTCTGGAACCATCTACGTGACTCATATCAAATCTAAAGCAGATCCTCGAGCACAAAGCATGCCTGTAGATTCTCTGTCTTTTAAAAACTCATTGCACATGTTGAGCAAAAGTGTGCTCACAGGGAATTAATCGCCTTTGCCAGATGCTGTTTAATTACCTGAAACTGCACACTGCTTCTCAGTACAGATTACTCAGTATAGCTGGCATTCAGATTTTTCTAACAGAATTAAAAAATCCATAACACGGCTCCTTATATAACTCAACTCCCTTTCCCACAAGGCTTCATTACAAAACTTTTGGAACATAGATGCCCTTCAGGCACGACTCCCTAGAACAATCAATCATCCAGCAAGGTTTTCCTCTTCTTTCAACACTGCAGAAATCTCCTTGCCTGGTACTAAGTATAGCTGAGTAAACAAATTGTCTTACCAGGGAATACAGAAAAGGAAAGGACAAACCTGCTCAACAGTCAGGGAATGAATAAAACCACAGAACTCAGAGAAAACCACCTTGCACACTGATCAAACCCACCTCATCGTCCAAATGCCTAACAGGAGAAGAATTCAGCTACAAAATTTCTCATTACTTGCCTAAATTTATTAATTGCCTGATTGTATCCATTTTTTTCCTCACATACTTAGCAAAACAATCCTTCTCTTTGTCTAAAATACAGGTGAAATACATGCACTCTAGTTCGTTTCTTATGGTAAATAGGCCCTCCCTGCTCTTTTCTCCATTTTGTAACAGTTTTTGCTTGCTTTTTAACCGTCTTTACAAACCTAACGCCATTTGAACACAAGTTACTGAAATCTTATGGGGCCTCATCTGAGTCTTGTAAAAGGGTATTTCTACCTCCCCCAAGTCTACTGTAAAAATGTACTTTATACATCCACAAATTTCTGCTTTAAGTGAAATTCATGACCATGTTTGTTTGTTTGTTTTACACCAGTAACTGTTGAAGAAAAAAAAATATTCCAGCACACTTAAGGAACTCCACAAGCAATCTCTTTCCTCTTGTAGGAAAAAGACCTATAGATCTGAACCCTTCCCTGCCCATCTTCATGTTCTTAGATTAAGGCCTTTTTCTCTATACAGATGGCATGATATAAAGCATTTTGCTCAAATTGGATGATATATAGGTTTTTTCTTCCTCTCTATGGAAAGACTTTTCAAAAATAATTTGATTGTGCTTGTATCACCTCTCTTGATAAACTTAGATCACATTTTGCCTCATTTACCACTTTTGCGCCTTTAATGATTCTTTGTATCCTTACAGAGCAAGAGTGATGATTAGTTCTATACTTGTTAATTACCTATTCCTGCCTCCCCCAACCAACCTTCCCCTCCCCCCAAATCAAACCTACCAGAACACCAAAAGACCGATCCAGAACCCTAAAAAAGTGCAATTTTAAAAAATAGTGTATTGGTGGCATCCCAACAGTTCTGACTTGAAGACTTCAAGCATTTGTGTTATTGTTACCATTTGAACAAGAGCATTTGTGCTCGTTTCCACTTAATTAAATTATTGCATAATTATCTATATGAAATTACTGTATAAACAGGGCAGTGGCCTAACTCTGGCTCTATACACACCCTCCTGATTCACTTGAAATTGATTCACCTGTTCATGATACTTGAACAATATTTCAGACTACGTAAGTGTGGCTGGTAGCAACACAAATAGATGTGACCATCATTCAACATTCAAAGTGGCACAGAACATCCATGCCATACACACAAGTTCTCAAGTCATTCTATAGTTACTCTATAGCACAAATTGCCCAAACAGAACTGGCAACCCTGCCAAATTAACTGCACCTGGCAACTCACCTCAGGAGCATACATTTCTCACTTGTGGTAGATAAAAGCAAAATTTGCAAGCTGCTAGCTTTATTTACAAGTAATTGCATCTCAGCAGTGTTAGAAAAGATGCGAGCTTGGCCTGAAGCCTCACTTGAAAGGTGTGCTGCTCCCTCTCTGCTCTTACTAGCCACTTCACTATCCAACTGTAATTACTCTTGACTGTTGAAGAGATCCCTTCCTGGATCATTTTTCCATGATCCAGGAAAAAACTTAGGAGGACAATTTTATGCAGTAAGGCAGATGGACATGTAGTGAAAGCCTACAACTATCTGAAGGACATATACTGCAAGAAAGGAAAAAAAATATGGGGACTATTCTCAGTTGAAAGTCAGGATGAGAATCTAAATTGGGTAAAACGTGACAGAGGGATCTGTGCAGCTAGGAAATTATCTCCAAAAGGCAAAAGCAGAGCCTGCTTGGATGGTTTGGAGTTTCTGAAGCACAGATTAATTAACCTCTGCACAAATACGCTGCAGGGAATGACGATGCTTTATCAGGAAGGCAGACAATACTATGCTACCAGGCTAGTCCATAAACAGTTCACTGATGCACATTTCTGCAGTTTTAATGCAAGTCTCCACATTAAGAGCACTCATGAAATGCACATTTTCTGTAGTTTCTGTCACAAAAAATCTCCAAGAATGAGCCCAAGCTACATAGATAAAAAGGAATACATGCAAGAGAATTAACAAATAAGAGGTCACTGTACGAATTACCAATCTCACTGCTCTCATAAAAAGCACCACAGGGACTTTCTATTTGTTTAAACTCCAGTTAGAAGAACCCAATTATAATATCTGGCTGTTCTTCCTCTACATCCCTTCACTGTTAATTGCCCTGGCTCTTGGACTTTCACTAAACAGAAATGAAAGCACTGGGACTGAGTTGGCTACTGAAGTAAGCAGAGCAAACTTTCACTGATGTCAACAGAATTAGGCCACTTTTATAAGCAGTGACTTTGCCCTCCAGCTGGCAAAACAAGAAACATGATTTGTTCAAATGCAGTCAGGCTGCCATTCCCTCCGGGCAGGCACACTCTGGACCCAGGCCCTCTCCTGCTTTTCTGGGCTGGCTGGGCTGCATCAGAGGAGCGGTTGCTGGATGGGCTGCTGACTCACCATCTGGTTCCTGGTTTCTTTCTGACCAGCACATGATGCCAGTTCCTCAAAGCTCGTGGCAAAAATCTCTCCTGCGCCCACAGATTATAAGCTACTTAAAACAGGCATCTAAACTGCTTAATGAAATGAAGAGAACAGGAAACAAAAGCCCATCTTCTAATTAAGAATTGACAAGACTGGCACAAAAACTTTAACCTTGCCTTTAAAAACAAAGTCTGCTGACATTATTTTTGTCTCTCTGAAGTCTCAGTCATCCCACTAGCTGAGCAATAGTTATCAACTTAACATTAACCTTCAGTTTGATTAGTCTGTGCAGACTTTCTGGAATCGCTCTGCATATTTAATTCTAATAACAAGGCAATCCTGCTCAGAGAAATACGTTAAAATAAATGAGTAAATACCTCACATAGAAGGGTGACATAGGCCGCTCATCTTCTTGGGAGCTAAAAACAAACAAAAAAAATTAAATTTAGTATGCAGCTCTGTCTTGTATCTGCAGTTCATTTACAGCAAGACATTCAGTCTGAAAAAAAAGAAAGAAGTGATTATAAAAGTGAAGTAAATAAAAGAGATAATAAAAGTGAAACAGATTCACTTCTCAGTGTTCACAGACGTGTAACAGTTCCACTGCTACACGGTCAGAAGTCGCTGCAGCTCAGCGGCTGTGCACAGCCTATTCCCATAGCAACAATAAAGCATTTCTGCCAGGAGAAACCACCCGAGCCTTTCGCTGTCTGCTGCTCAAGAATTAGACAACCTGCCTACCTAGTAAAGGTTAAGAATAAAAAAAAAAAAGACATATTGAGAGACCAAAGAAGCAGCGATGGCTGTACGTGTACAGCTAAGAATTCCCTGGTATCGCTGTTGCTGTTGAAGGCTGATTTGATGCCACTGCAATCTGGCTCAAATGTAGAGGTGTGAAATGACCAAGACACAGGTCTGACTGTGGCAAGTCACATCTGTATAAAATTGAATGGATCTGAAAAGTATGTTACTTGCAGACTTGAGAATGCATATCTTAGGCATGAGATCAAGGGTTGCAACTGGCTGGCACACAGCTCTGCTGCCAAAAAAGTATTTCAGTGGTCAACTACTCTGTCTGAAGCAACCACTTCTTGTGTGGCCCGGTCAGTCTGTAGACAGATCAACTCCCTGATCCGGCTCATCCTGCAGCCACACATGCCTGTGCTGGCACAAGGGCGAGGATGAGTTGCTGAGGTGCTAAAACTTAAGGTGTAGGGGATTAAGTCAGTTTTAGACTATTCTGTTATAAAAAGGGGTCCAAACAAATTTCACCTAGTCGTTCCAACCAAACAAACGGCTGGACTTACAGGGCATTTAGCCCTTGTAGCTCTTCAGAGCAGGAAACTTGCCTTCCTCTAAGCACACAGGAAATGCCACTGAGGTCGATCTGTCCCCAGAGGACTTTTAATTGGGTCTGAAGAGCACAGTAAGTTTGGGAGAAAGGAAGAAAAAAGACGGGAAGCTGCATAAATTACTTCATACAAAAACAGAAAGAATAACATTTCACAGGCACTGGAAACCACCCATTTCCCTACTGTTTTGCTGCTGCTTTAGAAGTCTGGGACTCCACCAGCGCCCTGCAATTTACCATGAGCAGTCAGTAACTGACATCAACTGGGAGGTCCGGGGCACTGGCATGCTTTGAAGGTGCTCATCATTTTGAAGCGTATTCAGAGGATGAGAGAATAGTCATAAATGTAAGATGAACTCAGCTTCAGAATTTTATTTATCAGTTTAGAAAAAGCTTCTCTAAGCGCAGAATAAAAGCCAAAGGGCCACCACCGTGGGTTTCGTAGCTAGGAGGTCAAATAATCACACCCCCGTTCTGCAGCTTGCGCTGGAGTCAGAAGGAAGCTGGCGAAGCAAGAGGAGTTGCAGCTGGCCCGGAGCCAGGTGAGCGCTGCGCTCTTACAGCGAGCATAGCCAGAGGCAGGCTTCACCGTGGCTTGTTTTGAACTCTGACAATGTTATAACAGCTCCACAAATACGAACACCAAATTTATCCAGGGGGAAGGGAGGAGGCAAGGAATCGGGAAGACCGGGACAGATGGAGCACAAGCAAGCGAGCGGAGCAGAAACCTCACAGGGGTTACCTCTGCATCGCTCCGACTCCCAGCTACAGCATACAGAAAGTCGTACAGAGACAGCTGGAATCCCCTACAGAAAAGACTGCCCCACTCACTGTGACAGCACACGTCACCCTGGCAGCCCGTAGGGAGCCTGAAACACAGATTGAAGGGGAACACAAAACACCACAGAGCGGAAGGAAGAGAAGCGGCTTCTCAACTCGGTGCGGTCTGCCAAGGCTTACAGCGCCTCTGTAACACAACAGTGACTGGGCAGTTTCCTGCAGCTCCCTGAGGAGACCGAGAGCGTGGCTGCTGCTGGAAACCGTGGTGCCACTTGCACAAGTCTCCCTTTGGCTGCTCGAGCTGCAGGCAGCTGCTGCTGTGGGAGCCCTCGCTGTCAAACCGAGCGGGCCTGTGGAGGCGCGCGAAACAGGCCGAAGGCTCCTGCAGCCAGCGAGGCAGTGCAGAGGCTGCCTGAGGACTGAGGTATGCCCAGAGGGTCTTTGTGAGGAACGGTTACAGCTTTCAGACAGCCTAGGAAAAGCGAAGACATGTGGAAAGGTCCCTCAGGGCTGCTTTCCAGAAGGCGACCTGCAGTGAGCGCTTGGGTAAGAATCTCTTCCAGGGATGGACTCCCCTCCGACAGCACCCACTACCTCGCAGTTCATAGGCTTCAGTTGATTTCCTTATTTAGCATTTGCAGAATGCTCTTTTTAATGCAGCACTTATTAAGAAAGTTTATGACATAACGGCTGTCCTTATAAACTGAACACGGGCAAGTCCCAATGGCACACACAAAACATGAAAAATAAACCGTGTGTGGAGAAGAGTCCGCAGTGCCATCAGGATTTCTGTGCAGCAGCACAACTTCAAACGACAACACAAAATGCTGTTTCAGGTACAAGTGGCAGTTGTCAAATCCACAGCAAACATCCTCTCTTTTCCTTATCTCATGATTTGCAAGTAACTTTGAGGTCACAGAAGCACTGTGATACTGAAAAAGCCCAAATAACTTCCTTATATCCATACTCCCAACTAGTAGCCTTAACGGACCATATGCAGTAGTAGTATTCACCAGACTCCGAAATCTCATGCACTTCCTTTTTTTCCACAGCAGCTATGATATGATCACTGTTCCACAAGTTTAGGTGTTATACATCTGTACAAAAAATCGTTATCCACTCACACAAACCAAGTGAGAAATGAAAAAAAAGCTTTTAAGAATATTAGCTGGGGGTTGGGAATGAGGAAGAAAGAAACGCTATAGAAGACAGAAACCAAATACCAATTTCATTTAGATTACCACATTTCAAAATTTCACACAGTTAACAATGATTACAGCTGTGTATAATCTCTTTTATCCTGTAGTGCTTTATGTTTTTACATATGCAGCATGGATATGTAGCTGCGTCTGGGATGAAGAGATCCAAGCTAACCACTGTGGAGCAGAGACTTTTGAAAAAATATAAAATCTTTTAACTTTAAAAGATCTGCATCTGAGCAAAGCAGGTTATCCATTTCCCCCTTCCCAATCATTAGCAACAACATACTCGAAGCATCTTTCCCTAACTTCATGCACCTTCGTCAACTCACCTATGCAAGACGGAAGATGAGAGCTGTGTAAATTATGAACAGATTTGAACCAGCTATTTCAAATAGTTTTGAATCCCTCAAGTGAGATGTTAGATGGCCCTACTGCACTCACAGAGCACACAAGGATTCTATTTTGATTAAAATACTTTATGAAAGTCTTAAGTATTGGTAAGATAATATACTGCTGTGCTTATGTTATGCACAAAAGCACAGTTTAATGAAAGAAATAGAAATTGTGTGAAAGGTTTTAAACCTTTATACACCTCATCACATGATCTGTGACATAGAAGAGACAGGCAAGCAAGCAAGAATGTACAAGATATGAATCATAAGTGATCATCAGTAGATATTACACAATAAACAGGGTAGAAGTTGGTTTAAAACCTTCCACGCAGGACTCTTACTCACTATCACTCACACTGTGCTTATTAAAAAAACAACTGCTTGCTCATTTTTAAAACACCTTGCACTGAAGGGGGTTTATTAGTACTGCTAGGAAGCCCTTTCCACCACATATTACATCCTTTCTAAAGGAAATGCTGTCATTAAGATACGCTATACATTCACCTGCACTGTATTATGCTCCATATTTCCTCTTTGGTTAAAGGGACATTTGCAGAAAGAATTTCATACCTGGCATAGCAACCTGGCAAAACAAGTCAGTTGGCCACAATAAGGAAGAGACAAGTCATTCCAAAGTGCATCTCCTATACAGTCTAGATTTCTACCCAGGAAAGAAATTACCCATTTGGCAAGCAGGTTTAATAACAAATTATATATTTTTATACCTTCAAAGTTTTTACATATTGTTTCATGGCCAGAAGTCACTGAATATACTTGAGAAAGGATACAATAATTAAAAACCAAAACAAAACAGATATTTAATCAAATGCCACTGATAACCTGGCCAAGCAGGTGAGGACCAAATATAACCATCTCTTTCTTCTCAGACACATATATTTAGCTCTGCTAAATGAAGGGATCAAACAGAAATTGCTCTTCATGTAATGCCTGGGAGAGCAATTTCTCATACTCCTGTGGATACCTAAAAATCTGGTGCTCTTTTAAAACAGATTTCTTGAAAACAAACAAACAAACAAACAAAAAAAACAACCAACCAAACCAAACCAAACAAAAAAACAACTTGCTAAAGTGGAAAAAACAAACAAACAAACCTTTTTTCTTTGTAAGTTTATTTTAGTACTGGTGTTCATTGTATTTGTGATCCCCAGAGAGCTAACAGAAAAGTTTGTCAGACTGGAAAGAATGCCACTCTCACCCCTAGTTAGTTTGGCATGACTTAGTATTTTAATGCACATGTATTTTACATCACTCATGCAAGGCAGCCTTTGTGTCTCTAAAGATGGAAACATGAAAGCTTCGGTGAAGTCTAATGGTTAAACAACAAATTTTCAACACGGAACCACCGCTACCTTTTTTTTTCCCCCCTCCCTTTTGTAACAGGAGTGTTGCAGGCAACCATCCACCACACCATCACATTCTCAAATATGAAATGATTGTTCTCCTTTTTTTGTTCTTGTGTGTCTCATAATGACCTTCCCAAACAGGGAGTTCAACTCACTCCAGAGCTGAAGCTGTAAAACACCCATTTAGACTGATAGTTCCTGATTTATTTCCATGCATATGGGATACCCCAGCACTACTCTGCTCCAGCCCCCTTGCTGGCTTGAACTCTCACCACAGGTCAGAGAGTGGCTCTGGGCCCTTCCCAAAGAGCTCAGTCTCAAACAAGGCTG